TTTTTTTTTTTTTTGTCTTTTCTTTTTTTTTCTTTTTTTTATTCTCTGTTTCAGGTGCTGCTGCTGCTGGACGCTGGTTCCCGCAACCGAAGGTAAGATACCGTTTAAATTCTTCACGCTAATCAATTGTGGAGGGCACTACTCCCGTCTCCCGCGGCACAGCTTTTTTTTAGCAGTGGCAGAAACAACATGGAGCAGTGGATGGAGCTACAGCAGCGTTGGTAAGTGTTTAATTTTGTTTTCTCTCCTCCTTTCCTCTTCTCTCTTCCTTTCCTCTTCTCTCTTCCTGTACTCTCCCCTCCCCCGTGGATTAGGGCTCTTGGCGATACCACGTTAAAAAAAACGCGCCAAAAGCTCTACCTCCGGGAGCAGTACCTAATTGGGCTCTCCTAAGGTGGTGTGGAAACGAGCTTGCCTAAAGGTATTTCCCCATTTTTCTTCCGAATTGCGGATTATAGCTACCAGCGACAACGGAAATAATTAATGAATGATGTCAAAACCTGGGAATCTTTTCATTCAAGGTGGTTCGATGGACGCCATATTTTTTTGTCAAAACGACATGCGATATATCTCATCGATTGGTTCCATTTTTTCAGCCACTCGTCATTTTTCTCGAATTTTGAGATCGCAATTCTGTTGTCAGGAGACTAAAGAATTCACTTACAAATTTTGGCAAACAAATTCAATGTAATAATGGCGTGGTATTTTTAAAGGGCAAATATCGCATTCGAGTGCAGTTTTGATATCAGTATCAAATGCTATATTTATCCTTTAAAAAAAACCCGCTTTCATTAAGTTGATTTTCTTTGTCAAAATGGGTAAGTGAATTCTTTAGTCTCCTGACAACAGAATTGCAATCTCAGAATTCGAAAAAAATGACAAATAGCTGAGAAAATGGAGCTAATCCATACGATATATCGCATATCGATAGCATCCATCGAATCACCTTAATTTGGGGATTTTGTTTTTTAAAATTTGATATAAAAATTCACTACATTTTTCATGATTGCATATTTTCTGAGAGGAAATTTGACAACTTTCGAATGCTCATACGGGGTCTTTACTTAGCATGGTAGCATTCCTCTTCCTCCTTTTTCCGGCAAACAGGGAGGAAGGAGGGGGCCTACGACCCCCTAGCATTCGCCTATGATCCAAATTTCAAAACTCGATATTATATTCCATACATGTGTCCCCACAATGTCCTTTCAAACGCGAAGAAATGTGGTTTTTATTGTTTAAGTGATTAAAAACATGCGCAATTCTAACAGAGGCAGAAGTTGGCGGGAACCATCAACCAATCGGAGATCGGTTGATGAAGTCTTCAGGTGGCAGTGATCTCATTACTCATCACCATTGCGTTCCTACACCCATCATTTTGTAAGTTTAAATTAGCCATAGTTAATAATTCAAGTAACACCTCCTTTGACTTTGAAATGATTACAAATAGTAACAAGGGAGAGGATTTTGAAATTTACAAAGATGAATACGAAATTAACTAGAGATTTAACAAACACTTACCTTGACGAGTTCCCGGGTCGTGAGGACTGGGAAGTATCATGCTTATCACCAACCTGCGCGTAAGGATGTTCACCTGGTATCAGAATAAACAACACAAAAATTAGTCCACACAGTTTGTGCTTAATCAACTACTTCTAAAAATGTTGAAAAAAAACGAGAATTTTTCGAAAATTAAACAAAAAATTCAGGAGAATTGAACCAGAAAATATCGATACTACAAGGTTGCCACAGAAATTAAAAAATGACATATAGGTCATTTCCCAGACATATTTTGGTAAAAATTCCTGACAATTGAAGATATGCTGGATGGTTAACAAGACACAACTTGAGTTTTCAGGCAAAATTTGTTGTTCAAAACATCAAACTCATTCCATGGAGTAAATAAGGGTGACTTAATAATTTTTCCCTCACACTTTTGTCATTTTCCCTAACTTCTTAAAATTTCCTGACATTTCCAAGTTTTCCCTGACTGTGGCAACCCTGTATGCAAGAACTTCATTAGAAGTGCTTTGAACTGACTTACAAACGGACAATATTGTAGTCTCTGCAACTGCAATAGTGCCTCCATTTTCAATTTCTCTTTTTTAGCTAACTGATTGCATGAAAAACATGCAAAAAAAGAATTAAAGTATAAGTCCATGGGAATAAAAGTGTCGTAAATAGAGAGTCTTTGTGAGAATTTTGCGTCAAATTTTGAGTCAATTAACTCTTCAATGTTATCTCACATTCCTGCATTATCTACACCTGGGCCTTCATTACATCATCGACAGATAGCTTCCCTGAGGAACAGAAAATTAGATAAGATAGATCTGTTCAGCCGCTTTTACAGAGCCAGGTGAATGAACTAGATGCTCAATGACTGGGAGAAGAGACATATGCTATTTTCTTAGCAACCAAAATTAAAAATTAAAATTCTTAGGTGAATATTTCTACGGCAGCAATAGAAAGTTTTATTGAACAATACAAGCAATTTAAACTTTTACGTGTCATCAGCAGATTTCATCTGTACTTCATTGAATCTTTCTTCTGCTTTGGCCACATTGCACAGGGTTCATACCACTTGGAAATAGTTAGAACAAAATAAATGAAAAAAATTGACTAAACAACAGGGGAGGGGGAACTTCAGGGAATGAGAAAACCTTACATTAATTTTATATCAAAGCCTTAGTCAACACACAATTTTACAGTTTGCTTCTAACTTATCCACCCACCTACTCACATGCATTCATCAATAATATCATGCAAAAAAATTACTTTTTCTACGTTCTCAAAGCGTATTTATTCAAGAAATATGTTGAATTGTCTGAAATTAAATTAATTTTTCGTCCCTTAGTTCACTGTTAAAAGATGGAACACATTGCAAGAACGTTTTAGCATTCTGCAAATTTTCAGACTTTCACTCAACAAATATTGAGAGACAAGTCAAATCTTGTTGAAATCAACAATCACCAACTGTACCATCTGCATGTGTGTAATAATGAAAGGTGTGGTGCAGATTAAGTACTAATCGAAGATTGACTGTTGACTGAAATTACTTGTCTCAACAGAGATGAGGAGGCTCTTATGAAAATCATAGATTCCTAAAAGATGGAGAACTACCACCAGCCGAATTCACGTAGTTAGAGAATAAAGTATTACTTTTTTTGATTTGATGATATGGATTTTCTCCTTTAACTCTGGCATACGGTGACATACTGTCATCTGTCTGACTTGGGGAGTCAAGACTCTCACTTTTTCCATTGGAGGATAATGGATTATTATATTTTCGATTGGATTTTTGATCTGTGAACAAATAACACACAAAAAAATGTTTTTTAATACATAGAATCAATGAAAAAATAGAAAGAGGATCATTGTTGGTCCCTGAACTAACATTAGCCAAAAATGGCTGAATGGTATGCAAACTGGTTCCTAAACATTATTTGGTCAGACTACGCAAACGGACGGACACGATGGTTTGGACCGAAACGGCAAACATTTTTCCGGCAACAAAGAAGCTCGGAACCGACAATTAAAATCAATGTTGAGAATGATCCTGTTTCCATGCAGATAATTACCCATTTTTTTCATTTGGATAGCATAATGCTAAAAGGGTCTCAAACGCTGATGAAGAGATGATAAAAATGAAACAGGAGCTCTAATCCCCTTTCGGGAAAAAGAGGATTAAAGTTTGGCACCATGCTAAAATCAGCTGAAGAATGTTATGCTGAAAGTACTTTGTAATTAATCTAAAAATTAGGGTTTTCGGATTATATGCATAACTCCTATTTACATGAGATACTTAATTTTATTTTTTCGATCTTTATTCTCTAAAAATTAACTCTATTTAAACAATGATTGTTTCCAAGGATTGAACTATTCATGTTCAGATCCCAAGGACAATTAAAAATATTGTGAAATTATAAAAAAAAAAAAAAAAATGAAATCATTCTAAAACAAAACTTCTAACGGGGAACTGATAACCAATATCTTGAAAGTTTTTGAACGATGTTTTTCACTTTACAATTTAATCACATACCCACATTGCACAATCGGTTAAAATTCACTGCTTTCCTTTTCCTTGTAACCCAATGCCTCTGTCGTGCTTTTCTCAGCAATGGAAAGGAAACCACCAAATATAATAATTTAAAAAAAAAAAAAAAAAACCACATACAATATATATACTTCCAAAAGTCCTTAAAAAATGGTTATTCCTTGTTACAATTATTGCCATGGTGACTACTGTTACAAAAATTAATAAAAAAATTCATGATAGAAGAACACATCTTTAACACTGAGGAAAGAAACATGTGTTAACTTTCAAAATATTATTTATCAGATTTTGCTCTTTTGTAAAAAAAACTGGAAGAGGAAAAATTAAATTTTGTACTATTGATTGATAACACTTTTAGCATAGGAATAAAATGGAGACAAATGGTTTATTACGCCACAATGATAAATATTTGTACTTTACTCAACTCTTCCATTAGAGGTAAACCGAAAATTCCAATAGACACATTTAGTGATGATGTCATGGAATGACACTGTCATCTCAATAACTCGAAAGTTGAAATGAGCCCCCACAAACAAACATAATCTCCAAACTCTACAATTGACGAAAGAATGCTAAAACTAGCCTGAAACCAAACAATCAATCCTTGGGACTTAGAAATTATGAAAGCTAGTTATTTACCAAAAGGTTTGCGATCACATTCTCAAGAATTGATTGTATAATAAGCTGGTAACATCATACATAGTCATCAAGCGAATCCCCCACCCTCCTGCCTATATCCCGCAGATTCCTCTGTACTTGTTTGTTGGGGCACATTTTGACTTTCGAGATATTGAAAGTATATCAAGATGTGACGTCACACTAAATGCGTCTATTTAAAATTATGGCACACTCACCATTTTTATTATCGCCCACAGTTGCATATAATTCAGAGCCTGTGTCGCCACCACTGTTGTTCTGCTCACCCCGCTCCCATAAAACATCAGAGCTGATGGTACCGGGTGCTAGCTGTGATCGCTCCGGATCAACCGGCAGATCAGGCAGACTTCTGGTGGCAGTACTGCTTAAGCCTGCTGGAAAATGATTGCTTCCAAGTCTGTGAAAATAAATAGTTATACTGTTTACATTTAATTTCAAAATATAGAGAGAACTAAAAGTCTTGAAAATGTTCAATTTCAATGCATATTACATCCATCAAGACTTAATGATTTGCAAAACTGTCCCCCAGTCCAACGTATAAAATATAATCAACAATGATGATGATCCGTCAAAAATAAACCGTACGATGTACATTACTTAGATAAAGCATTAAAGAACACAGAACGCACTATTAGTAAGCCTGATTTAAAGATGATCCAAACAGCTGCATGATAGAATGGTCTTACCGGCCGTCATTGCAGACATCAGAAGAACTGTCTTAGGCACTCCATATTATGCAGCTGTTACATACTATTTGATTTGATAGAGCAAGCTTAGATGTCAATGTTCCAATAAATGTTTGTTACCTAAGTACATCCATTCTAAAGAGAACATGAGTGTGAAATAAAATCTTAGGAAAATATTAGAAACTTAAATTGATGGTAAAAGGATAGAGGTAAATGTGGAATAGAGATTAAAAATGTTTTAATTTGTTGTCGGGAAATGAGTGGAAATCATACGGATTAAGTTTATAAAAATGTGAGGGAAAATAGAGAGAAAAGACTGCAGAAAAAATGAAGCGCCTGAGGGAAAAAGAAGATAAAGGGGGCATTCTCTTTAATACATTTTTAAGATTTTGTTTTAAGAAGTGCAGGAATATAAGAATATAAGCAAGAAAAGAACAAACTCAATAACAAATAAAAATAAACCTTCTGGGATTATCGAAGCCATTATTAGTGATATCGGGGGATGAATTTTCCTTGGAAGTAAGAACAACTGGTGGGGTGTAATTGACGTTCTCATCAGGGTTGGTAAGCTTCACCAAACCTGCCAGCCCAAGCAGCTCATTCCTATTTAGGCAATAACAAATAAAACCAACATCAACATGCACAACAATAAAAAGCAAACAAAATGAATACCGAAAATTCTAATAAATTAAACCACTTTTTTAAAAAAACAAAAACATCAACCTGTAGTGAGTCAAGAATAAATCATCATAGTTTCATTCAAATCAAAAAAATAAAAAATAAAAAATTAGGTATTTCTGACTTTCTTCCTGATATACATTACTAAAATCTATTTTCCAGGATAAAATAATTGTTTGCAATGATAATAGATTACACAAATGATTTTTCTTCATTTCATTGGCATTTTCCCTCATTTTCCCCAAAAAATTGACAGGGATGGAAAACTATCCAACCATGCTACTAGAAAGGCCCCCTGAAATTGATAAACATCTTTGAGAACAAGAAAAAATAGGGATGACTACAAAAATTAATTTCAATCTTCTTTTTAACAAATTTCCAGGTGAATCGTGAATTGGGGTAAAAATGTGAGAGGACCAATCCAGTTTGAGAAAAGCTTCTAAAAATAAAAAATAAAAAAATAAAATAAAAAAGTAATCAAATTAAATGGTGAGAAAACACTTGAGTGCAAAAATAATGAAACAAAACAAACATAACGTGCAAAGTAAAACAGCGAGAGCAACCCCTTGATGAGAAGGGTTACGATGCTTAAGAAAATCAATGGGCTGAAGAAGTTTGTTTCTTTTTACAAATAGCATGTGTGCCCCAAAGAAAAGCAATGTCTATAGACACTATTAGTGGCGACGTCATCATAGGGATTCTCCATTATATCGAATTGGATCCAAACAATGTCATTGGCATAACCTCTTTCAATGCTACCAATGCGAAAAAATCCATATATATCGCTTTTCTGTGACATGGCACTAATAGCATCTATATTACTACCTTTAATTAAGAAGAAGCACATGGCTCAAACAACAACTGAACGGTAACATCCACAGACGAAAACATACTTGTATCCTCTTTTACACAAAACAAAACTCAAAGCTGGCTCACATAGATACTCCTTGCCTAGGAAACACTGATAAACAAAGGGCTTTCTGGACCCAGAAAACTGGACCACTGATAGGCAACACAGCAGGATGTTACCAATGTCTTATGTAATGCACCCACAAGATGCAGTCTTGATGTAGGTAAATATGTATTTTACCAAAATATGTAATTGGCTGGCTCTGACTTCCAAGTCTATTTAAAATTGGATGGTCATTTACAAAAAGACTTGAGCTCCTAAAATGAAAATATATATTTATATAAAAAAAACCCTGTCATAATTGCCCTGTTTTAAATCTTAAACTAATCAATAATGTGATTAAACATTTAAAGATTCTATAGTTTAAAGTTACAAGAATAGGAACAGGTCACTTTTAATGTTTTTTGTGTTTTTCTCGTATTTTAATTATGGCGCTCATGTCTTTATGAGAATGACCGATTCAATTCAGTTTTGCTTTCAACTTTTGAGTATTAACTCAGACTTTTATTTTTTTGGATGTAACTCAAGTATCAAAACATTAAAGATTCAAGTTCTACATTTATGTTGCCACGACCCAAATGAAAACAAGAAATTTCTTGCATACTCTGATGCTGCAGCTTCCATTTTTAGGTGGCATGTTCTTCAAAGCTCAGGGCAGGAGGAACCGCGAACTTTCACATCATTGAGTCGAGGAAGGCAAAAAAAATATCAGACCCATACTAAAATTGATTAATGCTTCTATCTCCCATACTTAGTGGTAGAGCATTCATAGTACTGGGATAGTTTTTTGCAGTGTTAAACCGTTAAAATAATCTCCATTCTAAGGAGTTGAGAATCATTAGAATTACATGATGTTGACGGCTAATGTAAAAAAATGGACATATCCACTTGCAGCGTTGCAAGCATTTTCCTGTAGAATTTTCCGTGCATTTTCTTCACTTATTCAAAAATATTGACAGAAAATTTCACAGGGATATTTTGAGGAGTTGTCTGTAGAAAAAATAAAGCATGATAGGAGATTTTGAAGCTTTGCAATAGAGGTGCACATTTTTCGACTTTAGGTATCGATATCTTACTTGGGAACTGATTTTTTGCAGCCACACACACATTCTATTAGGACAAAGATCAGAGAGACAATTACAGTCAGCGACACTATCCATAGCAGCGGTATGTCCTCAGGTAACATTGCCAATTTGAAAGCTGCCAGTCATTCTGAAAAACAAACAAGAAAAAAATTGATAAAACTGAACCTAGACAAATTGGAAGCATGTATTCACACTTTTATTCCACTCTCAGCAAATCAGATCACTGCCTTGAGCTGTGCGAATCCTGATGATCAAATTAGCAATGCCGCTGGACAGCTAGAATTTTTAGGTGTTAGAGTTTTGCAGGTGTTGGAGTCCTGTTTCTGAGGGCTGGGTTCTCAAAGATCCTGACACATATCATCAGTTATGAGGAGGGTATCACTGATGCAATTCTGCTCTCACCAAATAGAGTCCTCAGAAAGGTAAATATGATGCTCTAGACTGCACACCAAACGATTCTTGATGAAAATTTCCCGGGATTTTTAACTAGACAGACCTTCTGAGCTCAAGACCCAAAATCTGTAGAACATTTGCCTTGAATTTTTACGTCTTTATCAGGGAAAGTATCTTTCACACAGTAAGATAAGTAGCATACAAAAGATTCATTAGCTTGTGAACTCCACAGGATTTGACCTGTTTTGAAAATTCCTCTTGCAATTAGATGCGCTAATGTGGCATCATTTCACGAGCATCTATTTGCATAGAACCAATGGAAACAATAATAATTGTGTCTGTAACAAGGATTCCACCATTCAGTAGTGTCACAGCTTGTCATAAGAGTAAGATGGTAGGAAAAATTGTCCATTGGTAGTCAGCGATTCAAAAAATCCATCAATCTATACCAACGCAGAATTTCATTTCTTCCGTTTGATCTCCTCACTATCCCCAGCCAACTCGAGAAAGATTGTATTTTTTGTTACACTGTTAAAATGAACAATATCTGTTATTTGTCATGAAACTTGTGGTTTTGACCCCCTAAAACAAGATAGTTTGCTACTGATAGATTGATCTTGAAAACTGTACTTGCAAAACATTCTGAATGATGAATACTTTGATTCACAATTAGGAAATGAAAGAAATCTATCATTTAGACCGCACAGAGTTGTCATAAAAGTTGCTTATGTGTGGAAATTTTGGATTAATAGAGTTAGAACTGATCTCGTTATTGTTTTAGTACTTTTTCAAAGGCTATCATGCTTTAGAGGGATTTGAAACTTGATATGCATTGAGGGTTCAATCAACAAATGCCAAAATCTATATTTTATACATCATGGATGGAAATCTAACCATTTTGAGCGACGAGAACTTCAAATGATATGGTATAAAAGCTGTCCAAAGATTTACGCTGATTGAATTTTTTGCTACAAATTTAGGTAATTCACAAATTATGAGTCATGCAAAACATAAGTAAATAAAACATCTGAGAAGACAACTCAGGTGTTATACATCGATACTTTCCTGATGAAATAACTTCCAACAAGAAGCAGACAATTGGGGGATAAAACGGAGGACCGTAAGTAGAGGAACAAATATCTTATTGATAAAATACTTCATGAGTACATATCTACTTACATAGCATCAAAGCAAACAATACTTCAGCCAAAACTGAAGATAGATAATTTGTCCTCTTCTACAGAGAAGAACTTAACAAGAAATTTTAGATGCCTAGGGGCATCAGACTTTGAAAATACACGCACTACAAAAGTTCACACGATTACGGTTAAAAATACTCAGTCTTGAAGAGAAAAAAATGTCAAAACTCATTAATATTCATAATAAAAGCTCCTCTAGAACCACCGAGAGGGTTTTTCAGAATAACCTAACTGTTCAACTTCAACCCAGTCCACCCAGTCCTCCCAGTCCCAGTTCAACTTGAGAACGGACTTCTTCGATGATGTTTTCGGAACACATAGTATTCCAAGAGATCCGGAAAAACGGGGCACCTGGGAACGAGGGGTCAGGGCTCAGGGGTGCGGAGGTGTTTTGGGTCCTGACAGATCGCCTTTTAAATTTCACGTATTTTTTCACGAAGTCATTGAAACAAAAAATTTTTGAAAGTTCATGGGAAATGTAAATATGTAAAATGTAAATTCAAATTACTTGAAATTTCACATACATATTTTTCATGAAATTTCCAATCTCTCAGGGTGGGAGTGGGGGGTGAGGGATGAGAAGAACCTTTTTTTTCTTTTTGTAGCCATGAGGAAAAAAGGCAAATTCCTGTTGAATAGATTTTACGACAGTTTTTGACATGAATTTTGGAGCGTCTTAATTTAATTTTTGAGGGTTTACAAAGAATTTGAAACTCCGTGAAAATTCATGTGACTTTCAGGAGCTTTTTCAATTATCAATCTATTTTGCTTATTAGCTAGTTTCCTTCAGTTCCTTGAGTAGGCAATTGTGCATGCGCCTGCCGGATCTTTCATAGTATTATTTGTTCCAAAAACATCCACAGTTAATTCTGTCGTGTGCGTCGTGTGCAATCTAAGCGAGTTTATTGACAAATAATCACCATCAACACCGAAGAATTCATCAGAGTTCAAGTGCGGCGAATTCGATCTAAATTTGTAATATCTACCGGAAGGCAGGCTCCTCCTAATTTTATATCACCAAAGTTTCTTTTTCTAACTCTCACCTTACGCACTTTTACATTGCTGAGCAACTGAGTGTCGGTGAAATAATTTTTGTCATAGTACATAGTAGCAGTCCAAGCCAAAGCTTTCCTCAGATCATGCTTGCAAGTTCGAAAGTTCATGAGGTTCACGAAATTTTCAGCCTCTTTAAATCTCTAATCTGAATGTAATACAAGAAAAAAGAATCCTCTTTTACCGAATGTAACTGAAGTAAAGGTAAGCTCATGTGTTCTCATATTCTCTCCTCTAGTATTTAGATTACGTACTTATTAAGAGCGAAAAGTTTGTGTGTTATCATATCACTTAGAGTATTGACTTGTAACAACTCAGCATTATGAGTAGTTCATTCTGGTGATTGATTATGTATTTTTATCACTGGTAATTAAATGTCTTGTTGGAAAACGGCGTAACAAGTGGTAGGGGCTCCAGTGGCATCATTTTAGAACCGTACACTAAGGTGGAAAATCACTACACGCCTCTGTGAATTATTGTCAGTTTGGCAAAGTATCATTGACAATGCAACCAAACTTACATTTGTATTGTGGTAAAGATTGTGATATTTCCATATCTGAATTCGTAGCTGCTGAATTTAAATCGGACTAATCTCATTCTCTCTTGCACTCCTGTTTGTAACATCACATGATGCTATTTACTATGAAACGAAATCATCCAAGTCTTACGCTCATCTCGACGAATCTCTAATTTGGTCCCTCTGATTAGATTAGGTGAATTTTGATTGATCTGGATCATTCTGGACGTTACATTTACATTTTCATGAGATGAGGATTTACCGTGCCATAAAGGAACAGACAACCGAGCTGTCATTTAAATCTACCCTTTGCTATCAATTAGATGTTCAGCAGTCTTCAGTAAATGATTTTAAAGCAACTAACAAAAATTAGACAGTTGATGTAATTGTTTCCTTTTTTTTGCAGCGCTGATTGAACACAGTCTGGTCAATTTTAAAGGATTACAACGGCCTGGCTGAAACTGCCGTGTAAACTTAGATATGTGGTTCATTTATGGTATTCGGTAAGTTTCATTAAATATTCCATGACATCTTTCCTAACTAAGTATTACATGTTGATCATATTATGGATACGCACCGCTCACTGCCAAAAATGCAGATCGTTCTTACCCTCCGAAATGATTCGTCTGAAATGAAATCAAGCTTCTCTATTCTCACTTCTCCAATTAATATTGCTAGCAAAATCTCTGTTCACCCTAGAAAGACTGCAACTTTGACTTGTATAAGTCTGTTTGACTCTTAGGAGCCAACATGTAGGTATCGGAATTTTCTAGTCTCTCCGATTTTTATGCGTAGATTTCAAAATTTTGGTGGAAAAATGAGTTTTTTCTCTCGGAGAGGACTCTCAGACCACTTCTTCCACCGATGCAACCTCACTGAATACTTCCTTATTTTCTCTCATTAACTAGTATTAAATGTTGTCATTGCTGGAAAAAATTGGCTGTTCTAATTTTTTGTTTTGTTTTTTACTTTTGCTTTAAGATGCCGACAATTTAAAATCATGGTCAGCTCTCGCCTTTGATTTTCATTGTTGTTTGTGCTGTCAGTTTCTGACTTTGAAAACTAATCCTCATGGCTCTGACGCATAAAGCTGGCGGTCAGGGTGGAAGGAAGAAGGTTCAGGTATGTTATCTTTTCATTACATTATCCACCACAATCTTCACATAATCTTTTTTTATTGCATCTCTTACATTTGCAATTTTGCTGATTTTCTTTGCTGTAACCTTTCTCATGTTAAAGTTGCAATGTACCCTAGGCCATATTCAGCAGCTGCCAATACTGCCATGCTAAGGAAGAAGCTGCATGATGAACATTTGAGAGTTGCCGTATATCCTCAAATAAAGTGTTTATTTTTTAGGAGAATTACGAATATTTCCTCTTTAAATTTTCAGATGATATAGATTTAATTATGAAGATAATTCTCTGAAAAATTGAACAGAAAATATTCACAAGTTTTCCTGAAAATTCATATTTGATCAAACGAAATCGGCAGTTGATGAAGGTTCACATGGCGTTTTTCCTTAGCACGGCAGAATATAAGTACAACCCAATCAGCAGGATGATTATTGAAAGTTAAAAGCAGCTCGATAAGACCAGTTAAATGTGTTACATTGCATAGTTAAGATAGGGCTATATCTTGTCTTGCCCTTCTGACATCGGGCCGCTGGACTTTTGAACTTACAAACCAAAAAGAAAAAAAATTATCTCTATTTTTTACCTCAGCAGGTACAAATAAATTGGGTCATGGCATGTGACCTGCCTGAATGTGACTTGCAAATGGCCAGTCAAAAGATTCGAAAAACACCTCAGTTTAAAAATTGCAGCCTTAACTATAACACTTATTTATAATAAAGCATTTGTTGACTAACTGCCATCTTCAAAGTCTTTTTAATTCTGAAAATATGACAATTGTACAGATTATTAAATTGACTCACATTGTGCAAAATGCTTAAAAGTGACCGTATTCACTGAAACTTTTCAAAGTGAAGAAAGTTTGAGTTTCTGAGGACTATTTTGCATTTGAAGCTACCAAGTGTTCATTTTTGTTTGCCCTAGATGAAGGAAAATCCCACCAAATCTGTACAAATGGATCGCATTTAGCAAAAAGGAACCAGCGCGATTACATTGTTTAAAAATGTTGCTTCTTCATAAGTATCTAACAAATCTCCCAGAATAGCAAGTAGTTTTTGCTTTGCAGCAAAAAATATTAATTTCAAAGGGAAATAACTGTGTGAACTTTAATAGTGTTCGTGTATTAAGTATTTTTAAAGAACAATAAAAAGTTGCATGATTTTAAAAACACTGTAATGGCGCTGGTTTCTTTTCGCTAAATGTGATCCAAATCGTCTGTCAGTATTTTGCAATTAGCCAAGGCACATTGACATTTTTAAGACAAAAAGCCGGCTCTTTTCAAAGGATTCTCAATATGCCCAAAATGGCTCTAGCTAAAGTTTTTAATTTTGACTATTACTTGTTCATTAATGTCCGCTATGTTCACAGGTATCCTTTGTGATTAGAGAAGAAGAGGAAAAACAACATCGAGCCGGAGTCAATTCATTACAATATGATCCATTACTGGATAGACTTTACTCAGCTGGGCGCGACAGCATTATCCGCATATGGAACTGCAAAAACCCCAAAGATCCTTACCTCCAATCTATGGAGCATCATTTTGATTGGGTCAATGACATTGTTTTATGTTGTGGTGGAAAAAACTGTGAGTAATTCTGTGTTCTCTCTTCTTAAATGCTTCATAAACTTGAGCTATTGCTAAATTTATCTCTATCTACCATTTTGTCCATAGGGTTTGTAATACAGGATAATTCAAAAAGCTCATAATTTGTGGAAGTACACGTGTGAAGTGACCCAAATGTGTGTATCTTTCACCTCACATTTAATTACCACAGGTGGAAAAATGTTTTACGTGGCTGCCATGCAATTTGCATTTATTTATGTAATTGTCAAAATGCCACACACTAGCTAAATTGACTAAATTTACCACCGACTTATGATTTATCAATGTGAAAATTTGTTTAAAAAATGAACAAGCACATCAAACAAGTACCACATAAACCATTAGAATGGCATTGTAAGATCACAACCTGAAACTTTGTTTCTCGTGTTCTAGTGCCTGTATAAATTCCAGTATGCATGCACAAGGTATCATAGCAGTTAGCAGGGTGGAATTTATCGGTATAATATCCTCCCATTCGAAATGAGGCCAGTTTTTTAGCGAATTTGAAACTTACCCTCTTAATTGAGATGAAATGAAAAACAAAAATATAAAGACAAGTTGTCGCTCCTGGTGGCTAAAAGAAATTTTTCACAATTACTTCGCAGGCAATCTGGTTGTCCCGTTGCTGCTAAAGAACCCATGCTACTCCGTGCTTCTTTCGTCTCCATTCCTCTCTCCCTCCCCTACCCTCCTTTTGAGGCATACTTAAGGCAGTCCTGGGCTGGGTCCCCCCCTCCCCTACCTACAAATGCCTTAGGTAATAATAAAATTTGTTCTTTTTTATGATGGAGATGTGGGGAATAAATTATTACCATTTTTTGCTTTTTTGGACCATTGACATCACAGCCCTCTTTTTAGTCAATTTTCGGTTTTTTCTGGCTTTGATTTCCCTGAAAAATAGTGTGGACCCAGCACTGTTCTACCATGTCATTACTTACTTCATTAAGTGTGTACCCATTTTTTCTTTGATCTCCAGTGATTTCAGCAAGTGCCGATACAACGGTCAAGGTATGGAATGCTCACAAAGGGTTTTGCATGTCAACATTACGGACTCACAAAGATTATGTACGAGCACTCGCATATGCCAAAGATAAAGAGCAGGTTGCATCTGCTGGATTAGATAAAGCTGTCTTCCTGTGGGATGTTAACACTCTCACTCAGTTAACTGCAAACAATAACACTGTAACCAGTAAGTTTTTTTTTTTCCAGACAATATGCGACTTTTTACAGAACAAAGTGATCTTAGTCCACAGAAAGTCAAAATAATCAATTGATACCAGAGCATAAACGATGTTTTACCAATATTTTGGGATTAAAAATGCTCAAAAATGTCAAACTGAATCAAAGTTACGGAGGATGAAATAGCTAGAGCTGTTAAATAGCTGTAGTCTCGAAATAAGCTATTTAAATGTCTAAATCGTTATGTTCAGGCCATGAAATCTCTGTATCAGAATCCAAATTGTTGCTCTCTTTTACCAGAAACATGAACTAAGCTGCTGCCAATTTATTCTATCTGACCCCAGAAAGCTTTTCATTGAAACCTCCAAATCCGATTTTTCAACCCGACTTTCAAAAAATTACTTCGCTGAAAATTTGACTTCCGTGGACCAAAATCCCTTTTTCTATCAGTTGCTAAATTAATTTTTTTTTTTATTTTTGTATCCATTTTGGCTGATTTTGTAGAAATACTTGCACAGAATCACTTGAGCTACTTTCCATGTATTTAGATTACAATGACTCTCCTGGTAAATAAAGGAACTCTATCTAGTGCTTCATTGGAATGTTCTTTCACCTCATCAAAATGAGATTCTTTTCAACTCATCATTCAGCATACAAAATGGCCTCAGGTTTCTCTAAAAAGGGAGGTGAGTACAGATGGAAAGCTCTTGATGGCAAAACAGGATATTTTAAAAAGCAAGGTGTCTACTGTACGGAAAAAGTGAGGAAAAGGCGATGAAAAAGTAAGGGTTTTAGGAAAGAGAATTGTTTGGGTAGTATGGAAAAAGTAAGGCAGTAAAGAAAAAGATTTTAGATCACGATGCACCAGTAGACAACCTGAAAAGTCAAAATAGTACTAACATTGATCCTCAAATATTTTTGTAATTTTTTTTTTGCCTACCTATCTAATTTACCTTATGTTCTCTCAATTTGTAAAATCTACTTTTATTTTCAACTTACCACGAGAGTCACTAGAAACATCATATTAGCAATGAACCTGATAAGTTGAATTTTTTATTGTTAGTTTAGACATTAACCTGTGTTCTTCTTCTTCACCCAAACAGCATCAACAATGACCGGTAGTAATAACTCCATATATAGTTTGGCAATGAACCCTCCAGGAACGGTAATCATTAGTGGAAGCACTGAAAAAGTTCTCCGAGTTTGGGATCCCCGTACTAGTAACAAATTGATGAAACTTATAGGTAAATCCTTTGTGTTTTATTGATTAGAACATTCTGGAATATTCTTTTTTGTCGTTCTTCCTGAAACTACAGACTATTTCCAAAGCATTCAAAACTTTTCAGATAACAAGTATCAATTATCAAACCTGTCATTATCAATGCTTAAAAATTAGTGTGTCGAAGGAAAGAACCAAAATGTCGCAAGTGTACGGACTGGAGGACATTTTCAATTTTTTTCACTCATCAAATGACAAATATGTAGAGTCGGGAAGGTTTGGCAATTGCGGATCGTAGCGAGAATTTCCTGAACTTTTAAAGTTGTAAAATTCAATTGATAAGTTAGTAGTAGCACTGATCATGACCTCCTAATTGTATAAATACCAAGTGAATTAACGCAAAATTGGCTATTTTTCCATTTTTGTGGCGTGGATCAGAGAAATTTGTCGTGAAATGTGTACAATTTTTCTATAAAAAATGTTTGCTTGAAAATTACATGAAAACACCCTTAAGTTGTGCTTTTTCAGGATTTTCTTTTATTTCTTGTTGTGGTTTTCACCTACTTTAATGGCACCGGCGAAAATATTCATCAACAGACCAACCTCTACAATTATACAATGTCCAAATTTTTGATGAACTTGGTCCCTGTGTCTAAGCACAAAAAAATTTTCAAATTAATTCAGCGTTTAAAAATTGCACCATAATGTGTGGAAGCATCCAAATATTAGTCGTTTAGAACAGGAATCTTCAAAAATCGCTGCAAGTTGAAGCTGGTTTTTATCACATATCATATCTTACAATTTTTTTTCCTGCTCCAACACAGGTCACACTGACAATGTGAAAGCACTTGTTGTTAACAAAGATGCATCCCAATGTATATCTGGTAGCTCAGATGGAACTATTAAGTTGTGGTCTCTAGGCCAACAGCGATGCATTCATACATTTAGGATTCATGAAGAGGGCGTTTGGGCTCTAGCGGTAAGTTTTGTTCTACTTTCCGTCATGGAACTTCCTGATAAATAAGAATGCAGAAAATTCGTCATTGCAATGTTGCCGGAGATTTGGAGGAAAAGATGTTCTCTTTTGAGAAACAGTTAAATATTTGTATCCTCTCAAAGAGATTTTATGTTGCAATGTTCCTCCTTATAAATTTACAATGACTCCTTGTTATAATCAATGCCAAAATACTTCCAGCAGGACAAGTCATAGCTTAACAGCATTGCCTTTGATGCTCTTCAGAGCTATTGGCGTCACTTGCTGGTTCTTGTAGCTTTTCTCTACAATGCTAAGAGGTGCAGAAAGTCCCAAAACGCTTGAAGTTTCTTGCACTTTAGTGTTTTTGTATCTTGGTCCAATTTTCAATTTGTTTCATGAGAAAATGTCCAATCTTATGGCCAGATGCCTGATTTTTTTTATAAATTATGTGCTTTGTCCCAATTTTGTTTAATGACGAACAGAAGAAAGGAAAAATAAAAATGGGGAAAAATGAAAAGATGTCACAACTTCACTTAAACACTCAGCGTTAAAATGATGCTATGCTATGCTATGCGTCACAGCAATTGACAAAATCACGAAACTTTGACTGTTTTCCTCTAGCTTAAACCCTTATTCATATCAATTGCTGGTTGCAGTGACATGGGAAATAGGAAGGAATGGTCGTAAAATTAAATCATGAATAATTTTCTCAGCTCCTGTAATTTAGCTGGTGTGAACCTACTGACAATTTTTTTAATTTAAAGCAAAAGAAAGATTTTATCTGCTAAAGTCCCTGTATTTTCATTGTCTCTTCTTCATTCACAAGTACCAAGAAAAATAACAAAAATATAGTGGTTGTCTAACTTTAAATTAAAACCTCTTTGGAAAGATAGTCACCAAAGACAGGAAATTTCCCCATCAAAGCTGTAGTTGTCGATGTGAAGCTAATGTTAAGTCTAATTTTCAGGTCAATGAATCTTTCACACATGTCATATCCAGTGGTAGAGATTGTAAAGTCCTAATGACAGATCTACGAAACATGTCAAAACCGCCAGTTTTAGTATGTACAGAGAAAGCTCCTGTCCTGAAAATGGTGACAACTCCCGACCAGGCCGGGATTTGGGTCGCAACTTCCGAGTCAGATATCAATTATTGGGTAAGATTAGCGTTTCCCAATACAAATTTTTCTTCCTCACCAATCTGTTCTTTGTTAAAAAATTATATTCCTAAGGATCAGATGAGATTAAGCTATCAATTGTTGATTTCAGACATCAGTAGGTTGTTGCGCCAATCATATAACCGTGTTTCGATGATTCAAGCTTGTAGATTAGCGAAAAATAATAGAAACTGTCCAAACGCAGAGTTTCTACGTCCAATATTGACGGATTCATTGCTCATCAAAAAACGCGGTGTATGACATCATCCACCGCAGTAGTGCATACCATGGTTTCTTCCACCTTAGTCTCATCAATTAGGGATACACAAATTTTCACCAATTGCTTAACGTAAAACACGAGTAAAATTGGTGGAAGAAACCACTCGAAGTATCACTGCGGTGGTTGTAGTCATTGGCCATGTTATTTGATGGGCGATATTTTATTTTGATTGGGTGTTATTTGATGTAGACACTTAACGTTTGAATAGATCTTATTCAGTTATGCTTATCTATAACCTTATACTACATAATCATGATTATGTGGCATGCACAAATGACCGGTTAGCAGCCAACAGTAGAGTGAGGTTTACCGTAATGTGTACGGTTTTATGCCTTAGTTTGCAAGTGCCTAAGCTTAGCTGATTTTGAAGTTGCTTTATGCTAATCTCGGCAGTTTATCAATGAAACCAAAGGGTTGCACCCTAGAACCGTTCTTGTACTTAGTTTGTACCATGGAGGAAGATTTGATCCTCTTGCAATACTTACCTTCCTCTGAAATAGTGAGCTGAAAACAATTGTATTAAGACTCTGTTGATTTATGGCAAAAGAAATAAAATATGACTGTACGAGGCCTCTGAGGGAAGAATAATGACAGGTTTCAAAAAAAGAGTGATGTTCTCTCCAAATCAAACTGTTATTTGTTTTCAGGCATTACCTAAGAAAGACATATCACCTGTGGCTAGCGGTGATGGTAACGACTCAGATGTCTGTGATTTGAAGCCTTATTGTTCCGCACCAGTGTTCACCATTAAAGGGGCGCCGGCAATTAGGAAAGTGCATACTCTGAATGACAAACGTATGATACTGACTCAAGATTCGGATAAAAATGTGGCACTTTACGATGTCTTGGAGGTAAACTACAATCCTAACATTCCAAAAGTGTTTACCTCTGTCCTTTGCCTCTTTTCATAGTCCAATGAAAGATTATACATAGTGGAACCAGAAGAAGAGTGAGGTAGAGATTGGGGTATTATCTTTGTTTCATTGACGGATTAGTTAGACAGGGGGCCAAATCTTATGGATATGGAACAACTAAATATCTTGTGATCATGATTTTAATTCATTGTCATCACTAATTGACAAGTTTTTTTTTTTTTTTTTTTTTTTTTTTTTTTTTTTTTTTTTTTTTTTAAATATGTACTATAATTGTTATTCTATCTGTAATTCTGAAGATGGTTTTGTAAAGCCAAAAATGCGTCAGGCTGTTGACCTAAGTGGAATACCTCGTCGTTATTCAGATTATCCTGATCGCTATTTGCTGTGAAACAAATGCCCCCCCCCCCTCTGTGGGGAGGATCTTGAGTATTATTTCTGTTATTTTTTTTTATTTATTGTTTTAGAATCTTTTCTTCTTTTGCGTTGAGTAAGATTTAAGCTTGGTGTAAGCAGGCATCTAGAATGAATAACAATCAATCTTGTCATATCATAAATTTAAGGATCGTGGCTATAACATTTACTTATTTGTATTATCAAAAATTATTATTTCGTTAAAAAAATGATGAAATGGGCTTATTAGTGGTGTTTCCTGAGGTTTTCCAGAAGTTTTTCCAAACGATCCTACATAGATGAATTGCAAAAAATGCCAATACCAAGGCTAGAATTTAGGGAGCTCCAAGGTGTCCTATGAGTCTAGGAAGTAGTCAGGTTTTACCATCAGGCAATTTTTATATGAGGTGGAAAATGTTGTGTTTCACAAGTAATTACTTACCATTTTTGCAAACTTTTCTCTGTACACTTTCACGTAAATCTATCATGTATTCTATCTCATAGTTTTAACGTAATTCTAAGTCAGTCTTGTTCTACTGGTTAACTTGGAATTTACCATCGCTAATGTAATTCCAATTTTAATTTTCTTAGGCTCGTAAATTGGAGGATCTTGGTCAAGTTGATTTTGAGGAAGAAATCGAAAAACGACACCGGAGAATATATGTGCCAACATGGTTCAATATTGATTTGAAAACTGGGGTGAGTCCTACTAGTTAATTATTCTAAAGGAAAAAGAAATATAATACGAATTTAACAAATGCTCTGTTGTTGGTGTCGAATTTTATTTTGGTCTGGTCCAAACCAGTCTGCTTTATTCTAATACGATCTAGTCAATTCCCATGCAGTCCAAATCTGATTTGATCCCTATTCTGCCATGCTAAGGAAAAACAATGTACGCACGTCAAAGAGTTGCCAAATAACTTTTGATAAAATCTTTATTTTTGAAGGGAGTTATGAATATTTTCTCTTGAAATTTTCAGATCATTTAAATCTGGTTGCAAATAAAATTCTAAAAAACTCAAGAAAAATGTTCACGGAATTCCCATAAAATTCATATTTAATCAAAGAAAGTTATGCCCTTGGCGTTCTTCATTAGTACAGCAGTACTGCTCCACAATCATATCGCCTTGTTGCTGGTAACGAGGGTAGACATAATTTCCAGTTGAACAGGAAGCATGCCCTACAGAGTTCTTTACTGAGAATGAATCGTTTGATCAATGGATGCTGTGCTTACCTTGAAGTTATCAGTCTCACCAGCTATTCAATCCGTCCATCCATTTCTATCATAGCTCAAATAACTCCCTGAAAATATTCTCAGATGTGTCAATCTTTTAAGGATGCACCATTAGTAATCAAATTTGATACTGTGGTATGTAGCTCAACCATGGATTCCTCTTCTCATTGTCAGTATCCAAAAGCTCCAGAAACCTTGTGATATGTCAAGTAATTTCGAAGTGTCAACAAAACGTGTGACAGCACCCTTGTTCAAGAGGATAATAATAACACTGTAATGATGACAGCTCCCTCTCGTCCGTCAAGAAAGGTAGTGAGAAAAAATTGTACACATCAGTGATGAGGATAGGTCAGTCGTGTGAAAACCCGGGTACATGTAGTTATTTTATGTAAAATATTTTGATTTCTGACTCATTTAAGTTGTTGTGGGTTTGGTTTAAATTTTTTTCCCTGAAAAAGTAAACAAAAATTAATTGTGTACGGTATTCACTATTTTCTATTTCTATTTCCTTGTTATCAGATGTTGACCATCCATTTAACACAAGATGAAAATGACTGTCTAGCTGCTTGTGTCTCATCAAGAGAAGTTGGGCTTACCTGTCCTGAGGAACCAGACATGAGAGGTACATACATTTCCGTACATACTTTTCCATACATCTCTTTGTATCCTAGGCATGCTGTTCTCAGCATATGTTGAACTCGTTTCGGTAATGATGTGAGCTTACCATCCATGTCAAGTGGTACTTATCACCCAAAATCATTTTCTGACAAAAGAGTTGAGTTAAGTAAAGTAAAAAAAGAAAGGAATGTACAAAAAAGAGAGGTAATTTCTGGACTCCGCCACTTCATGTGCGTTCTGGGGTTCTTACTATTTACCTGGTGCAGTTCAGTTAACATAATTCACATCTTCATACAGAAGATTTTCTTAGTTTCATTTTACCTCCATCTTAGTGTCGTAAGTTTTGTGATTTTTATCTCCTTGTCATCTTGAATGTTTATTCTCTCATAATTTCAGTCAACTATGGAACTGTATTATTAAGAGCGCTTCTAGAGCATTGGTTGGACCCTTTTACGAAAGATGAGGATGCAGAAATAGGTGGTCATCAAATCAGGCAAATAGCCAATGATTTTCGATTAGTTCGAGTACCTGGTCATACGCCCCTCATTTTCAGGTAATAAACTGTTGGCCATTCAAAATTAAAATTCAGCATATTCTCCTTTAAATTTTGATTGATAGCTTCCACTTTGTATTCATGTCTAAAGTCGCCAAAAAGGTAATCAGTAAAAATTACAGGTGAAGAGAAGAAAATGTCAGGGTAAATTGATAACATTCTTTCAAAAAAATTCTAACATGTTACCCTCTATAACCGCATACTTTTTTTACAACATTAATTCGGATTTTTTTTTTAAAAGGCAAATGGTCTTTGAAGGCATATTATTAAGTTTTTGTACGCTGATTATTACTCCTTTTTTTGTCTCTTTTTGAAATGTAAATCTACTCAAAAACCTTGAATCCTGCAGAAGCACTTATTCCAATTTTTCATCATGTAGTGAGTGCTCTATTAGTTGCTTATGTATGAATTGAACTCTTTTTTTTTCTTCCAGTGACGTAGGTGGTAGGGCGTTTCATCGATTGCTCGTCAAAGATGCCGGCGGTGAAAATGAGTCAACTCTTCTCAAAGAAACAGTACCACAGTGGGTTCTTGACGGAATTTGTGACAAAAATAACCCAGCAAAGAATCAGTTTCCTAAAATTGCCTTTTTCCTTCAACCGCATCCCTCTACTGGGATCAAACATATGAAAAAGTAAGCTACCTAATGTTTAAAATACTTCCTCAATCCTCTCAGCTCCATTTTAATTATGCTATCGTAACATGTAACAGTTATCTATATCCTAGATGACGATCTGTGTCAATGTTATTTTTACTTATCTATGTCTGTATGCATATTCTCAGTATTGACCTGATTATATCATTTTGTCTTTTTTTGTATAGCACAAATGAGCAGTATGCTTGGAACTTTCATTTTGTCTTGGAGGCATTGTTGACAGCAGTACAGAGTACACTTATCTAATGTTGATTTTATGTATATCATTCTATCGACCTTTTTCCCTTGATTTTTATAAAATCAGTCACTCTCACACTACTTCTCTCAAAAAAAATGGAGAATATTTCTTCTCTTCAAGACCTCCAAAAACGAGGCATGAAATTTTGAACTACGGTGGTATTGATATCATAATTTGATTTATATTTCTTTCCCAGGTGTATACCTAAAACAACAACCGAAAACCTCAAATAGCACCATGTTCGAAGCCACCGTCGACTTTTTTCCTATACCCTCCTCCTTCTTAAGATGAAAATTTTTCTTCGCCAGCTGTAATTTCAAAAACTGCAAAATGATCGATTTCCCGTCTTATCTCTAGATCAGTAACTCAGTAAAAACCTTTATTTTACATTCCCTTAATCACTGTTTTCGTAGCAAAGTGGTCTGTGACTAAATATAAAGATTTCAGATTTGCGGCTCTTTTCTTTTGATTATTTACCATCATTTTTGTTGTCCATACATCCAGTATTTTATTTTTCATCTTAAGTGTGAGTAATGAATTAAATGTGGCAGCAATTCAGAAGCTTTAATATACTTTTAACTTACCTTTTTTTTTAAACTTAAATCTTACCTCAGTTGCATTAGGTAGCAACTTTTTTTCCCCAAGTTCCAGCAACCTCATCAGTAAATATGTAGTTTCATGATGATGCACACCTTTTGGTGTGCTATAAACACCAGAATGACTGGCAGTGTTGGCATTATTTTTTTTTTTATCCAGCCAGAACAGAGGGCAGAGCGCCATTCGCAAAATGCGCCTAAAAATGTGACCTAGGTGCTTAAAAACTAATGAGTTTTGGCCAAATGAGACGCCTAAAGAAGTCAGATGCACCATGCCGTGAATTTTTAAAGGAGGAAATTCGCTATACACTGCAACTAACAATTTGCATCCCTTGCAAAGTTTCACGCGCTATGATTGGTATTATGCATACAAAAATCATTTTTTCTCCTGAGAATCCTTTTTTCCTTTGCTCTCAAGAATTATGTTTACCAGCCAAGATGGCCCCTACAATTTTACCCTATAGTTAGAACACTGGATTCAAGTCTCCCCAGGAGCTGAAAGCTCGAAGTGTTGAGAACGGAAAAGTTCCATATGGCTCCACTAAGTGTGATAGATTGCCATCATTAAATTCTTTTCTATGGAATTATCCTGGAAACAGTGAAGTTTCCACTCAGATCTTAAGGAAGGGATCTCATTTTATTACTGTTGTGAATTTTGTCCCTAATTTTTTGCATTTTTCTTTTTCTACAGAGATCGACTTGCAGCGAATGATTTTATTCAAATGTTTAAAGTAGCTGAGCACGTTTATGAAAAAGTATTGGGGAGTGATGGTAATTCACCTGGCTCTGAAAGAGCTGAAGATCCAGACAACAACATACCATCAAAAGACCGAGTGGAACTTTTATGCAATGATGAGGTTGGTTCAGTTGTATCATCTTTTGCATGTTCTGTTTAAAATCTTCAGGAATGAAAAAAAAAAAATAACTTCTGTTGTCTCTTTCATCGCTCTGTCATGAGGCCCTAAAATTCCTTGAAAGATAGTGTTGTTGATTTTATGAAGATATTGATTTTTTACACAAAATAATCGATTAAATTGAATCGATTTTTTGCACGCAATTTTGCAACTAAATCGGTTTATTACTGACGAATCGAAATTTTTCGATTTTTTACTCACGAATCGAAATTTTTCGATTTTTTTCGAACAAAAATTTTACTCCTTAATAATTAAGGAAGCTACAAGCCTACATTATTCTTCAAAATTAAAGGAAGCTATCGAAATTGCTCCAATTTAAGGGACAATGTAACTCAACGCTCAGTGAGGCGAGAATTTAAGAAAAACGAACGGCATAATACTCATCCTAAAAATCGATTTTTTTATTCAGAGCGATTTTCTTGAAAATCCTCAGCGATTTTTTGACCTTGACTTTTCTGCGAATAATCGATTTTTGGGACAAAATCGACACTTTCGATTTAACACTAGTGAGAGGATATATCAAGAATTAAGATATTCTTTGCTGTTCTTCTTTTCAGTTTTGAAGACATCAAATAGTGCATTTCCTTAAAAAAATAAACTAAAATGGGTGAATTTTCTTTCGGTACTTCTGGATGACCCTCTGCAAATATATATTCTTTGTAAAGAGAAACGAGTAATGATGTCTCTTTTCTTTGTGATTCTTTCTCAGAGATTTATGTTTATTTTTTCAGGTCCTTCCGCCATATATGGATTTACGAACTGTCAAACATTTTATTTGGAAGTCATCAGCCGACCTAATTCTTCATTTTAAGCCAATTAAACCAATTCCCAATTCTACACAACGATCGTGATGATAAAGCCATTTTTTTAAAAAAAATTCCAAGTATCTCATAAGCATTGAAGTCAAAGTTTCATCAAACTTCTTAGTTGCCAGATTAGTCACTTTTAAATTTTAATATAAACTTTTTTATGTCATTTCATTCCCTTTTACAATGTGTTTCAAGAGAAGCTTAAATCTCTAACATTAACCTAAAAGTGATCAAATCACACCACAGGTTGTATCAAAGTTCTTTATTTCTCTTTTTTGATAGAGGGAGAGGAAGAACTTATTAAATTGTTCACGGGTAGAGTAACATAGCCGATACTTTTTAATTGCTAGCCAGGAATTTTCAAATCTTGGGGGAAGTCACAAAGCCCCATAGAGAAAATACAGGAAATGGTGATGAGCGTTAGTTTGTGCAATTCTTGTCACTGCAAGCAAACGCAGGTCGACATACATTGTGACGAAAGTGAATCATGCTGGCGCTAAGCAGTGTCTCCTATTTTTTAAACCTCAGTCTGTATTTTCTCTATGATGGAGCCCCATTCTCCCTTGCAATGCTTGTCTTGTCTGTGTTGTGAGACTCCCCCCCCTCTCATTGAAGGCAATTCATGAAAGACTCGATCGGCACCCTAAATAGAAACCCTTCTGTGAACGTTCTTTTATGAATTCATCATCAAGCATGTGCAGATAGTTTGCCAGTATGAATGATTTCCCACCTTTTGTAAAATTATTTACGTAAGTGCTCTGCTCTGTATCGTTTTATTTTGTTTCTTGAATGTTAATTTCGTAGTCTGGATTGACTGCCTATCTTATAGTGAGGAGAAATGGGTATGATCCTTGAGGTGCTATTTTAAATTTAAGAAGTATTGATGAATCAGTCAGGGTTCCTGAAGTATAATTTAGCTCCCTATTGTTTTTGATGAATCTAACCTTTAGAACTTTTAGTGATTTTTTATGGGGTAGGGAGAAGTCAGGGGAGTGATGAGTCTAACCCCTTAAAAAATCCATCTTCCGAGATGAAGAATTACCTAAGTGTAACACTTGGAGCAGAGCAAACATGATCTGCATAGGTTTGCATCGATGAATCAACCACTACAGCGAACGTTGGTTAGAAAAAATACTCCCTGTTTGATCACTGATACTGCTTATGACTCAAGCATGTTATTTTTTAAGATTCTAGAATGAAGCTCCTGAAAAACTCGAGCAGTCAGCGGGGTTTTTTGTCTCCCGCCTAAAGTTTGATAACAATGAACATCTGATATCTTTTGTATTAAACTCATTATCTCAATAATAAAATTCATTGATTTATTTTCAAAATTTTGTACAAGTTTTCATTTTAATGTATTACCTCCCTCAACACTACCTAAAATAGCAATTCTAAATGTTTCATGACCTATGCTAACGAGTTGCAAAAGAGCAATTAGTGCAAAAATTTAGTTTTAAGAAAGTGAACCTAGTTGCATCCAGAAGGAAAATTTGATTAAGCCATTGACCTAAGCACCTTCTTAACATTGCGCTATATGGGTGGTAAACAGTGCTGAGTGATCCTGTTGACTTAGACGGGTTTTCAACTCACCTAGATATCGCAGTTTCTCTGTGCAACTCAAGTAGACATTATAGAGAGAATGGCAAGTGTGCACTTCTACAAACGCAGCTACTACTCTGCTTCATTGAAGAAGGAAGAAAAGGAGGAGAGCTCGCCATAGGTGCTTCCATCCACCATACATGTGTATCAATAGCCAAAGTGCGAAACCATATACCTTCATTGCAGTATTTCAAAATTTTTGCTCCTATTTTACTTTTTTGGAAGAGTGACAATCCAATTCCAGAGCATACAGACTACTTCGATAATAAAGGAGAAGAACCAAGTAAGTTTGCAAGAAATTAAAGTGACTAATTTTCGAACGAAAAAAAAGTGCCATATTTACCCACATATGTACCTTTTTTTTCAACATTTCGGCTCTCAAATCGAGGGTGCGTATGATATGCGGGTATTGCCCCAAGATAAGATGTCCCCGTTTTTTCTCCAGAGGTAAATACCGCGGGTATTGCCCCAAGATAAGATGTCCCCGTTTTTTCTCCAGAGGTAAATACCGCGGGTATTGACCCAAGATAAGATGCCCCTGCTCGAGGTAGCTTTACACAGGTATGGACAAGTTGAAAATTTCCCATGAGCCTCAGTATGTGTCACATGACTACGTGACGTAGGTTAAGGGGCCCGTTTTTTAATTAGATTACAATCAAATTAACATTCAAACGTTTGTGCGTTTAAACGTTAAAATTAATATTGCATTATCAAAATTGTGCAAAAAATCACACAAAATTTTGACGAACGATAAACCGAACATAATAAATCAAAATAATCAAAACATACAAAATGGCGGAAGTTAAGGGGCCGTTGGAGAGCCAATCAGAGGCCAGTTGTTTAGTTCTGTCCATACCTGTGTAAATCTACCTTGGCCCCTGCTTTTTTTTCCCCAGGGGTAAATACCACTGGTATTACCCCGAGATAGGATGCCCCTGCTTTTTTTTCCAGGGGTGAATACAGTGTGACAGAAAGTCTGCAATGCCACAAACGGAAATGCTAAGTTTCGTACTTTGGCTATAGATATACCAATGGAGCAATGTATAGTATAAGGGAACCATGTCACATTTTGGAAAACATTGAGTTCAAGGTGGCTTGAAGCCTGGTAAGACGTAAATTTTTCCCTGCTGAAACCTAGAGTACCTTTATAGACAGAGTATGGCCATTCATATCTTTTTACTGCAGGGAAACTGCTGCTTTTAGATTGGTCAACGAGTTTTTAGGCTTCATGATGCTCTTACGGCTGTAAATAAACAAACAAGAGGGCGGCTCACCGTAACATTGCTAAGAAGCTAAAATTTGACAAAAATTTTGATTGTACGGCAGTAACAATTTAAATTAACATATCTACGAATAACACATGAAAACCCTATTAAATTGCCTTTCGCCTTTATCACAGGAGGATGCAAGATGTGCATAACCTCAAACTTGCTTGCTGATGACAGCCATCTTGATTGTTTATTTACGGCCGTAAGAACATTGTGCCAGCCTATTTTCACGCGACCAATGAAAAACCGGCACAGAAATGGCCATACTCTGTTTATAAAGGTTCTCTACTGTAACCTAGAGATAAGCGGAAAATAATGGATATGAGACTTAAAACGAGTTCATTTTTAATCTGAACCTCGAAATGTGAACCTCGTCACATGATTCCCTCCCTCTAAATGCTGTCAAGATTTTTTTCAGCTAGGAACACCTAATCAAATTCCAAGCGGGTAGCTTTGGAGGGGTGATAAATAATTGTACACATGTTTAACAAAAGTCAGTGTTTTATTGACTCTATGGAAGTCAAGAGTATGAAAAAAAAGTAAAAACATAAAAAATTAGACCATTGATCGGAGAAGTTTGTTGACCAAGTCTTCTCGGTTTCCAAAGTCACCACCATCGTTGTAGTGAACAGACTTCCTCTTCCATCCACCGGTTGGCGTGTTGAGCTGTAAAGAATAAGAAATTGAAATTAGTAGAGAAAAGGCAAGATGGATGTCTTAACTGACCCTTTGCAGCTGTCAGGTTCATTACAAATAATAATAGATGGTTACACACATAATGAGCAGGAAAACAAAATTGGTCTTCATAGATTAGCCAACAAATCCAATATAATCAATCGGAAAAGCAAAATGGATCTTGCTACTGCGCAAAACTATTGAACTCAATAATTCAGCACCTAAAGAGGGAGCTAAGTCCAGGTGGGACACTTACATGACGCTTTTCTACAAGGAGGTTACATTAATATTTATCACTGCAGTGTTAGAAGAGCCGACAGCCCAGCAGTCTGATTGTTAAAATTTATGTTGGAACGACAAGATTCGAAAATCGATATATTACACAGCGCACATAGGGCTATGTCTTGTCTTATCTTGCCGACATCGCCAGTTGAAGTTTCAACAATCCGGCTGCTGAACATGCCAATCTCCAAGCCCCCTTCAGAGAAATTGAAGTAAGAGGCGCCCATAAAGTAGGGCTGTGCGAGTACTCGAATTTCGAGTCGAGTCGAGCCGAGTATCGAGTACTCGACTCGGCTCGAAAGTTAGGTTAGGTTCGAGCGAGTACTCGAACTCGGCTCGAGTGTCAACAACACGAGTTTTCTCGAGTATTTCGAGTTTTTTTGAGCTGGAAACGCCGAAAGAGTCCAACTTCTAAATATTTCAATCATACTTAAACTGTTGTTAGTTTTGCCATCATTTTACGATTGAATAACATCAGAGTCTCGTCGGCAAATTTATACCNACCCTTGTTCCTATATTGGGATGGACTTAAATGAGCAGAGGTCCCATTCATACTGAATTAATTTGATGCTTGTTTCATTATTTTACTTCTTTGCATGATCAAAAAGGAGATACTCACTTTGAAAGGCCATAGGAAATGCGTTGCGTATTTGAAGTTCCTCCCGACGGTGAAAATTTCATGAACTAAATCTTCCATACAGATGATGTTGTAACGTTCTGTGGAAAAAAGAAAAAAAGGGTAAGAAGGGAAACAAAAAATTGCAGGAGCACTGGTGGCTTTTTACATTCCTCAGCTGTGTGTCGATATAATTATTTTTTTCGTTTGACAGAAATGAAATTTTGAATTGAAACCTTGGCAAAACTTTACAGCACCATGTTTGCTTCCAAACATTTAAGAAATGTACCGGAGCAGTCCACAAACAATTTTTTCTAACAAGTATGAACCAAATTGAAGTTGAGCCTGTAAGGATACCAGAAAAAAGTTTACCTTTTAACCTTTTAAGTTGTTACATATTCCAATATACTGAAAATATGAGCTCAGAGGATGACAAGGCCAAAATTGACATTCGTTTACAGGGACGTTTCTTTACAATAACACTAAGAAATAAACAAAAAAATTGGTGACAGTAATTGCAAACAATTTTCAAATTTCATTTAGTTCTGTGACAGCAATGGTATGGGCCATGCAGGCTTGAGGAACAATAATTTTGGTCATTAAGATGCTTTTGTCACTTAGATCAGAGTTTAACTGCAAGCTAAGTAAGATTGTCACCTTGGAAAATTAAAATTTCATTCAGTGAAAAACGAACTGAGCATAATTATACATTTCAAAAAAATCTTGATGTTTTTGTTCTCATAAATGCCATTAAGCCTGTAAGCCATTTGCGTCATTTGATGAGTATGCTTGGCAGCGTGCGCCTGGGACATACCTCAGTTGACGAGTTAACTTGCGCCATCTGTCGGTATTGCTACAGGATTGTTTGGGTTGTAATTATTCCCTTTCCCGATAAATGGCATCTCAAGCGTAGCAACACCGACAGATGGCATGAATTAACTTGTCAACTTAGACATACCCCAGGGGCGCGCTGACCAGTATACTCGTCAATGATCCGAATGGGTTAGCACATGAGCAGCTGACAGCACTTCACAGTGTCTTTACAGAACTAGCCATGATCCATGATCCACATGTAGGTCAATTCTCAAAAACTTGGGGAATTTATGGGCTTTCCCACTTAATTGTAAGCTTGTTTCCTGAAGAGATTGCGTTCTTACCTCAGGATTTTTCAGGTACACAGCTCCCTCTCCATAACAAGTAACAACATTTGTTGTACCAAAGCTTTTGTTCGTTTCTTTGAAATTCTGAGAATTCCGCAAAATCCAGACCAGATTATAGAAGTGCCATAAAAATTGTGGAGGTCAAGAATTACTTTTTCCATTATGTGATTGTTCTTTAATTTCATTTTTTATAAAATTTGCATTTCTATTTTTTTGCTGAGTTCTTAGAATTTCAACTCTTGTGGAGTATTACGACTTTGACTAAAAATTAAATACACCTTTCATCAGCTCATTAGGAGGACTTTTCAGTAAAAACCTAGCGCATTGCAGAAAATTTCAGAGCCCAAAGACAACCTGCCCCCTGCATGAAGAAGTCAAAAGTTGTTCCATAAACTCCTGAGAGAAATAGACATTAAAAGTAAGTCTCTGGTCCTGATTAGTTTCTCAGGCCGAACTTCAGATACTGGAGAAAAAATTAAAAACTAGCAAACTCACTTAAATGTGTCTCAATCATCCTGTTGGAGGTGATCGGGATTCTTTGACCTCGGATCCTGGCGAATCCTCGTTTGTACAGCAGTTCACGCACGCTCTTCAGGTTGGGGTAGCCCCATGTGACATAAGGAGCAATAATTCTAAGCATATTCAATGTAGCCTGCAATACAGAAAAAGAAGCTTTGTCAATCGTCGTTAGGGTGATTTCTTTAATGTCCGAGAGGAATTACACGAAAGATTCAATCAGAGTCAGCAAAACTAAATCAGACTTTTCTTGGTTTTCTTGGATGCTTTATCTCTTGAACAGAAAACCAAGCACCACTGAAATTTGAAATTAGTTAGAAAATTCTTGACAGTATGGTGTAAATTAACAAGAAGTTAACAGGCAACACACAGTTTCTTTCTTTGTTTAAAAATAAAATGGTGCAGAAAATTAGGCAGCATGAGATGCAGTTGAGGGCTTTTTTTTCCATCCTAACCACAGTGGACAACAACGGAATGCATCACTTTTTTATCGCGTTCCACTGGCGCGATCCAGTGCGTTCTATGTGTTTCAGTGGAACGCTTGGACCACTCTTCCGAGGTAGGTTGAGGTTGGTTCAGGCTGGTCCATCGCGATCCATGCATTCCACAGATAAATAAAAAGCCCTTTGGGCTGAACGCGGTTAAATCTGTCCAACAAAGGAAATTGAATCGGCTTGTGCCGACTCAACGCGTCCATTGTCTAATATATACATAATTGCTGTGGTTTCTTTCGCCCCACAAAACCGATAAATAAGATGGATCTCTTTTGTAAACGTATAATTACACTTAGGGGATTTTATATAAAATTGTTTTACATACCTAACGTCTTAAAACACATTGTATCTGTAACTTACAATGAAATCGTCTTTCAAATTCTGAAACACTGTATTGGGGAACGGATGTTTTTTACAAGCCAATTCAATTACAAACCCCAAACCAAATTCTTAAAGCTAAATTCTCATACGAAATCTCACATGTTTTTTACACATTACCTTATCTCACTCGTTACTCTCCAGAAGGGTATGGTATGAAGGATATGTACCACTGCCAAACTAAGCTTGAGAGCAGATTGTAGTGATCAGCATAGTGAGCTAGAGTTTGAACTTGTATTTCCTCTCTGTGACAAAACTTCTCCGCAAATAGAAGTCAGACAATATTTTGAGTTCAGAGCAGATGAAAAGCTTCAAGGAGGTAGGTACTATGCTTAAATTTAAGGAGGTATGAAGGTCATAAATTAAATATGGATATTACCTTGTTTAATTTGATAAAAACACCATTGTTGATTTGGCGCAATCTAAACAACTGCATGACTTTCCTTGGTTTTGGTGGAATTTTGTTGATACTGGAAAGGAGAGAAAACAAATATTTAGGAAAAAGTTAACTCAAGTGCCTAACTCAATTACTTCAATTGACCCTACCACACCTACCATTATTATTTAATTTACCCTAAATACTAGTAACATTGTTTCTAAGATGCAGTAGCAAACCATACTGTGACAATACAGGCACAGAAACATTGGAATTAAGTAATGAATTGTTGCCAAGTTGACTAAAAGCTACAGTGTTACACTACTTGCCAAGATAATGAGAAATGTTGGAAACAGGATGTAAAATATTGTCAAGTAATCGGGCTTTTCGTTGTAAGGTAACCCTATCATCCACTTTTAGTCCATTGGCTCTTTTAAGATGGAGATCTTGGCGGTGCAGAAAGTTCCAAAATGCTGATGATTGGCACTGATAAGCATACTAGGAACCTCAAGATGCAAACTTCCAAGAACTCAAGTAATGTCCTTGCCACATAAGATTTTAATTTGTTTCATGCTGGAGGTAATCGAGTCAAAATTGTGTTCTGAAAATGTTTGATTGAGGCACTGCTGCTATAGAATTTAAAGTAGAGGATAAATTTGAGCCTTGCATAAGTAGCGCATTTTTTACCTACAAAGTAGGTAAGATAGGGTAGATAGGCCTCGAGAAAAGCTGAAAAAGAGGTGCAGTATCCCAAGCATTTCAGGAAAAAATGGATTCTTGAACTTACCCCTTCAATCTGACGACGAAAGCCAATTTGGCTTCTCCTGGAATATAATAATTGCCGCGCTTACGGGCATCACGAGCAATTTTAAGTTCAGCTCGTTCTTTCATTCTGTATTCCTTAACATATTTCTCAGCTCGCAAGAAAATAGTTCTTCGTTTCTTAATCCTGTTGAGGTTACCCTGTAAAAGTATGAATATGGATGAGAACACTAGATTTTTGAGAACAAAAGTTTATATTTAGTCATGAGAATGTAATGCATCTGTACTATACTGAGGGACAATGGGCCAGTTTTACTGGTGACAGAATTGTGTTTTGATGCTTGATTCTTGTAGATTAGCTAAAAATAATAAGATCTGTCCAAACAGAAAATTTCTATGTTCAATATTGCGGAGATAACACCCTTGGAAAAGTCGGGTTTTTGACGTCAACCACAACGGTTGTGCACAACATGGCACATACTTACTACCGTGGTGGATTACATCACAAATCAAGTTTTTGAAGGCACCATATCACAGTTAATATTCAACATACAATTGCTGTTTGGACTGATATTATTAATATTGTTACTAGGTAATCTACAAGAATCAAGCATCAAAAACCAATTCTGTGACCAGCACAACTGACCCAGTCACTTCCACTACAGCAGCTACTTTGACTGGGGGAATATTTTCCCTCTAAAATAAGTGAAACTTGTAAATAAGTCATACTTCTAGTAGCATCTAAAAAAATTGAGCATGAGAGAAATCAGGAGCTTCAGTAACACAAGAAAAATTGTCAAATCTGCATTGAAGTTACCGAGATCTTGCTCTGGACAACAACCTATACAGTTGATTAGAATGGAGCTGTTGCTCAATACGATGACAGAACTCTATTGTGATGTGAAATATAGAATAAAAAAGGAAATTTAAGTCTGGAAATAGTTAAATCCAGCCCAATATGCAGTCTGCAAAATTAATGCAAAGAATTGTTGGCAGAAACTATAAAAAAAATGAGGTTTAAATCCTCTTGGACTTTTCATTTGAGATAAAATTCCAACCCAATTTCCTTCATTATAATAGAAGTATGTGCTTAAACCAAAGGGCAGGAAAGATAAATTGAAAATTGGAAAATTATGCACTGACAGACTTTTTGCTCCGGACAGTAAATTCGTTTTCTGGGATGTTAATAAGATACATTCATGAGCCTGTAACCTAGGATCATCTTCAATTACTCTCCGACCAACCCCAAAGAAAACTTTCTAAGAAAAACTTGCTGATTGAAATAAACAAAAGAATTTGCACCTTGACTGATCGGAAGAGTTGACGCTGTGTCCGTTCATCCCTGCGTTTACGTTTCTTGAGTATGGACTCTGGTACTGCTGGTAATTTCTTAGCTGGAAAATCCTTTGCAGTTACTTTCCTTTTCTTGACAACTTTCTTTTCTTTACCAGCGGCTTTAGCTCCAGCAGCCTTTGCTGCTTTGGTCGCAGCCTTGACGCCTGCTTTGGCTGCGGGTTTTGCAGGACTCTTCGCTGGACTGTAAAATTAAAGCACACCATCACTTACAAAAAATTCTTGTCAAGGTTACTAAACCAAAATTTAAGAAGTCTTCATTGCGTGGTTGGCTTGACACTTGCTATTACAAAGAATGAGGTTAGGTGTGACCCAGACCCATGCTAAGAAAGCAAACCAGCCCACTGGAGGTGACTCGGCTAGTCATGAATCGTTAATACTTAAAATAAGTAACTCAAAAGACAATAATCTAGGTATAACTAGACTCAAAATCCAATGCTGGTATTCATCTACACATGGGAATTTTGTTTACATTCTCCTTCAACCAAATGTACATGAACTCATCTTCACATTTTCATGAAATAGAAAAAAGTGGTAGATAACATACGTTTCAAACTTGAAAGAGGAGCGATTCAAAAGGAACTGGCAGTAAGGAGAAATCCTAAAGAGCTAAAGGCTACTGTCAAGCATGCCTGGGGGAGTCGCATTGACCCCGACGCAACTAAGTTCCTCAAAAATAGTAATAAGAATAGAGGTGGTGACTGGCCATTGTGACTAGAGAGATAACGATGGCTGAAAATTTTGTCAATGTTAATGAAAAAATTGAAGTTCTGGTCTCTGAATGGCAAAAGGCTGGCGAGAAATGGGATAAACCACGATTCGGCCCGGTGCGTCAGTGATGGGTTTCACTTATTTGACAGGTAGCAATTGACATTAATCATAATTTCGAATGCAACTTAAGTTGATGCAGAGACTTGGCTACGAAAATGATTCGCTAAAAACGAGGATTAAAGTAGATAAAAAGTCAAAATTGTTGAACTTACGTGTCCGCCATTTCCACGATTTTCACACACTTCTGAAATAGGCTTCAAAACAGTCAAAACAGAGGGACCACGACTACCAACCTCGGTGATGTACCTTCAGATCCGCAAATTTCCCTAAGAACATTATTTCATTAAACCATATCCTCTCAGCATAAGAATCCAAAACTTTAAAAATTTTAAAATTATATTTGAAAGACAGATCAAAATTTTAAAGTGCTCACAAGAGTTTTTTTAGATTCTATTTGATGTTTTGCTGTAGACAATGGAGAAATTTGAAGCTGTAGACATAAACTTTCTGAAGTTTATCACAATTGTGACGTCATATCTATTGTTTGGAATTCATTTGTCGATTGTTTTGTCTACACGATTTTGATACGATTGCATTATTGACATACGAAGTGTGAAAACATGGCCACTGAGCTCCTAAAGACATCTTTTAGGGCTTAGACTGGCCTGTTTTCTTCAGTTTTAAACCGTGTAAAGTATTTTATTCTTGTACCAAGTGTTCATTTGTCCGTAGAAAAGTGGTTTAAAAGTTTTTAACCATCGTCTTGTGTGTTCTGCAATGCCACTATCCATGAAAACTAGTTGTCTGGTCAGGAAGGTCTCCCAGTTTTTATCAAGGATTCTTTCAACCTCTCTTCAAACCGTCTGAAGGAATCTGAAAATTGTTCTCGTTCCTGACTTGTCTCCTAAATTTTTACTTAGCATTGCTCACTTGATCACTGCCTTTCAGCCAAAATGGATGATCAAGTTAGTTGCCCCGTCTGTACTCTGTACCTGCGAAGTGGAATAACACTTGCTGACCATCTCAACACTCATCCGAAGGAAAGCGTTATAGCAGCCTTTGTCAACACAATCAACAAGAAGCCTGATCCAGCAAGCGGCTCTCCTGACAATGGAAACATTAACAATGTCCCTTCGGTGATGTATCAGCAGTTTGTTAACAACTACGGACCAGTCAACAATGGCAACTATCACAATACGGTCATTACGGCAAATGTTCCAAATCCCCCAAATTCAACTACGATTCCTGTAATTGTCAGCCCTCCTTCTCAGCAGTTGCCTCAATTATCAGGTAATCCTGAACCATATCCTGTCAACTACAATCCTTATCAACCTGTGTATAACTATGATTATCCAACTTTGCCAACATCATATCCTCCAATGACCCCATTTCCTCATGGCCAAGTAAATACCCAAGAAAGGAGTAATGGAACAACAGAAATAGATCCGCTCTCTAACCAGACTACTGAAATTCCAGAAATTCCCTTTAACCCTCCTCCAGTTCTAAACAGTGATACCCAAAATGGGGCAACTCATGCTAGCTCTGACACCAACGTCTGCGCAGACAAAACTAATAGAGAAGGGGATGATTCTCATAATAATGAAGCGGAGAACAGATACAATTGTGAAAGGCAAGACGCAACGAATCCATGCTCTGAAAATTGTGAAGGCGATTTCCTTGACCTTGATAATCAAAATCATAATACAAACATAGGGACGGTGATCTCCAATAGCCATCAGATCATTTCTCAAGATGAGTACAACGAAACTGAAGTGAATAGCATTCCATCTGAGTCACTTCCAGTGGAAGAACCAAGCAGCACTGATATTCAGAATGGATTATATTTCTCTGAAGCAGCTAGTAGTAGTCAAAATGACGATGAGATGTTCATTGCTCCGGAACACTGCAGAGATTTTCCTGTCAGCTCTAATATCTCAAGCCCAAGAAGTCATCATAGCTCAATGGAAAGCCTACTTTCAGATAGTGACGATGAAGAATTTGTCATCTGTGATGATATTGAGGTAACTTTCCTTATACTAGCTATTTAATTACCTGTGGTAACAGGTCTGCAAAAAAAAATTGAAAGTACTATGGAAATTGGTCCCTCTGTAATTTTTAGTGCAGTCCCGAAATGACCTCAGTTTTTTTCACTGCTTATGCAATTTTGTGCCCATATTGACTTCAATTTTTTATTGACTGTAATCTCATGATCCTGATGACAAGTTACAATTGTGCCAATGTTCTTCAAGCCACCGTTTTCGCGCATATTGCCTCAGGAGTTACAATTATTTTCTATTCAATGTTTCTTGCAATCCAAAAATCAGCTGAATAGAACAGAGCACTTTCAGAATTTGCACCCTAAAGCCGGGATTTCCTCCAAATGCTGTCCGCCATACCGGCTGTACCGCCTGTCCGGCGATGTCACCTGGCGAAAGTAACTTATAACACAGGCTCTCATAACAATTGGCGTTGGGCTCTACCGACCTGCGCTGATAAACATTTGGAGGAAATCCCGGCTTAACACAGATGCAAGCTGAGAGAAGTCTGGTAAAAATGTAGCTCTTATGGACTCCTGCCTCCTATTTTCCTCCTTCTCTTGCATATTTGAAGATGTCTACAAATTACTCTTCACAATGCCCACTTGTCTTCCGCTGAAATGAAATGGGTAAGTAGTAACTCAAACTTTTGAGGTGATTTGCGCAAAAATGGTAGCTCAAATAACTTTGGTGCAATTATAACCAAGTACATCAGGATCATGAAGAAAATACAATGAAATGAAGAAATTAAAATCAATATGGCCACCAAATTCCTACCGTGTGCAGGGTCAGTTTGGAAAATTGGTGGGTGACAAGATAAAGCTAAGGTTGTTTTCAGCTTTTGTAGCAAAAATTAAATGGCAGCAGCACTGTCAGATACAAAATAAGACAATATTTTAGTCTTCAGATGCAAAACAAACGAACCATTCTTATATTTGAGAAATATGTAGGTAGGCGGATGAAGTACGCTACAACCAAGAAAATCGTATTATCAGACTTCACATGGAAATCTTTTTAGGCATGCAACACATATTTAATTTGGTGTTTTGGGCTGCTGAATCTGTAAATTAGCTTGGTTCGTCTCTGGCATGCATTAGTTTCCTGAAAAAATGTATTTATTTTGGAACAGCATTTTTTTTTTCTTGAGAAGAACAGATCGTTTTTGGCCGTAATGCTGAAAATTACCTTAGAATCTGCTATCAAATCTCGAGTAGTTTTTTTGGTGTAGACCTGTGTAATTGCTGTCATATTGGCTCTGCCCAAAGATACTCAACTTTAGTCCAGGCCTATTAACTTGACGCACTTTCAGACTGCAACAGAAGATTCATAATTTTGATTTTTTAATTTATTTTTAATGCATAAATGACGTCACATGATCTTCAGTCGTTCTTTAAAGGTGCATAAACTTATTCGGCATAGAACACTAATTTTAACACATCATGTCCTAGCTCTTACCACTAAATAAATGAGCCCAAATAGCTTTTACGTATCAGTTTCCAGTCAAAGATTTCTCGGGAATTTTAAAGCTGTCAAAATATTTATGAAATTTGAGTCATACCCTATTATTTCCTCTTGTTACCTAGTCTCTTGCAATAATGATTTTCCTATTTTCCTCACAGACTGCTAAAAGAAATGAGAGGGAAAGCAACCATCACAGTAAAGACAAGAATGGAAGCGGGTCTTATTTCCATCAAGGAGATCCTCTTGACTCGGAGGAAGATGTAGACGACCCTGATGACATTGATGATGATTCTGTGATACTTTCACCAATCATTAATATAGAAACTGATGAGATGATGCCTCCCCATGGAGAACTTTCTGGTCAAGACAGTATGAGTGAAAACTCCCTGTGGAGCAATCATGTAAGTTTTATCATCCTTCATCGGCCAAAGCTAGGTTGTGTATTTTTACCTCTCTGATTTTTTTCAATTAATTTCTTCAAACATCATGAAGTAATCGATAAGGCAGACCATTAAACTATCCTAGTTTTTTTATTATTATCAATAAAAATGTAGTAAACATTCCATAAAATAATTGATAGTTGTACTTCAGGTATTGTCACAATAGGCAGTGTTACACCAATCTATCATGAAAGTATGAAACCTTGTATTTTGGTTTGGAATGTAATCTTTTGTCAAGTCTTCATTTTTCTAAAAACTGCCTGATCATCGTTTTTCCATAAAATTTTGTACAAATTTTCTTCACTCTATCAACAACATTCTCTGAAAATTTTGCATAATAAATTCCAATAAATAGTAGTATTCTCCTCAAACTCTTGGAGATCTTGAATTTTCAAACATTGCTGTCAAGATCCCTAGTTTAACAGTTTCGCCATCAATATGGAATCATCTCTATACCTATGGAGGTTTTTTCAAGTTTCTAGTTATTCCAGTTGTTTTCCTTTTTTAGTGTGTTAATTTCCAGTAGCAATCAGGGAAGTGTAGGTAGCAAGCATTGAGTGGAGTATATGAGAAATGTTGGTTATTTTATTGGTGGAAGTTTACTTCAGGGGGCTATAATTTTCATGAAGCTTGCAGTCTCTGCTAACTGGTCTGGCAGATACCTAATGTCTCAACTTGGGATGATTCATTTTTGCGTGATATTATCACTTGAAAATGAACATTTAAGAAATTTCAGCCTCCTCAGCCCTCTAGATGTAAAGTATTTAGTTTTTTGATCTGTGTGAGTGCATCCAAAGATCATAAACATGCTCGCCTACTTGTCTCTTGATACAATTATTATTTCAATTAATTCCCAGCGCCCAGGAAAATCAAAGAGCATAGGAATAGATCTGAGGGTTCCTTTTTTCAATATGCTATGTTTTTTCTAACAATATTTTCTTGTCCTGTTTACAGTGTGACAACAGCTCTCCACCCTACCAAATTTTATATGAAGTGAAACAAGAAGCTGAAAATAAAGGACTCCGGGAACAGGGAGAAGATGTGAAGCCAGAGAAGTGCCCGACATGCTCTGCTAGCTTCAGTCATCCTGACCGCTACAAAATTCACATTCAATCATGCTCTGTCAAGAATGAAGATCCGCTTGCTGGAAGCTCCAAAGACATGAGAAATTTCAGCACTACTTCAGAGATGGATGAGAAAAAGTGTGACGATAAGAAGAGGTTTCAATGTATTTGTTGTAGCATGGACTTCGAGTCTCAAAAGTTATTATCAGAGCATGTCAATCTAGTCCACAGTTTGAAGTCAAACCAATGCCCAACATGTCTTGAAGTTTTTACTTCAAGTATTGACTTCAAAACACATGTTCGCACTGTTCATCCCTTGGAGTGCACGATTTGTGGTAAATATTTTAACACTCGAGCAGGTCTGCAGCTTCATCGAAAACGTCATTTATCAATAAGGCCATATTCTTGTTCAAGTTGTAATAAATCTTTTGTCACCAAACAGAAGCTTCAAGAACACATGAATGTACACCTTAATAGAGCTCCAATTAAATGCAAACTCTGCCCTGATAATGTTTGCTTCAAAAGCTATTCCAACCTCATCCAACATCGAAGAGTTGTTCATGCAAAATTAGGCAAAAAAATCAAAGATTACTTTTGTGACTGTGGTGAACTTTTCCACTCAAAAAAGAGACTTTTTTGGCATGCTGAAACACATGGAAAACCTAAAGCTTGTAGGTTTTGTTCAAGGAAGTTTATGCATTTATCAAGCCTGACACGGCATATCAGACGCATGCACGATCAAAGCTTTTTGCCGAAAGTAGAACGCGAAAATAGGGAAAATGTGTCTTGTCCAGTTTGCAAACAGACATTTTTAAGAACCTCCTTGGCCAGTCACTTGCAGACACATTCTGGCAAAAAGCCCTACTCTTGCGATATTTGCAATAAGAACTTCACTACAAAATGGAACCTTAATGCTCATCGTTGGATACACATGTCGCGAAAGTTGAAACCTCACAAGTGTAAGCTATGCAATGCAGCTTTTGTTCATTTAACAGATTTACAAGCTCATGAAAGATCTCACTCAAAAACTAGACCATTCTCATGCAATCATTGTGGGAAGCAGTTTATTCATCAGTATAATTGTATTCGTCACGTTCGGGAACATGAGCAAGAGAAACGATTCACCTGCGAGGTGTGTAAAAAAACATTTCATAGAAGCTACTATTTAAGTGAGCATCTCAAAATTCATACAGGCTTCAAACCTTTTTCATGTCACATTTGTGGGAAGCTATCTACTACTAAATCCAATCACAATAAACATGTGCGGACCCATCATGCTCGAGAGCCTGTTAGCAGTGAAGTCTAAGGAATTTATCCGTCTATGCCGTGCACTTTTTACATTTTTCGTAAGCGTATCTTGTATTATTCGTAATTTGGTGTTCTTTTTTTTTCGAAAGCAGTACTATTCAAATTATTTATTTTCGTCTCGTTGTTAGGTTGTTGTAAATCTTAATTTTCATTTTTTATTTTTTACTTGTCGACTAAGACTAGATTTGCCAAAAAATGTAAGTCTCCTATCTTGTTTTCATTTCCAAGGAATGAAGTAATGATTTTTTCCCCGTTGTTGTTTCTTTTAAATTTTGACTTTGAAACAAAATCTCAATGTACTCTAAAATGCAAGTCAAACAAGTATTCACGTCCACATGACAGGAATAATCTCCTTAAAATGTGATAGTCCACAGAAAAAGAGACCTTAGTGCAGAAAAACTCAAATTCAAGATGTCAAGACTAATGCCTAGAGGTGTCTTTTACAAACATGTTATCATTAGAGTGTCCAATCAAATTCGATTTATAATTCTTCAAAGTATATGTTTTCAAAATTATAGTTTCGAGAAAAAGCTGCTCAAAGTTTAGATCTGCCATGTGTCTGTCTCAGAATGGAGCTCTTGCATGTCGCAGAGATTCAAGTTTTGGGTACTTTTTCTTAAACAAAATTTCATAGAAACGGAATCGGGCCACTGGTTTTCCTGAAACAAACTCCCAAGCCGAAAAGAAGCTCTCAAAGTTAAGGCTGTAATGGAGGGATCACCTACATCACGATGAGAGTCCACCTCTATGTCCAGTCAAACTCTCCATGCATAGATAGGGTGCAAATACATTAGTAAGGCCGCTAAGGCTGCAGCTTTGGAACACTCTTATTAAGTACTAACCCTCCTGATGTATCTACTCTCTACCTGTGCATGGAGAATTTAATCGGACACAGAGGTAGACTCTCACCCTGACGTTGGTGATCGCCTCCATTCTGGCCCCAACTGAGCCTGGGAGTTTAGTGTACAGAAAACCAATTGGCACCATCATGTTTCTCATGAAATTTTACGTCATCATAAATTTTTAAATTGAAAATCCTTGTAGGATGCGAAATCTCCATCTTCCATATTGTACTCGTACAATTACATATGCTCTTGTCTTAGAAAAATGAACTAAACTGCTTGAAGGTTATTTTTTAAGGCACTGCTGCTGACTATTTCTCATTAGAACCTCAAGTTAAGATTTTTTATTCTAATGTGGCAAGACTCGCTCTTCAGGAAACTGTTTCTCTTGCATTAGTGTCCCCATTCCTGTAAACGATTACAATTATATACAATATTTTTTTTTTTCTTTTGCAAAGCTAGCTTATTTATTGAAATTTAATTTGTTTAAAGTCAGTGAGTCTCTGTCACAGGGTTTTTTTACAGAAGTAATTTTAGTATTTTATGAACGTCAGAAAGATTATGACAAGAAGATTACTCATATTTTGTTCACTTCTTCTTTTCTCATCAGATTATGCTGGTTTCAGATGAATTCATGTATTATTTTCTTTTTTTGAAAAAAAAAATCAATCCTAAGTCTTTCATGAATATCTGAAAATCAGATTTTGTATGCTCAGGATGTCATGTCTTGATTTTACATTTTACTGAAATGAATGAGGCTATTGCTATCAATAATTTTAGTTCTGAATTTTCGTTTATTTGTGATCTCATCGTCATTTGTGTTGGTATCATTGAATAATAAGGAACAAGTTCAGTTAAAATTAATTGAAAATACAGTTTTATTAGTTGTGATCATCCATGGGAGAAGGAGCCATCGTGTTTTAAAGCAGGTATTGATGTCACTACTTAGAGGATTGTTTCACCAACATTTCAGCACGAAAAATACGTTTTGATTTTGAACCAAACTTTAGTCGCAGCCGTTTGATATTAGCTGCTGAAGGAACGTAGTATCTAGAGAAAAACTACTTATGGAAAGATGTAATAAGCCATGTTCAAGCTCAAAAATTTGCCTCTCGACACGCAAAGGCCCTTTACTCATGGACAGTTACATTTGTGATGAAGTCGGATGAAGGCGCTCTCAAGATAAAAACTGAATAGTTAAGCACTACATAAAAATCAGTTTTAGATGAGAAAAATTAATTTTCATCGTGTAATTGATTCAAAGTGCGTTCTAATATTGTAAAGATCATCTGGTGAGAGTTCCAAGTCGTACTTTCTGTTATCGTTAATGTTGTAAGCTTTTACTCTCATTTTTTTTTTATTTTTTCACTGAGAGGGCCTTTTTGCATGTCTTCAGTACATTTGGTTTGTATCGTGTTCTAATTTTAAATTGCATTTAATAGGTAACGGCTGATTTTCATCGCAATTAAAGGGTCCAGTGTATGAGTATGTCAAGTAACTCCTTTGTTACTTTCAAAAAATCAAGTTTTGAGGTTAAAAAATTGTAAAAGGCCTGTTCCAGAATATGTTTTCTTTTGTTTGTTTTTGCATTTAATGTTCCGAGGCTGTCCTGAGAAGTATCAATAAGGATCTAAGATTTTTGAAAAATTCCGTTAGTAAATTCATGAGCAGGGCCCTTCAAGTGTGTATTTATCTGTAAGTTTCAAGGGGGGTTTCCTGTTGAAACTTGGAAGTTTTTTGCCATCATTATTCCTTAGCAGTATTTTGAAGGTGTAGAAATACTTTTCCTTCAACTTGGCCTGCCTCTTAATATTCAAAGGGGAGATATGCTTTGTACTCAACAAAACCAGGCCTCTGAATGAACAGGAGCACTAGTGCTCATTTCAGTTGTATGCCCTTATATGCTGACTTTATTTCTTTTTGTACTAGATGACTTCCTTCTACTGAAAGTTTAAAACTTAATATTGCAAAAGAGACAAAGACTTCCCTGCACATGAGTCATTTTTCAGTTGAATTTGGTGGAAGTTTGAAATTACCTATCTTCATATCATCTTGCACAAAAAACATGCAGAACGCTTGGAGATTCTACCTGCTGTTAATGACATTTGCCCATGAACATTCATGATAATAAGGTCTCGCCTTGCCAGAGTTCAATGTAGATACGGTTCATTTGATACAAAATTACCACACCATTTATTTTTCATGGCTTGTCAGTGTTTGAAGTATTCGATGGGACATCCCATTAATACTGGCAAATACCAGAGAATTTTTTCCCTTCTTCAAACGAAAGCCCAGAAATATTGCTTACCGTATGTACAAAAATAAATATGTCTATCTCTTACATCTTGAATTCAATTTTCATTCTTTTTAGGACATGCCGAATCAATTACTTCCTTCCTCTGAGAAATCTCCAGTAATCTCAGCCTTAGAAAGCAAGCATTACGCAAGGAATAAATACGTTTGTACTGTCCTCTGTAAACTTGAAACTTAACGTGTTCAATTTGTATCATAGGTTTTTGATTTCCGTGCAATTGTACATATAATATTTAAATAAACGTTTAAGAAATCGACCCAAATCTATTTTTTGTTCTGTCCTTTTCTTGCCTTAAATTTTTGACTGAAAACCTTTGAAAATATATGCATACTTTTATAAATGAATTTTTTGGAGCCAGCAAGGTTTTAGATATTGTATTTTTGCCGCTTTCTTTACGCTGTAGCACATAACTTAGTTTATGTTGGAAAAAAGTAACAGGAGAAGAAATTAGGGAGGAAGAAATTCAGTTAGGCTGATTGAAGTTAAAGCGATTGAGTAGTGAATAAATGAAACTGAGTATCAAATTCACAAGTACCGTATATTGTAAAGTGAAACATTGAAGAAAACAACAAGTTTGATAAAAATTTTACAATTTAAAATACCTACGGCTAAAGATCATAAGATTTACCTTTGAAAATTCTGTGAAAAGAAAAGAAAGTCATGTAAAAAATATAACTCTTTGAATGTATTACATACAAATTTTGAAATGAAGTGAAGTATACTTGACTTCACTTACCTAAATCTTATAGCTTAACACACACAAATAAAATTAAATACTGTACACTGAAATAAATTTTCATTTACATAGACGGACAAAAGTAGAGGGACTAACTTGAGGCTTCAGCTTTGAGGTAGAACCGCATGACAAACAAAAACCCTCCTCCAACAGTAATTACAAATTAGGCATTTTTTGGGGGCTTAGAAATACTTTCCTGGGTATCCAATGGAGACTGTTTGTGAACAAATTTTTACTGAAGGATTTTTCACAAAGTACCAAATTCCTGCTCTTGGAGAGAAGTATCACCGCCACCAATGTTGGGGCACCAGTAGGCTTGCACAGGAATACAGAAAGGTGAAAAACTAAAGTCTATACGGCTTCGCTGTACGACTAAAAATCACGCCTCGTGTTCAAAACCAGTCCACACAGATTAGTCATAACGCATCTTTCTGAAATCCACTACCCTGCCTGGTCCGCACTCTAATGCAACTGATGTGACATAGCATTGGATTATCTTATAAGAAACGCATTGCATTGAAACTTCCTACCACCAATGCACAGTAGGGTCTCAAAACTCTTCTGCGAGAATGACCGACCAGTGTGGATTGGTCTTGCATGTATTCAAGCTTTACTGAACGTCTTCCAAGAATTAGCACGGATGAAGTTTTAAACAAGGAATTGACACAAAAAAACAAACTGCATTGCGTAATTTCAAGTCTTATTCTATTGTTAAGATGAGATATTCTCTGTATTATTTTTAGAAATTTTGAGAGAGAGTCTCAAGCAAGAGGACGAACATTCACAAAATGTTGTTAGTTCTCATTTTAAAGGTGAAACATGGAAGGAAATTTCGCAACACAGTTTGTTTCTTTTCGCTTTTGAGGGTCATATTGAAAGATGAAAGTAAACAATTTTTTCACAACCAAAATTTAGAGGGAAATGTTTTTCAACTTTATCCTTGTCAAAAACATTTTGTGGCATATCAACAAAAAAAGGTAGGAGAAAAATATTACACCCTCCTTAATTCCAAGTTACATTTTCCACGGAATAAAAATACCTCAAAACAGGATTTTTGTTATTACAGTAGAAAAAATCAAATCAAGGTACAGACAGAAATAAATCCGTCCACCTAATTTTATCTGCCTTCTGCACTGACTCTCTACTTTCTTCATCTTTTTGGTTTTAACGGTAAAACAGATGAGTTAAAATTTGAAAAATTTCCCTAAGACAAAAATTACAAGCTTTGTACAAAATTTAATTTTAAACAATCATTCTAAACTATATACAATTTTATTTCAAGAGCTTAATTACCTATTCATCAGTTCCCGACGACCAGAAAATATCTACGAACTAAAAGCATCAGGGTTTGCTCAATTTTTGGCACCAAGCATGATTTTCAGCATGACTGCCCATGATTTTCTTCATGAATATATGCAGGCAAAGATGTTGCAGCAGAAAATATAAGTCAATATTTGGGAGAAACAGTGAACAATGAGAGAAAAAAATAAGGAGCCAACAGGCACGAATCAGCATACTTGAAACCTGAGGAGGGAAGATCAATATGCAAAAGCCTTGACAAAGGCAACAATTTACATTTACCTAATGATAATAAAATGTTTGAACTATCGAAGTTGATAACGTGATTGAAGTAAGTGATGTTTCTGGAGATAATTCCAAAAAAATAAAACTAATCCCTGGACCATTTGTGCAGATGAACTAATGAAAAAAAAAATCTTTGAAGTCTCTGTGTTTCATTAAAGTACCTAAAACCAATGATTAACTCATTTTATAGAACAAGACAAAATAAAAAGATCATCGCACAAAATGGTAACAAAATATGACAATAGAAATCATCACTGAACACAGTGGTAAGTCAAATAAAACAAAAACTGAGCAGAGGTTTGTCAATAAAATAAAAGAGGTCAGTATAAACAAGAACGGAATGGATTTAACGAGTTTCATTTTAAAAAAAACCATAAAACAAACTCTTGACTCCAAATGGTACTTGGAGGGAATCAATCTATATCTTAAAAACAACGATTGGAATTCAAAATTCAAATTATGTCAAACCTAAAAGAAAAAATATAAATATTTGAGAATGACATCAACGTAACAACGGCAAAGTGAATAGAGAAATCAACTTGAGTTCTAACAATTGCAAAGAAAAATAATTCTGTGAATATTTAAGAATAAAAGAAGACACAAGAGTCCAGAGTATTCAGAGAGGAATAGCAGCGGGTAAGAAAATCAACTTGAATACTAATCACTAAAAAAAAGATAACTAGGGCTCATGGTTCCATTGCTGATGCACTTGGCAGAGAAAAATTGACCAACCTAAAAGCAAATTATTTCCCTGATGCTGTGTGGTACTTAAATTTACAAAACAGGATTTAAGAAATTAGAGCCCCTGGTGATGCCGATTTCGGCGTAAGATTCAGACTGTGTTAGTTCAAGAACCTGGAATTTTTTCAGCACCAACAAAGAGTAGAATTTCTGAGCAGCCTGAAAACAAAAAGAGAAGTTGTTTAGCAAAAAAAAATCTGACAAAATTTGGCAGATTCATTTGATCAAGCAAAACCTTTCAAAAAACAGTGATAACCCTTGAGCGCAAAATTACACCTCTGTTTTGTTTTAATTCATTCAAAATTAAGTCACCCAGAACTGCAAATGTTAACAGAAAAACAGGGGCTTACAGGATAAGTACATACATAGGACAGTTGTATATCATGCAATGTCATACTTGAAAGACAGATACCAAATTACTAATTTCGCAACGCTGTGTGGAGATGCACACAGGCAAGTTACAAAATCCGTTGTAACATATTAATTAAGCAACATGTTTCTGTAAGCCCCAAATGTACTCTTATATACCTCTAGAAATTTTGTTCCGAACAATGTTCACCAAATTACACAAGGTGAAGGGATTCTTAGGTTATGATATCACAGAGGTAATAGAGGCTCCCTGAAAATCTACCAAATTACATTGGGTAGAGGAACTACTACGAATTATTGCATGCTCAAAGCATGAGATGTGAAAACAAAGAGATGAAGATTACATAAAAGGATTACTCTATTGGTAAACATATTACCTGAATTTCACACAAACATAATTTTCAGTAATTCAGTTATTACGTTTCAAAATGCCATGTGTTTTTAAAAATGCTAGTTTTACCAACATCAGTCTTCCTCTGAAAAGTAGGGACTACCCTGACCTTTACACTACTGAGGCTGGTAAGACATAAGTAAAATAAGGAAAGACGAGAAAAAAAAAACATGGTCAGAAGAACCTTAGAAGAAAAGTTAGCGGAAATTACCTGCTTGCGGTTATTTCGATGGGTGAGATCAGAGAGGCATAACTTATCAACACCTTGATCATACTTTGTTTTGATCAAGTGGTAGAGCTGACTTGCTCGCTTGTTCAAGACGCGCTCTTCAAATTGTTCAATAGTTTCATCAACAGCTTGTTCGTCAGCCTAAATGATGGGGGGAAAAAAATCATTTGAAATGTTCTGCACAAAACTTGATACAAACAAACAAAAACACTTGCCTGAATGCAAAACTTAAATTTTTGTTCAAATTTGCAAATTTTTGGGTTTTCTTCCCCTGGATTAAGAAAAAAAAAAGAAGAAAAGTCACAAAGACTACAAAACCTTAGAAGCACCAGAAAATGAGGATCTTTTCAAAATTCTTCCAAAAGATTCATTTTTGGTGTGTCCTTTGTCTTCTCTTTTATATTTAAGTCTTTCGAGAGAAATTGTGCAAGGCTTAGACATTTTCAGGACCTTTCCACATTACTTTAGCGAGTTGTCTACAAGAACGCATTGCTTTTCGTTCAGCCTTTGTATAAACAAATAATTAGTCAAAACAAAAATGAGGGAAGGAGATTGCTTCTGAAGTATCATTTTTCAGTTCATCTCTGATACCTACAGATAAAATTCCAACTCAATATTCACATTTCTTTTGAGAACCTCCTTTTGAGATGTAAATCTGGTTTGGCAAACAAGTTTCGCTGCAATTTCACCTATAGATGGCACCTCAGAATCAAATATTTTCAATGTAGATGACCAGTGCGATGGTCGACAACTCTATGGAGTTGAATTGTTTGACAGTTAAAAAAATATACGAGAACATACCGGTCCGACTGAAACGGGGAGCTCATAATCTTCGTGCCATGGAGTGTTTTGCCCTCTTTCAGAAATAGCGCCAGGTGTTGTGGCAGGCGGATGGGTTTCATCATAACCCATGTTCGCCATCATTGGATGCAGTGCTGAATCTTCGTAGCCCATGTTTTCCATTAACGGTGCTTCTTGCTCCGAAGGTAAAGCCTAATAAATGATAAATAATAATAATCAATAAAAACGAACAGAATAATGAAATAACAGTCACAAAAGGAATGTATGAATGACCATTAGTAATACTAGATTGTCAACTGAACCAACAGATCCACAGTACCAGGGGTGAGAATCTCTTGGGAAACTCGACTTTCCCTCATTTTCCTGAGAAAAATTTAGGATGTCATTCAATGCATTGACGATGAATATTAAATCTGCTGAGTTCTAAAAGAATAATGATGGATTACAATGAGTTCTCAAAGTAAGAAACTACAATTTGGACCTCGAGTGTCTAAACCCCAATAGTGATTCGAAAATGAGTTCGCTCACGCTGCAATCCTTCAGGTCCCAATCACATCTGCCAAATTTTTGTGAAAGAGTAACTAGAATTTACTTAAAACGAGAATCTACTAACGATATGACGAGAACTAAAATTACTTGACACCTACTTGTGAGTTTCCTATCATTAATTGAGATACTTCCCACCTTTCGCTTGAAATGAGTATCCACAGGTGTCTTACATTCCAAACTAAGTCTGGGCCTTTGAGAGCATCTTACTGAAAAAACTTCTGCCTTTCTTTCCTCTAAATAGTCAGATTGGTTCCATCCATTTTGAGGGGCTCATAAAAAATTACTTTCGGGAAAAGGCATCGGAGAAGGGAGGAAATGGAGTGGTCTTCTGACTCACACATTCTTTGTTGTTTGAAAAATACTTCCATACTAAGAAGATTCTTCCCGCTCTCTAACATGGTGGAACTGGCTTGTGATAGATTGCATTGATTAAATCAAAATCTTGGCTGATTTTGAATTTTAAGCTGGAAAAAGGACAATAGCCCCGGTTTATGAGCCTAAAGAATCATTCTTAACCAAAATATTGGCAAAATTAAGAGAGATGAAAGGACGATTCTCTACAGAAAAAATCTTTCATTTGATACATACAGTAATCAACTTCTGTATCAAGTACAATGTTTATTTCCAAAAAGAATCCTTCTTTCATTTCTCTGAATTTTGCCAATTTTTGGGTTGAGAGTGATTCTTTAGACTCATGTGCAGAAGCTTAAGGGGTTATGGTCCTTTTATTGGGCTAAAAATTCGAAATCTGCTGATATTTTTGACTCGATCAATGCCACATATCACACGCTAGTTCCACCATGCCACGAACCTGGACGAATTATCTCAAAGGCCAAACTCTGAAATGAAGTATTTCAATGTGTCAGTGGCGTGACATTTCTACAGAGTATTTCGGAATAGCTGACGCGGAACTCTTCTCCAGTTTAAAAGGAAACATGCTGACAACAGCTTTAGATCTTTAAAAGGAAATGCAAGACAACACAATAAAAATGTATACGAACCTGTTCGGGTATTTCTGGTATTAATTCAGACATAGGAGGGTACGGAGCCGGAGAAGGTGCTGGCGCTTGTTCCTCCATTAAGGGCATTCCAGGAGTAGGGGCAGGAGTAGCTGGAGGCACAGACATTGGGGGAACGGACATGGGTGCTTCTATTTCCTCCGGGATGGGCGGCAGGGTTGTGTCCTGGATTGGCTCGGGAACGCCAACAGATGGTGGCATTTGCATCTGTGCCGGTTCAGGAGTTGGAGGTGGAATTACAGGTGTTGGCGGTGGTGGGAGTTCTTCGACTACAGGCTCCGCTGGCTGTTTCCTCTTACGGCCTCGACCTCTAGTTGCGGGCTCTGGTTTCTCTACTTCTGCCTCTGGTTTGCCATCATTCATCAAATCTAGAGGCATTTGGTCAGCAGCGTTATCTGCTCCGTTGTAGTCTTCATTGGGTGCTGCCCTCGAGGTTAGGTGCCGCTGGTAGTTCTGGAAAAAATTACGCTTGGTTAAATATTTGAGGAGAGGTTGGTAATGAAATCTCTGGAAGAGTCCTAAGTTAGTTCTCTAAAGTATGGGTGCCTTAAAGATTTTTTGGATTCTAAACAAGTGCCACCACCATTCCAGTGCCAGTTCTAACCATTTTTTGGAAGTTTGACGATGAAAATCGTCTTACATTTTTGTTGTTCAACCGATAAATGGACTTCAACACTGAAACTTTGAAGTTGATGTGATAAATTAGGGTTGTTCCAGAATTTAGGAAATTAAATGCCCTGACATTTTCCTGATTTTCTTTGCCAAATTTGGACTGTGACATTAATTGATATTCCAGATAATTTAAAAGACATAATTTGAAATAGTTTTTGGACAACATTTGTTTGTTTTCAAAACATCAAGCCCTTTCCAGAAAGAAAGTAAAGGTGACTCAACAACTTTTCCTTTTTGTCATTCTCTTTGACATTTCCAGGTTTTTCCTGACTCAATCCTGTATTCCACAGATGTGGCAACTCTGGCGATACAGTACATGTTTCCTTGTCAAAATTTCACATAGAACACAATTTGCGCAGCGAAAATTAGTGAAAGCAACTCCTTGCCAAGGTATCAACGATCTTCTATGCGTAAATACGAATTTCCCGTTCATTGAAGAAACATTTGTTACACAAGTTGTTTTACAGAGAAAGGAAGCAAGTATGAAGCTTTTTCATATATTCGAGTAAACTAAGTTTCTCTCGCAATGATTTACAAAATTATATCTTTACCTTGAATAAAACTCGGGCAGGAATTGGACGTCCCGGTAGGGCAAAAAGTTTTTCAACACCACCTGTCTCCTTCCAGTGCATTAGCCGCTTCGTTGGTGGGGCTAAGTCTAGCGTTGTAACAATATCACTAGTGTCTGAGAGCTGCGCTTTCATCTCTTCTCCCGAAATATTTTTGATTTCATCGACAATAAGCTTTCTTTTCCTCTTCGTTTTGGTCAGCCCTGTAAGTGATGAAATTCGGTTAAGAGTTGTAACAACTACACATTTTTAAATAATAGCTTTTACACAAAGTAAAAAAAATAATGGCCGATATATATCTGTATAAATATTCGAAAGCAGTGTATATTCTACAGCTCTGTATGAATTTAAGTGGAAGGAGGGGAAAGCCAGATGAACTGGTACTAACTTTTGAAGGAACCACTTTTAAAGAGATAAAAGGTTTTTGTAGTGTCTAAGAATGATTTTCTGTGAAGCTGGAACTTATCTGGTTTATAAAGGAGTCTTGGTACATGCTAAGCCGGAGAATTTAATTATACTTTCGGATTAAATTACAAAAGAGAAAAACCGTAATTTTGATAGTGAGACTAATAAGTTGTGAGCTTAAAGGCCAAAAACTTTGGGCTGTTATGAAGGGCTACTTTAAGCTGGTAGATGTTCAGTGATGATACATCAGTCGCTTGGCTCTTTTCTTTTGTCAGTTGTTCCAACACCCTATCTGTTATTGGATTAATGTTAAAATTCCACGCTAATATCTTGTTCAGATATTGATTTCTGAAATTCCTTTTATACAAACTGAAAGGTAAAGTTTCTGAGAGAAAGATATTAATAATCTACTTTCATTCATACTTTATCTGCGAATCCTCAGCAGAATTCCTACGCTGAACACACAAAAAAATATAAATTAGAGGAATGAATACCTTTGAGGGCAGAGGCATCTACGGGAGCAAGTGCAAAACTTTCCTCTTCATTCTGAAGTAAAGTCGTATGATCGGCAGCTGGTTCAGGTTCTTGTGGCTCTGGAAAAAGCGGAGGTGCCTCTTGGGTGGGTGCTTGAGGCGGGAGCGGGGGCGGCATCATATTGTTGGTATCTAACGGTGAAGCCGGGCGAGAACCGTCCGAACTGGGTGCTCCAGGACTAGGCATGGCATGGTCGAAGTGGTCATCATCATCACTGTCTGCGGCATGTGCAGGTTGTTCTTGAGGCATATCCAGCTGTGCCACAGAGCTTGTGTCAACAGCAGGAACTTCTGGCATAGGAGCATCATCAAACAAGCCACCTTCGAACAACCCTCCTGCTGTCAAAGTAAACAAAACCAATTGATAGATGAGAAACATTCAAAATTTAACTATCAAGTGGTAATGCTGCTCCTTCGTTAAATCTAATTTTAAATTTAACTTTCTCCAGTTTTCCAAATGTTTTGATAGGTTAGCGCCTGTGAGGGCTATAAATACTTTATTGTAGAAATGAATGGTTCCAGAACTGGTAAAAATTTAGATTTTAGTGATAAGAATCTTTTAAAGTAAAATTGTATGAATGAAACGCAACAATTAAGTATACCAAACAGTAAAATTCTAGTTTCAGATAAAAAGAAGTTGGAAAAAAATTACTGATCTAAAGTTATGAAGGTTTCCTCTTCCTGTTGACAAACCATGTTGAAACCTTCAAATGCAAACTTCTGCATTGACAGGGTCATAGATTTATCAACAACAAGAAGCACTAGCACCATATCGGAGCAATGGGCTCCATTCACAGTCATTCCTTAATCAGCTCCTTTGCAGTTTGTATTATAACCAAGGAAGGTTTGAGGAGGCGTTTTATTAAGCATCATATAAAAGACAATTTTGGCTGACTTTGAGTGAAATTGAACAGTAAAGATACAAAAATAGATCTTTAAGAGGGGTTGCCATGTTTTGCTTCTTCAAAAAGCACAGTACAAAATGCATGTACAAAATGCACATGAAAATTTTGTTCAGGGTGTCAAGTTTCTTTCCTTATTCTTTGACCCTTGAATTTTCTGTTGCCCGAACTGTCTGTGACCGTTTATTCCAAATCAAAAGAAATGCAAAAATAAGTACAGCTGAGCACCAAGCACCAGTGAGTATCGGTAAAGGCTTGAATTTCTGAAAAAATTTTATGGTAGATTGGGAATGAGCGCTTCAGGACTCGGTGTATTTCATTATTGCTGAGAAAATTCAGTTCAACATATTTCTTTCACAGTTTTAGAATTTAAGCAGTTAAATGAGCTAAAGAAAAAAAGAAGTTGGTACTAACCAATCATATCTTGGCCTAAATTCCCACCAAAGCCATCATCTTGAATAGGTGCATCAATTTCTAATGCAGCGCGGTGATTCAAAAGACTACCTGCAGAAGTTGATGGTAATGGTTCCTTGTCCTTGTCTAAATCAACATCATCACTGAATAACAGATTTGCCTGAAAGGAAATGATAAAATAGGGATTACAAAAATACCGGTGTACAAAATACGGTGTACAAAAATAAAACATAAAAATTGGTACACAACGTTGCAATTAGAGACAAATATACTTTCTTTCGCATGCACCCATCAGCTTTGGAATCTATTCATCTCTTAAATAACATGAACGTGGTTGTTCTACTATTTTTTAAGTGTAGCAGTGGTTGGTGGCAGCGTAGCGGCCACAGGCCTCTATATAATATATTTTCTATTAATATAGAACCAAATACAGGAACAAAAAAAAAGTGGGAAAGCTCCAATACGTTCATGTTAGAGAAGCGCTCAGCTGTTTTTTATGTAGGCACGTTTTTAAGCTCCCTGAAGACGATGAGCACAATTGCAATGAAAGAACTTGCTCACCCAAATTTCAACTGTACACAAAAAAAAACCGGGGATGAAAATAACAATAGACAAAACAAATAAATTGTTTTTCTTTCGACGACTATCCTCTCTTTCATATAAAAGACTAAAATTTTTGGTCACAATGTGCCTCTGGACAAGGAACAGATTGAAGCACCTCGCAGGATGTTTTCTCTTCAAAATTTCACCAGAAAAACAAATTACCTGAAGGAAAGTACAGCAAGCAACTTCTTCACAAGACATAATTGTGTACAATTTACATTGGTTCAACAGCAATAATACAAAATGACATCATTTCATCACTCCTCTGATGTAAGGGCGTATCTCTATTTTCACAGGAGCCGCGGAAAGCATAGACTTATAAGGAGAACAAAGCTCATGTTGAAAATGAGATACGCCCTTACGTATGATGAGCGACAATAATTGGTATGGTGAAACTTCCATTTGATCCTTGTTGAGATCACGAGTCAGTCAAGAGTTGCTTTCCCAAGTAGGTACCTTGAGTAATAATCGTTTCCTACATAAATTTTAGAAGATGAAATATGTGATGTTTTCTTCTGGTTTAGACTTTGTCTAGTGGCCCATTACATCTTGACCAGCGGGTTCTTCAGTCATGAACAATCTGCACCCGAGTTTAGGTCTCCTCATCACTTTTTGGCGTTAATGAAAAACCATTGTATTCAACAGGTAAAGTACAAAACCAACAAATAAAAACAATTCGACTACTTACTTGATCCAAGGATGGTTCGAGGGTAGAGGCACGCAACAACTCTGGCGCGTCTGTATCAAACTCCATATCACCGAATCCCTCCTCATGTGAGACTAAATTTGAAATGTTGCCGTAATCTTCTCGCATAGTAATTTCTTCTGCTCTTGACTGATTTAAGCTGAACTGAGCTTCAATGTCAACATCACTGGCAGGGAAAAACGGACCAATCAATCAATAATATTGGTTGCTTTTAATGAATTATAGGTCTCATTAAAAGGATTATGATTTCTCTGTCACGTTTATTTCTATTCATAAAATGGACCACTAGACAAGGTAAGTATGAATTTCAGCATTCTGATGCATGTTTCTTAACCAAAATTTCACGTAGAACACGATACGCACAACGATAATTACCGAAATCAACTCCTTACAAAGATATTTAATGATTCCTGATGCGAGAATTCAAACCACCTGCTCATGAAAACTCAATGCTCTACTTGATTCACATCGCGCGCTAAATGTTATCATGACAGTCTCTGCGATGTAAAAATCTGGCAACCTCAATCTTGACGCTTTGGCTCAGCTATAGCAAATTTCTTATAGTTTGAAAAGTGTATGGCAGGAAATGAGCATTGCTCGGTTGAGAAGCTTGCTGAAACCGTTGTAGTGCGCAGTTTGACTCACGTAGAGCTTTGAGTTTCTCGTGAGCGGGCAGTTCAAATTCCTCGTAACCAATGTGAAATGAAAACGTTAACACTTTGTTAGTAGTTGGTTTCAGTAATTTTCGTTGTGTGAATCGTGTTCTACGTGAAATTTTTGTTCAGAAAAATGTATCAGATTGTTTGAATTCGCACTGTTGTCTAGTGGTCCATTGAAGAGTTCTTGAAGAGGGGCCTATAAGGTCCAGATGGGCTCAATTTTTTGGGGATGGGTTACCAAGACAAGCAGCAGCGTAGCTGAGACCAATGGCTCTTGCTTGTCCACCCATCCGGCAACAGGAAAAAATGCTTTTATAGAATCAATGTGAAAACGCTGCTGCAACATTGATTTTGGCACAACTTTTTTGTAACCACTTATTACCAGGTGGATAAATAAGGCCGACTGGAGTGACAAAAACTCCTATGTTTTATGGGTTGGTCCTGCAGAGCACTTCTACGTTTTAGATTTGAGCCAAAATAATTTTGTAACTCTTGAAATAGAAAATGAACGGACACAAAATATAGAGAAAAAAATAAAGAACATCAAAGGACAGAATTGCTGGATTCAAGGGGCACGGAGATAGGTTTTTTTAAGTGATAAGTTAATTCTCCAAAATAAGTAATAATTTACTTTCTTTCGTGAATTAATTGGTAGGAATAGTAAAGAGCAAAATTACTTGCTTCTGTTTCGTACGGAACTTACTTCAATTCAGGCATTGCAGTGTCGAAATCATGGAACACTTCTGGGAGTGTGATTGCGTTGACGGCAGCTTCCCTATTGTCCTCAGGCAAATCGACCATTCCAGGCCTGAAAGCCATTTTGATTTTGATGAAAGCTTCATTACAATCAGCCAATAGATACTTAGCCTTTCGCGAGTATATTCTCACAACTCCCAATAGTAAGTGACCAGAAGTTCGGAGAGCCATTTTCACCTAAAACAAAAACAAATCTCATTAGAAACTTTCTACCAATTAAGATTCCGAAGGAAGAAACTGCAACCTCTGCTGTCTTATGAAATTACCAACACTTTTAATGACAAAGACTCTTGTTAAAAGGGAAGTAATGAGGCAATAAATGAAAAAGGTAGCATCCAGAGAAATGAAACCAAGCATTATTAAAACCATGCATCCTCTAAAGGAAAATTTTAAGGAGGAAAAAAATAGGAAATAATGAGAGGAAAAGTTATAAGATTTGAATGTTTTCACTCAGATATTAGTGTTAAATGGTATCCAAAAACACTTAAAAAGAGGAGAGAAAACAGAGAACTAAGCGGTAAGACATTTAAGTTTTTGAACTTGAACTGAGACCAATTTTCAAGAAGTTGTAAATCTGATATTGAAAATAATAAGTGAATGGGCCTGTTGCATGCAAGAGATACATCCGTGCGAATAGACTTTTTAAAGGTTAAATGACACGAAAATTACGATGGTCACATTAAAAAAGTCTGAAATACACTCCGTACTGCGCAATTTGTGTTGTTAGGAACGCGCTTTTTCAAATTTCCCGCGTCTGGGGGCAGTTTTCTAACGGAAACAATTAACGGCAACTCGCGGCTATTTCCGGTCAACTAAAATTGACAATATAACCTAAAAATCGGAGCTCGTGACATCGTGAAATGAAATGTAGAAGGATTGCGTTGGATATTTAAAAGTTGATCGATTTGGTTACCGCATAAAGCGTATATGGACCACTATAGGAGATCACGTTGGGTTTGTAAACAAACTGAATGAAAAAATAACAACAACGACTCGACATCTTCCGGAAATCACCGAGCCCGCCGTTTGCTCGTTTCCGGTGATTAGAAAACTGCCCCCAGACGCGGGAAATTTGAAAAAGCGCGTTCCTAACAATGCAAATTGCGCAGTAAGGAGTGTATTTCAGACTTTTTTAATGTGAGCATCGTAATTTTCGTGTCATTTAACCTCTAGAAAGTCTATTCGCGCGGCTGTATCTCTTGCATGCAACAGGCCCATTGGACTGAGATTGAACTTGAGATTTGAATTTTATATAATTTTCATTTCTTTTTTGAATAATCAATAAACTGTGGTCAAATTTTGAAGATTTAAGGACTTTTTGATAATTTAAAGGATTTAATGAAAAGAAAAATAATATTGGGACGTACAGGGTTGCCACAGAATTGAAGAAAAGAAATTCCCAGACATTTCCCTGACACATTTTGGTAAAATTTCCTGACAATGGATATGCCAAAAGATTTTAACTTTTAAAGATTTGAAATAAGGTAATTTGAAATGGTTTCCACACAAAATCTATTGTTCAAATTGTCAAACCCATTCCGGAAAGTAAATAAAGGTGACTTGACACTTTTTCCCTGACATTTTCATCATTTTCCCTCACATTTCCAGGTTTTCCCTGACTTTTTAAAATTCTCTGACATTTCCCGTTTTCCAAGTATTCCCTGACCGTGGCAACCCTGTGGGACAGTAATTACGCAATAATCATTTGAGACACGGGGAAACACTCCTCTTGAGACAAACTCGCTGATATCTTGGGTGAAAGGATCTTCTGAGCAATTCTGAAATGGAAAAGACCAATAAGTGCTGGGATTTTAAGCTGTAAAAAACAAGAGTGCAACTGTGCGACACTCTGGCGTATCTTGCACTCAATGTACAAAAAATGGAGTGCAAGTGGTAAGTTGGCATGGTGTCAGAAAAAATTTCATCAACTTAAGAAAAATAGGAGAAAGCAAAAAACCACAGCAGAGATGTTGGAAAAAGCAGTGCCAGGGGTTAAAAATTTCATTAGTCCCAAAACCAATAAATTATACCTTTAGGAAAATACACTGAAAAATTACCGAGTAAGTATTGCCCGTTAGACTGCAGGAATGCCAATCTTGTTTTGCCATGTTGCAAACTTCTTAACATTCCTCATTTTTTAAATATAAAAATACTCCATTTCATTTCTCATAAACTTCTCTCACTTTTCCACTCAGAATAAAGAAAATTGTGTAAAAATTTCAAGCAACAGACTTGGTTCTTTCTCCTTTGATAAAATTAATGGTGAAAAGAGATTTTGAAACCCAGCAATCAAGATCCTGCAGTTCCACTGTTAAACGTATTAAGATCTTTACTGCCATGCTAAGGAAGAACGCCATGTGAACATTTCAGAGTTGCCAGATTTCCCCAGATAAAAAATGCATTTTGCAGGAAAGTTGTGTATAGTTTTCCTAGAAATTTTCAGATATTTTAGATAAAAGTCTGTACAAAATTGTCTGAAAAATATCCAACAATTTTCTTGAAAATTCGTATTTTATTGGAAGAAATTTGGCAGTGTCTAATGACTCATACGGTATTCTTCCTTAGCACGGCAGTTTACCCCTCTGCCTCCTCTGTATCTACACGCAATAATCTTCCCTTTAAGTACAAATATTAAATTTATAGAGGTACATTGAAATCAATGCCTTCCTCTAAATAGGGATGATCCAATTTTAAAATCGAATAAAAAATCCATTTTGGAAAAAAAATAAAAAAATTTAAAAGGATTTTTCCAAAGTTGAAAGTTCTGGGTATTTTCACTAGTGTTTACTGGAAAATTTCAGTAGAAACTGTAGGTTAGATATCCTTAAAAAAAAAAATACATGAGCAAAGACTTATATACCACCTTGCAATCTGAGATACACATTTTTCGACTTAGGCAATCAATGCATGGGACATCACGCACGGAGGGTATTTCCATTCATGGAAACTTTAGCTTTATATGAATCATAATACTCAATGCCTGGACTAGAACTAGGGAATGCAAAAACTTTGAAGTTGAAAAACATTAGGAAGAGGAAATTCATAATAGAGTCAGGAATTTCTCACAGCCCTGCCTAGGGGCTGTCCCTGAATTTCGTAATGCTCAAGGGGGGGGGGGGGGGGATCGAGGATAGTGTTATGCCATTTTGTTTTAGTGTGTTAAAGGATAGGGCCCTACCTCACAAAAGCGTTACAGGGGGAAAAAAGGTGTCATTACAAGGTGTCAAAAATGCAGAAAAGGTGCATTATGTAATTTAGGAACAGCCCTTAACACTTTGAATATAAAACTGTAAAAATTGTCTCTAAGTAGGTAGTTGCTGAAGTCAGGATGGAACTGAACTTTAAAAATGCATCAAGGCAATTGCCTTCCTATAGTCCTATTGTTTAGTCCTATTTAACTACCAAAGATAGATGAACTAATCATAACAAAGAAAAATCTTGATATTGAAAATAAGTAATATAATAAGATTAAAGAAATTAATTTTACTAGAGTAGATAAAATAAAAAATCTAATTCATTCGAGTTTTTCACAAATTAAAATCAACCAAAAGTGGAAAGGAAATATACCCATTTTAACCATTAATCCTAAAATTAGAATGAAGAAATCAATTACTAGCACTATACTTCATGCTGCATTCCGAAGAAAAGTGCAAGGACCTTGTTAAAAGTTCAACTTAGTGCATTTTAATTCATGATGAAGAGTTTTCGATGAATACTGTGGACAGTAAAGTGGCGTGTTTTGCATTATATCAATTGATCTACCATTTAATCCTATGGAAAAGGATCAAAAAACAGGGTGTTCGCAGCGAACACCGTAAGAATTGATTGTTTACCACAGCTTCAAATGAGAAAATATGGATACTCGATCATTCACGCCACGCCACTGACTGTGAACATAAATAAACCCTGAACTTATAAAGAGGGTAGTGGCATGAGGACTACATTAAGTGCTGTTACTGCATTACATACTTTCTCGTTTTTACGAAGTTGAACAATTAATTTATTGGTAATAAAATTGCCAGGCATTTTGGTCCTAAGCTGATGATACAAATGGTAAGGAAGAGAGATTAAGAACGAATACTGTTTGAACTAACCTTCGGTTGTAAGATACCGTCAACAGACTTTTCAATATTCGTCTCGAATACATGAGCTTTGGTGAGCTTCTTATCCCAATGGGCTGCCAGCCAAATTCGGGCCAGAGGCCCTTTTTTGGCTAGCACAAAGTGCGCGTAAAACATGATTGATTACTTGAGCTCACTGAAAAACAAAAGAGAAAGCATAAAAGATCAGTGATAAATGGTGATAATGAGATAATACAAGCTGATAATGTTTTCCAAATTTTCTATTCCCAATGTTTTTCCAATACCTGTCTATCCACTGTGAGATGAGAAAAGCTGAATTAAGCATTAAAATCATTCAGGGGGTGCTTAAAGATCAATTTATGAGTATAACGACTAATAAAATCAAAATCCTCCATATTTTGGACCAACTGACTAAAATGAAGTCATCATTTTGGCAGACTGCCTTGTGGCTCGCTCTGCAAATTTATGCAGATTTTGTTTTGCAACAACCAGGAGAGTAATATATTTCCTTTCTGTTGAAAATGATATGAAATTTGGTCTTGCGGAAAAATCCATCCTACAGTTGGAGAGTGCATTCCTCGAAATATACCCATCAGGGAATGCTAAAATACAGAAAAAAATAAGTGGCTTGCGCCATCAGGAGCGCAAACCCCAGCCATTTTTTGGTCAACAAAGCAAATCTGTTTCAGGAAGTGCTATTCATACCTGTGCTTTATTCGCCTCTAGAGAGGTTGAATGATAACGGATACATCCCTTCTTGGAAATAGAAAACATTATGTTACATTACTTAATTTTTGATGAGACTGAAGAGAAAATGTGAGGTTACAAAAGATAAATTTTTTTTCTTCGATTTTGTCATTATAGGTTAACCTTAAGCAGACTGTAAGAAGTCTCCAACGAAGATGGCGAACACAGGGAAGAGAAAAATCATGTTATATGGGCTCGACTAAGGCTTGCGCTTCTGTGGAAGTTGTCTGTATACTCTGAGCACAAAATTAGCGCTGGCTAATGATATGGGTACACACTGTAGAGTCAAAAATATCAGGAAAGGGAAGTAAGTATACGCATGCCTGTGAGGATTTCAATACTTGTTTGCAAAGTATTAATCAGGAAAGTGACTCTTAGGAAATGAAAACGTTCTCAAAAATTAAATATCTTTAAAGTGGGAAAATTCTGGAAGATTGGAGTTTTTTAAAACTACCTTGAAACCATGATAAAAGATCAGCTGTCAAAACGAATGATCAGGATTTGAAGGAGAGTATTGGAGGGACGAATCGCAGAATCAGCGATTTCAAATACCGCAAACCATAACCTAGATCCAGGTGGCGGACTCTTACTTATTCCTTTGAGTTACAAGAAGGGATGTTATATAAGTTGCTTCGGTATATAAATGGTCGGATATTAATTACTAATAGATGAAATGGTAGCATGGTGTTTATCCAAACTGAAATGGGCTACGAAGGAGGAAGCTAGGCTCAGGAGGGAAAATAAAACGGACACTTTACGATAATTGAAGTGCCCAATGGTGACAGCTTTCTGGGTTGCTGAACATTTCAAAATGGCAAAAGCGATGTAGATAGCTCGGCAGATGAAATGATCGGAAAAATGTGTCACGTTTGAATAACGGAAAGTGTTATTATCAACAACTACGGGGAACTCCAGGGGCTGGAGATGTGTTTGAAGTAGAAATTGACTGAACAAACCCAAGAAATGGTGATGTCCGCGTGAAAGTAGCTGCTCCTAAATTTTCAAAGTGCAGTGTTCTTGAGTAATAAACTTATTCCAACACATAACGAAATTTAATAATATCTAAAAATGAGCACTGACAACAATTTCTAATATTTCTATCAACAAATTGAAAAACAAGATGGCAGGCGAAGGCGGTTGTCACTTTTTGCCGCCAACAAGCGAAGTACGGCTTACGGATGGACGAATATCGAATTCGAATGCGATTATTCAAATATTTGCTTTAGGAACCTAACCGAACGAAAAAGATCGATAGATAGAGTAATCGCAACAAACGCCTTAACAATCGATTCTTTACCATAGTTTCTAACGGGGAAATATCTATATTCGCTCAATAATGCGATCACGCCTCAGCACTGACTCCGAGGCATGGCAAAAGCTCAAAGCTGCTTCGCACCGGCTCATGTACGGTGGAGCGAAACAAAATAACGCCTTACTATGTACCCAACTTGCAAAATCTCAAAGGATCGAAATATTTATTTTATTTTTAATTATTCATTTATTTTATCATTACAAGATGTTTTTTGTTTCAAAATTCATATGGCTAATTCTTACATACCTATATTGCAAGATAACATGATAACAATGATGAGGTCCTGTTTCCTCTAAATGCGTTATGAATTTTTCCAATAAAGTTATAATGGTCTATTTTTAATAGAGGAGCATCATTAGTATTTGAAACAAAACTCTTTGGGTTTGGTTTGTACAGACTAAAGACAAAATGTTCATCGCAAGCAAACAACTCATTAAAGCTTAATTCGCCTATTGTGAATTTTTCATAGATCCGATTGATGTTTTGAGGAAGAACTTTTTCAATTTGACGGTCAAAATTCTCCGAATCGTAGGGCATGAGTGCTATTAAGCATGCTTAGGTACAGGGTCGGATTTACCATTTTTTCATTGCGGAATAAATATGCGATGACTGCTTTTTAGACCTCTCAATCATGTGCTATGAGGTAAGATAAAAAGAGCGAGAAAAAAAATCCATTTTCGCAATTTGCCGCCAGGGACTCCAATCCTCCCCCTCCCATCCTAATATGGTCCCAGGCAAAAAACCATTTTTTCTTCATTGTTTCTCTGAACTCTTTCTCCACACGAAAAGGCACCTTTCCCTCCCAATCGAATGATGCTTTATTGGAAATTGAAGCTGCGTGAATAACGAAAAAAAATTTAATTTCCGGTCCAAAAATGCACCACACATGTCTTGTGCATCCGTGACCATGAGCTACCACGTCGCGTCGCTCGCACGCACTGCGCTGCACATGTGGCGCCAGCGATGCAAAATTTCAAGTAATTTTATTAAATGAAAGTACATAACAAACAATCCATCTCATTTACAATTAAATTTTTAGATTAACTTCCATGGACTCGGTGTACAATCGAGCATACATAAACGGTAAAACCTTTTTTTACTTAATTTTTTTTCTTTTTTAAAAAATGTCTTAAATTACATTTCAAAGTTTATTTCTATGAATTTTTGGATAATTCTATTAGATGTATACGCAGCCCTTGCAAGATCCTTAAAGTCACATGAAAAATTCATTTTCATTCTCATTTTTTAGCGGTACATTAACTTATGTACCTTGTCAAATGGTCAAATGATTATTTCTTCAGTTGAAATTAAAATGCCTTTTTCAGGTGTAGGCGGCAACAGTGGTTAATCGCAAAATGGCGATCATCCACGAAGTCGCATCGTTCATCAACACCATCGGTCATCTTGAAGCCTATTTTAATCAATCTAATCCAATCTAATCGGAACTATTACTTTAAAACTTAATTTTAAACCTTTTCCGAATTTTGATAAGAAATTAATCGACGACAATAATCTCTCTTAGTCTCACCCTACAGCTTTGGAATAACTGTAGTATTCTCTCGAGCCAGATATTCGAACAAGAGCGACGCTCGTATTACCTCCATTGGATATTATTTACAGATGGCGTCTTATGTTTATCTGAATTTACCCGAATTTCGGAAGTGTCGCGATAATAATTTTCTTGAATTCTGCAAGCCAATTCGGATCTAAAGGAAAATGTGCCTGCAAAAGTTGTGTTTATTTATTGTGTGAACCGCCACCTCGCGTTTATCCATGCTCTTTTCATGTGTAGTGAATGAGTGCGATACCCCCCAGTGCATGTTTTCCAAATCTCATTGCACCTTACTAATGTAATAGATGAATAACTCACCATGTCCAGTTCAGTTGTAATAGAAAGAACTGAAGAAAAAAAGAATGATGACACTCTGGTCATCATTGTCAATGCGGATGGAACGTTGTCTGTCGACCCAGATACTCTTCAAAAAGTTCTAGGTTTGTAGCGGGAAATCACGATTGACTTTATTTCTCTATTTTTTAAGGATGCATGAATTCTTACGGAAGATTTGTCAGCTCAATTTCTTGCCTTAGAATCAATGATGCTTCACTCAGGCATTCAGTGCGAAGGGGTTCTCAAGCCCTTACATTTGTGGACCTACGTAACATTTTTCCACACAGACTTGAGTGCCAGATCCATCCTTGAAATGTTGAGTAGAGTGATGAAATTCTGCCATCACGGTAGACTGGCACTAGTTTGATCTAATACTTTAATTTTTTTTTCTTTCTTTTTTTCTAGTTTATTACAATTAAGTGTATCGACGGTGAAAGTCGGTAATCACATAACTCGGTTTGCGATGTCGCAGACTTCCTATCATCCTATATTTTTTAAACAGAAAACTACTCAACGGCAATTCTTCAAAATTGTCGTAATTTTCCTTCTCTACGCAAAGAAAATCCTGCGAAAACTTCAAGAAATGATGTCATTTTGTTCTCCTTTTAAAAAATAACAAAGAGGCGGAGATTTTCAGACCCTGCAAACGAGTTATATGATTGCCGACTTACACCGTCGATATACAATAAATTATACAGACCTAGAAGATGGTCTTTTTACAATTTCGTTTAACAGTTTAAAATTAAAGTTTTACAAGGCACTTTGATGGATACTGACAAGGGGAACTTCCCAAGCTGCCGCCTCCGATCGGGCTGAAAAAATTCGTACGAACTCTTTGGATGAATTTATTTGACCCGTATATTTTTGTTTTTTCCAATGCCCCCCAGAAACACCCCAAAAAAATTCCGGAAAGTTTTGCTTTGAGCGCTTGAATGTATATACGCAGTATAGCAGCACCTGTAAATCATCAAGTGGTGGCTCTGCGGTAGCGCGCTCGCCCAGTGATCCGGCGGGCCTGGGTTCGATTCCCGGGCGCCGCGCCAAATTTTTACGACCGAATATATATTCTCACACATTTTCACATCGATTCCCATTTGATACATTAGAACTTAAAACATCAGTTAATTTACAACCATCAACGATCAATAACTTCTTCAATTTGAAGTATAGATTTTTTTTGGGAGGGGGGAGGGGTCACGCGCGCGATATTCTCGCCAATCACTGTACTTTCACATTAGCAGACGACCCGCTCCGCCCCCTCACATCGACATATTTCTCCCGATCACCCGTATGAGTCATGATTTTTCCCATCATTATCCAGAAAATGATAATGAAAAATTACTTCGAACATTCAAATTAAAAATGCTACAATTTTTCATTATCATTTTCTGGATAATGATGGGAAAAATCATGACTCATACGGGTGATCGGGAGAAATATGTCGATGTGAGGGGGCGGAGCGGGTCGTCTGCTAATGTGAAAGTACAGTGATTGGCGAGAATATCGCGCGCGTGACCCCTCCCCCCTCCCAAAAAAAATCTATACTTCAAATTGAAGAAGTTATTGATCGTTGATGGTTGTAAATTAATTGATGTTTTAAGTTCTAATGTATCAAATGGGAATCGATGTGAAAATGTGTGAGAATATATATTCGGTCGTAAAAATTTGGCGCGGCGCCCGGGAATCGAACCCAGGCCCGCCGGATCACTGGGCGAGCGCGCTACCGCAGAGCCACCACTTGATGATTTACAGGTGCTGCTATACTGCGTATATACACTCAAGCGCTCAAAGCAAAACTTTCCGGAATTTTTTTGGGGTGTTTCTGGGGGGCATTGGAAAAAACAAAAAAATACGGGTCAAATAAATTCATCCAAAGAGTTTGTACGAATTTTTTCAGCCCGATCGGAGGCGGCAGCTTGGGAAGTTCCCCTTGTGAGTATAAAACAAAATAGAAAAGAATAAAAATAGAAATGAAGATTAGAATAAAAAAAAATAGAAATAAGAATAAATAAAAATAATTAAAAGTAATAGATCAGTAAGAATAACAATGAAATTAGAATAGGTAAATGTAGAAGCTATGGTAAATTAAAAGGGAGAAAGAAGTGAAAACTTAAGTGAAAAGTAATAAAACAATAAAATTATAAAATAAGATAAATTAGGAAGGAAGGTGGCCATAAGTGCTAAATGCCTAACTATTTGCACAATTACTAACTATATACATGAGCCTGTCTTACCAAGCTCATTTGCATCTAGGGCAATAATATTTTAATGACTACAAAATCTGAAAGAATGAAGGTATGCAAAGGAAACATAAACATTCAATTTTTCACTGAAATTGCGGACACAGTAGGAAACATCGAAGGTAGTGCCTCCAGCGATAGCAGCACTCACAAGAAAAGGAAAGAAACTATGGTATTCAAAGTGTCCCTGAACAGACTGTTACATCCCAAAGTTAAAATAATCTAGGTACCATGACTTATTAGAGCGGACGCATCGTATGTTGAGACGAAAGTCAAGTATTGCTTAGGTCACCACTCATCAGTAGTGCCATCTGACTGCATGTATTAACCCGTTGAGTGGTGCTGATTTGGCGGTAATCAGAGATTGACATTTGTCTCAACTTAAGATGTATCTGCTCTACTTAAAAAACGCCTAATGATGTTGATTTGTATTTGTTGGATAAATGTCTACTGCAGTTCCAATCTTTCCCAGTTTTACAATTATAGATTTCACCAACTTCATAAACAGGACAAACCTCCTCAGTAACTGGGGCAAAATTTATCAGTCACCTAGAACTTTGAAATGATATCCAAATTCTTAAATTTGAAAAAAAAAAATTATCAGCCATATTTACCTATAAAAATACATGAATTAAAGAAGAATGAATTAATTTCTCCATTAACTCCATTCATTTTATGCTGTTGAAAGCCGTTTTCTGTAATTAGATTATGGCAACTGCATGTCTGAGCTTTTTTTAGTGGGAAAATTTCTTCAAGTATCTTTTAAATATCTTTCTGAGTGTTGAGACCTCATTGAATTCACATCAATAAGACTCATGTATTTTCTATTACAGTGCTTGGAAAGTATCCGATTTGATAGTACCACACGGAATTGTACTCAAGTGCTGGGTCCATACCATTTTGGTGGGAAATCAAAACCTGAAATTAATATTAAAAACGCAAAATGAACTCAAATCTTTTTCTCTTGTTTGATAATACTTACCTCTAATTAAATTGCCCTTCTTTTACTACAGCAAGTCAACAAAACACACCAGTGAGTATCCTGCAATGTGTTGATAGTGGCCAGCCAGCAACCGATGAAGAGAACGAAAATGGATTAAAAGCAAATTTAGTTGTTGAAGGCTATTTTCCGCAGAACAACAATGTACCTGTATCGACAGCTCTTGCTCCTGCCACAATATCAGCCTCAAATCCTGTCATCGGTAATTATTTTTCTTCGCTTGTAAAATTTTCACTCTATAGCTTAATGTCCTGGTCTCTTGAATTTAGCTGTTTTTCCTGCTGAAACCCTGGTTTTCATACCTAATTCTGCTTACTAATTTGACACCCATGTAATGAACTAGGTAGGTCTATTTCAAAATTAGATGTACATCCCCTCCATTTTCAAATTGATCGGCTATTTTCTAAAATCTTAAGTGGAACTCAACAAGGTCATTAGAAGGAAGATTCTATTACCATTGATTATATCTTAAGCACAAAGTTAGCCCTTCAACTCCTGAATAACTAAGCACAACACTAATTTTTACCTAGTCAGGGTGGACAAAATTTTCTAGCTAAATGCACTTAGGATCACAGGATTTACATATGAGAACAATTTATCACTTTTATAAAGTTAAGCTGAAGTTATGAAGCTGAGGCTGACTAAAATGTAGCTAGCAAGAACTCTTCAAAAACAAGCTTCAAAGGACCAGACGACTTATTTTACCATGTCTTTCATCTTTCCAAAAAAATTGAAAGAAGGATCTGGCTCAGGTTGCCTAAAATGATTAATCAGTGTAGTGGACCTCAACTCTCCCTAACACATGTTAGTAGCTGATTCAAATTTGAGGTATGATTCCAAGAAACACTCGAACTGTTGGTAACATGAATCTTACATTTAAAGATAAAGGTACATCATACTAAAGGTCCTAGCAGGGTTGAAAATCCGTCTCAACCACATGTATCTTTTCCCCCATTCCCACTCTTCATTCTAATTTATCCAGCTTTCTAATCCAAAGTTTTTTTGTTGTTTTGGTGTGGTTTGGATCTAACGATTTTTCATTTCAATCGTCCATTCTAGGAAAAAGCAGTGTCTCTTGTTGTTTAATCTTAACATAGTTACTAAAGTTCTGTTCATAATTGAAAAAATGACCTTGCTGATTGAAAAAAAGAGAAAAATATATCACAATTGAGTAATGCTTGGTTCCACTGCGGATGTTTTCTTAGAAAAAATTCTGTACAAAAATGCCTCTGTTACTTTAAAGCAAAATGCATAGATTTATATAGACTCTTGAGACTCTCTCTTCCAATCCATTAAGTGGTAGCTCCTTGATTCCCAAGTAACTTGGTTCCCTGTTACTAAATACAACCCAGTTTATATTTTACAACATACCTATCTCAAATCGTTATTCAGTTTCAGCAAACTGAAGTTCTGCCTAAATTGTCCTACACCAACTTTTATGAATAAGGTGGACTGTCTTCTGCTGGATGTTTTACAGAGTCATTTGAGAATGGCGTTTTGTTTTGCAAAAAAAATTGAATTACACTAAGGTTTGGGCATAGGTAAAGAATTCCTTCTGTGCAGAAAATTCAAAAATGCGATGGAAAAATAACCTACTCTTGATATAAAATCGAAAATTAGATACATCACCCCCTCAGTCTCGTTACAATAAGCACTTGACTTTTCATTAATCAAAAATTTGGTCTAATTTTAAGGAGTAAGTAAAGAATTTCTACTATTGTGAACCAAAAAATCTATACTTTTTGAATTTTTAACATATTTTCTGCTCGGAAAAATTCAAATGGTTGTTTTGACATTGCTGAGGCAAATATCCGGACATATATTTTTAATTCTTCCAGCGCAGAAAGCGTACCTTTATCATTCCTTTCAATAGATAGGAACCAAGGAAAAGGTTTCCTGCAAAGTCCTTTTTGCCTAATGCAATCCATCATTCTCTTTTTCTAAATATGCAACTGTGTTGGGTTTTTGCGAAATTTTGGTGAATCAACGAAAATTGCGCGCATCTGGTGCCTGTTGAAAGCGTATTTTTTTTTTTCTTTCTTCAAAAAAGGACCTACCTTCTGAGTGCATAAAGTGCGGCCTTAAAAATTATTTTCTTCATTTTTTTTGAGGCACACATTTCAACTCAGTACTCCACATCGCAGCATTTAATTCTTTTGATCACTTGCTGGGATGGAGTGCAAAATCATACATTCATCGAGAAAGTAATCAGATCTTGATTAATAATTTCTGATTGTATCTTTCTTCATCCTGTTACTTTTAAATCACTTTCATTTTGTTTTGTTCAGCATCTGAACAACACTGTGTCTAGCAGTTCTTGAAGTACAAGTTCCTTAACAAATTTTTGGCAGTTGAAATGCTAAAGTTGTTTTCTGTGTCAGGTTTGATTAAGGAGTTTGATTCCAAAATAAGGCTGTTAGAAGATACAGGAATTGTCATAGAAAGAGATGTTTCTAATTTAGATGTTTCAAAGGAGCGCATTTTCGAGCTTTTAAAAGTTCAAAACAGCTGTTTGGTTGGAGAAAAAAATGAGATGTAATGTTGAAGTAATGAAAAGAACTCTCCAAAAATTCAACTCTGCTAGACATTTTGTTTTCACCATCTTTTTTTTTTGTGCCGTTAATTTTTTCTACCTCTGCCAACGTTTACTAGTGTAACACTTGAGTATGGTTTTGATTAGGATCGGTAGATGAATTTATGTGTGGATTGGGCCCAACAGAGGCGGCTAATCTGGATTCAGCTTTACAATCAGAGGCAGCGAAACGTTTGTTAGATCCACATTTACTAGGTAATTACAGTTGGATTTTGATTCCTCTTTGAAGCTTGACTTTTTGACGCATCTTCGCAAATTGAAATGTATATGTTAAGGTATATTGAGTTTTTTTCGGAGCAAACCTTACTAGAGTTCTTTTTAAATATATAATGACGGGTCAGCAGGTTTTTAAAGGGAACTCAGTGTTTTTGCATTAAATGTGTCTTGTTCTGCCTGTCCCAAACAATATTTTAGTTATGGAAATTTTGAAAGTTACTGACGTATTCAAACTTCACTCTTCCTGGCAAGTAACCAAAATCTCCTTCCTTCATGATCATTAGTCAAGTTTTTTATCAACAATAAATAATAACAATACATGTACATGAATCACTTGCAAATCTTTTTATACTCATCATGAAGGTTCAGAATTAGCCACTTTCTGAGGTACTGATGAATCAATTTCACCATGCACATAAACTTTTTTTCTATCAAATTACGTTTGTCCCTGAGAGAGTGGTCAGTTGTGGATTTTCATAATGAAGGGGCAAAGATCCACAACTTATTATAGGTTTTATGATGCGTTGAAAATTCTCAAGTTCAAAGTATCAGATATGGAAGTATTTTCATTTGAAAAATTTTTTTTTGCTCTCTTGGAAGATGATTGAGACGAAAATCGAAAAATAGAAAAAAAAAGTAGGAATATTTCAAATTTGGTCGATTTAATTTGAACAGAAAAAAAGAGAAGATTCAAAAAAATTAAAATTGACAAATTGTGCGTCAATGTGCAAATTAACCATGAAAAAAAAACCCTTGTTCCTGTCTCGTTCAAAATTCATTTGATCTTATCATTTGGATGCATCCTCTCACTAAAAAGATTAAGCCGATTCAATGACAACTTCAGTTGATTTTTCGAACAGAAGGAAAGGATTGATCTTGAATAGATTTACTATCGTAAGTTTTTTAAAAATAATGGGATTTTATGCGATCATAGTATCTAAAGGTTTAAACGATAGCAAAAACAGTGTCCATCACAATCAGCACAAGGTACTTCCATCCAGAGTTGGAACATACCTATACAATTTTAGTGATGAACTTGACAATTCGCTGAAATGGATCATTGCTGCTATTGACTCATTTCTTACGAACTCATTTGTTTTTTTGAAACTTTTCTTAGAGTGTCTTTGAAAATGTTTTCATCTCAATCAGAGTGAATCTGTATTCTTTTTTTAAGCAGAAAAATCTCACTGGTTGCATGTAAAGCAGGTCCTTTTTTTCTTCATTTTCTGTTCTTGTTACTGTATGTACTTGCACCAACTCAACCAATGTATCGTACCTCCATGTAAATTTTTTGAGTTCTTCACCATTCTCATAATCTCCCAAACAACTTCAACCAAGTTTTGCTTTTAGTAGAGTTTTGGCAGTTTCGAATTAATAGCGTATTTTCATTCGGTATTCCATCATTAATTGTAGAGCAAAAATAAGGCGTTTTTATTTCGTTATTGGAATATTCTTAATGGGCTTTCTGTTTTTCTCTCTCTCCCTCATTCTTCACTATTGTGATTATCCTCATTTCATATTGTTATTTCGCTCCATCTCTCTTTGATTGTTTTCCATAGTTTTGTTGATCTCTGATAAGTTGAATCAATTTGGAAGAATATTTCATTAATATAAAAACTTTTTTTCCCTCGAAAATTTCGTTTATATTGGTTATTGCAGTGAAAAATTCGATGCTCTTAAATTTTCAATCAATGCAATGAGTACAAATTTGTTCATTACTAAAGCAAGATGATCGTTCTAAACTAGCCATTTGGTGAGGCAAGTTTGCTTCTGAATCTAAATACAAAGTTCACTCTGCACTTGATAATTTAAAGCATATAACCTAAAAAGTATTCAGGTTGTAATTGTTGATCCCAAAAATATTGTACCATTTTTTTTTTCAATGAATAGAATCGTATTTTTGAAGGACCCTAGGGCACACCGCCTTGACTGCTTCGTGCCTCAGGTCTATGCGCTATGAATTACTCTTATGATTTTATACTGTAGAGTACAATAAGGTATCTTTTTCGCCTTTCTAAGAGAAAGGACAACTCATTGGGGAAATCCTGTGTAGTTTAATTCAGCAGACTTTCCATCTTAAATTTTTTGTGTCTGTCTCTTATGTATTTTATTATTGTCTTAATTTTTAGTGTATTTTCCGAAGGAAATATACTATTGCGTTCTCCTCTCATGTCAGACCTGGACCAAAGACCATGCAATGACCATCGATCCTGGGTTGTAGATTACGAATATGCATGCCGTTTGAATTCATGTTTATATATATCTGTTTATTTATGTATGTATTTCCGACTCATCGTGGTTTTTCCGATTTTTGCTGGGTCATATTTTCCTCATTTTCGAAGTTTTCGGGGTGAAACTTTTTGCGATGTAAATTGGAGGAACGGGACAAGCATTCTGCGAAAAATGAACAAAGATTGAAATATTAGATTTTGAATGGTGGGGGCAAGGAGTGGGAGGAGGTTCAATTTTGTGGTCGCAATAACTCGCGCCAACTATAAGATTTTCCCCCGAAATTACAGGAGGAAGATCTTACATAGTACAAGGCTGTTATTGAATTAGGGCGAAATCGGCCGAGCGGTTTAAAAATGGCGAGCTTTGAAAGTTTTAGACAGGGGGAGTGGGGCCGCACAGTGGGCCACGGACTGAAAATTGGTGGACAAGACGGCAACAGTGTCGCACAGTGAGTCACGGAGTTCGAGCCATCGTCAGTCAAGCTTGCCACATCGTTTGTTGACATTTTTCATATCTGACATTATATGAGGGATTTTAATTGCAATCTGGCGATTAAGTCTTACGAATAATCAATTCCTCCAACAATGTAAACGTAAATATGACCTCAAAAGATTGATCCCATCGCCCGTCGGAAAATGTATTCTTCTTGCGGTGGATGTGCGGATTGCTTAAACAGACAGAAGCACTGAGGCCAGACACTCAAACAAAACAACTTTTTTTTTCTTCTTTTTTTCTTTCTTTTTTGTAACTTCCAGGATAGGACGTCCAGCATGTTAATATTTTCCTTGTTTTTTGGCTCTTTTTCTTTTCTTTTTTCTTTTCTTTTTTGTGAAAAGAGAATATGAGAGAATACATCTAAATATGAGAATCTTTTTGCCAAAATTTAATTCTTTTCCAAATGGTTTTGTCAGTGCAGCTGCAATCTTTGTTCTTTGTGATTGGGTATGATTGTGGTTGTCATGAAGCTTAAACTTCATCATTTGCCATTACCCTCTAAAATTATCGGTATTTTCTTAGAATTATGAATGGAGAAACATTTTTTCCCCATTGTAAAGGAATGGAAAAAAAATTGAACCAAGATAACAGAAAAACTAATGAGGTACCAATAGGAGAAAACAAGACTAAGATGGCCTTTTTTTATTCTTCTCTTGCTTTTTTTACCTACCCATTTTGGACTAAATTTTGCCATGAGAAACCACTATTTCTGGTTCATCCATGAAAACGTCTATCTACCTAGGGAAACTAATGACGCTTACGATGTTTCTAACATCAGCCAGAAATAGTAGTGCCCATTTGCAAAATGGAGTCCAATTGGTTTTCAGTTATTCTCACGATTCTCAGTAACTCAGCATTTTGACATCAAAATTTCATAGCTCAGATTCTTCAGTAACATCCTTTTTTCTCTTTCTTTCCTGTGGGTTTCTCCTCACTTTTTTCTTGCACTTAATAACTAAATAAACTTAAAAGTGTCTGTCATCTACTAACCTGAATGAACCACTAGATAGAATGTGAGATTAAGTAGTATGCTGTATGTCTACTCAGTAATATTTTGCTGGGAAAAGTATGTAACTAATTAAGTTTTCTCAAATCAAATTTCATAGTAAATATTAATAGTTTTAGCCAGTAAGTATTATTAGTTTTGAAAAATTTTAACGTCTTGCTTCTTAAAAAAAAGAAAAATCTAAGGTTGAATGAAGCGTGTTCAGGGAACACCAATTTTCTCCTCCTCTGGAACGTTCCTCAATTTATGTCATTGTTTCCCGGACGAAGGAATGTAACTCAGTTTCAAGGTCGCAAAATTGGCTCAAAAATATTTTTTACAAGAACGTGCTTGGGGATTTCTAGTTCAAAATTTGTCAGATCTTTGCATGAGATCAGGAGAAAAATCAGTGAAATTTTCAATTGAATCGAGGTATGCGAAAACGTCCGATGTCCATTTTTTTGGATTTTGAGTTTTTTGGCTTAACGTCATCTTCGAGGGTAGGCGCATCTATGTGTAGACGGATTTGACCTGTTTTTTGTTTTTTCACCCCCATTTAGGGGGTCGAACCTCAAAAGTATGCGAAAACGTCCGATGTCCATTTACGAGGGTCATCCAATGAGGTTCCCTACCTCTTATCTTCCAAACGGAAAGAGATAAATCAAATCGGTAAAAAAGCTCTTATAAGGCATACTCTAAGCTTTAAAAGAAGCTCAAGTTTTTGAAAATTGGTTGAGGGGTTCGCGAGGAAACTTAATTTTACTGCGACAACTTCCTGTCGCCGCGCGCCCACCTTCAGAGTCTGGATGCGCGGAGAGTCGATTATTTCAGACTTGGGTTTTCGCCGCTAAGCATCATATCAAAAAGAAATTTGAAGGTTTTTATTGAGTAGACCTTACCTTACTTTTTGACGTAGTCTCCGCCTCTGTTTTGACATTTCTGGTGTCAATATTGCAGCTTCTTGATGCCTTCCGCGTAGAGGCTGGCTCTTGTCTTGGCACCGGAATCCGTCATTGACAGCGCTCTGTACTTCCGAATCATTCGGATTCCGCATTCCACCGAGGAAGTTTTTCAGCTCAGTGAACAGACGAAAGTCACATGAGGCTGAATCGTAAGAGTACGGAAGATGGAGGGAAATTTTCTTATGCAATGCAACTGATTCGGAAGTACAGAGCGCTGTCAATGACGGATTCCGGTGCCAAGACAAGAGCCAGCCTCTACGCGGAAGGCATCAAGAAGCTGCAATATTGACACCAGAAATGTCAAAACAGAGGCGGAGACTACGTCAAAAAGTAAGGTAAAGGTAAGGTCTACTCAATAAAAACCTTCAAATTTCTTTTTGATATGATGNATGCAATTTGTGAGAGGAAATATGGCAACATGAAAATGTGGTTACGTTTTTTTGTGAGAGACATGATGATATATCATTGTGTGATTTGCTTAGTCAACGAAACATAATGCTCAAATTCAGACACTGTTCTAATGGTTCACGCAAAACCATGATCAAGATATTTTTGCTTTAAAAAAAAAGGAAGTTTTCTTATTAACTGCAAACCTTCTTCCAGCATTTTTCCTTTTATCTAATGCCATTAAAGCCAGCAGTGCTTTGTCAAAAACTAGAAAAAGTTTTTTACTGATGGTTTCTTCCAAGAAACTAAAACGCTGGACATCAATCGCACAAATTGCTGAATGAAAAGCAGAAGAACAAATAAGTAACATTGTTGTTCATGTCCACTGTTAGGCAAAAATAAGTTATAATGAGATAATATTAAAACACCTATTAAGATGAATTTTACTCTAATTCAACCATTGTTTCGTTCCTTCCAAAATCACTCTCAACGTAGAACAGGTCAAAATACTCAATTTTGATCTTACCACGGAAAAAATTCTAAAAACATTGCTTTATCACATGTTTCCTTGCTCCACAGTCTAATCCTGCATTAATAATTTTTATTTATTTATGTTTTACCTTTCCGTTTTAGATAATTTGTATGTGAGTGATAAGGCAGAAAACAAACCCATGAATGTTCATAGCTCCATCCAGTTTGATCACTGCTACACATCATTCTATCAACCCAAAAAAGTGTCAAATGCCAGTGATGTTCGACAGCAACAACAAAATCAAGCAAACAAAGGAAAGGTACAAATGCTCATTATATCTGGCTTTTCATGTGAAATGCATGATTCTCAGTTCGCTCTTTATCAGGCAGGGATTTTTTTTTTTTTTTTTTTTTTTTTTTTTTTTGACAATTTCTAGACACCATAAAGCCAAATTTTGTCAAGATCTTTTTGTAGTTGGAACACCGATTTGCCAACCATCAAGTGCTCTTTTCCAGATTTTTCTAAAAGAGCGGCATTCTTCAGTCTGTTTGAAGCCTTTTCCCGCCCCCCTTTTTTCTATATTATATTAAATTTGCTTGAGATAATTTTCTCTAAATGATGAACCCTTCACCAAGACAACCCAGAAAATGTGTCATCATGGCTGTCCTTGAAAACTTTAGAGCTACTTCAGCTATGTTGCATGCGGCTCCCCAATGTCTCCAAATCTTGAATGAGTGATTCTTGGTCAGCACAGGCTATTAGTTGTTAAAAATCCCCAAAGACGGCGATCAGATTAAATGCGAAATCTAGTATCTGAAAGAATCATAGAGGTGTACTCTCTGCAACATGAAAAAACTATGTCGCTAGCCAATCATTTCTGGAAGATCAGTTATCATCTGTCTTCAGTCCCCTGCAACCTCATTTTATTTGTATTATGGTAGAAATATTGGAGAATTTAATAATAGTTTCTTCCCCCATCTGAACTTACTTGAGTTTTTTTTTCTCTTTCTCTGCTTTTAAGAACACAATCGTTATGGCTCAAAAGAAAACTTTGAAAACTCCTGGTATACTATCAAAGAGCTCAGTGAAACCAATCGCACCTACAGCTACGCAAGTTCCAGCTGTATCCAGTTCTGGTGAAGTTCAGCTTATCTTGTCACCTACAAAGCAGCTTCAACTGGGACCAATCACCACTCAATCTAGTAATTTCACAATTGTCAGCCCCTTGCAATCATCAGATTGTCATGCTGTCATCAAAACTCCAGCTGCCGGTCAAAAGGTAACCTACTCTGTCATGAAGAGAATAAAAAGCTTTCCAATGAATAAATTATGAGACTTTAAAATTTCACATCTCCTGTTAAAGACATCAATTGTTAGTCTCTGATTCAAGTAAGTTTCCTAGTTATGTGATTCATGTATCTGACTACACGCACATCACTTTTAGTTTAATGATTTCGCTTAGTGAAGTGGTCCATAGTTGGTTCAGTGTTTATGTTCACACTTTAAATACATTCAACATATTGCTTGGTTTTTGATGGAGACGCATTTTTACCGTCTCATTTTGCTTGAAGTATATTACAAATATTTATATGACGAATATGCATATCAACAGTGAAACCGCAGTAACACAAAGCTCACTTGAGTGGTTTTAAAATCTCCTTCCCCATTAAATTTTATCAAAAGAGAATATTTCTACTCAGTTGTTCGAGATTTTCTCAGAATGTCCTTCACACAGAGATAATGAATCAGAAGGACATCAAGAAATGACGTTTAGTATTTTTCCATCTAAAAAATGAAGTATGGCAGGAAGTCTGCAACCTTTCAAATTGAGACAGACATTCCTGCAGTTTCACCATCGATATGTCTCTTCACTCCACTTACAGAAACTGCAAACATTGTCCTATATCTACCGAAAAATTTCTGTAGGAAGTAATATTTATTGTGATGTCAATGTAGCTCTTCTATTTTGATTTGTCCCTCCCTCCTCCCTCCTCATTTTGTCATCATCATAATTTTAGTCAAATGTAGCACCTTTAGTAAAATTCATTATTTGACTTATCATAATCAACTAAAAATGAAGTTTCTGAGGCAAGCTAAACTATGGCTTCTACATTATTTGACTTGGGAATTTTACCTCAGGATGAGATGATAAACTCACCTGATAGAACATCGTCATTGAAGAAAAAATCTAATGACAGCAATTGAAGGCTTTATTCGTATTGGCATGAACATGCTAAGACTTTAATTGCCTAGCTCCACGACGTACTAATTTTTAGGAGTTGAGGATAATGTGAATCACTCTTCTTATCTGTCCCCACTCACCATGCTCTTATCAGCTTCCACTTTCAATTTAGAATTTCAAGGAGTGGGAGGGCTACAAGCCAGGTTTTATCAGTTCCAACCATGATAGCTGAATAGCAAGATGTTTCTTACCATTATGAAATAAATGTGTGCCTCAATGCCGGCATGTTTCAAGATTTTTGTTCCGTTGATATGGGAGGCATAACAGTCCAAAGAAAAAATTAAATTAAATAAGAAACTTCTATGTATCTTTCATATTAATGCTAAAGCAATGTTTTTATTAAGGGTTGATGAAATTGTTTCTATTTTCCTTTTAACAGACGGAGGGTCGCACTCTTATGAGAATAGTGCCGAAACAGGGCCCAAAATTCTCAAAGCTGTCTCCTGGTCAGGAGTTAAATGTTCAGAACATCAATTTATCCATATTGTCACCATCAAAAGTTGTGCAAAGTCCCTTGAAGCAGGTAAATTACTCCTTTACTTTTAAAAATACTTGTAAGACTCTTTGCTTGACTCAGAATTGAATCAGTGAGTTTGAAAACACACCAACTCGATAACTCAAAAATGCGCAACTTTCATTAAAGACGGTCAATTTTTATGAAGGTCATTGAAGTTAGCACATCTGTTCCAGCTGGGACCTTTAAAATGTTCGTAAGTGCCTGTCTTTCAGTACCAAACATCTTTTTCTTAGACTAATTTCTTCAGCTACTGTGCAGTTTTGTTTGTGTCTTGATTACTTTAATTTTTCCAAGTTGTTGTGTTTTCGTTCTCACCTATTCAATTCTAAACTGTACGAAAAGCACTAAATTACTGAAAGTAACCATCCACAGGAAAAAGGAGCTTACTGCTGGAAGGCATGTTTTTTGGAAGATTTTTGTCAGATCAGCTCAAGTAATCACAATTTGAGTTCTGTATGCAAGAAACCGTCTCGTGTTCTGATGAACAATTGTCGAGCCGTTTTGTTTATTTCTGTGCTAGGAGAAAGCATAACAGTTAGATTTAAATCCAAAATATTGAGCATGGATCACTGAAATTTTTGACGTTAAATAGGTTTTTCTTTAAACTGCATTTTTTGAACTTAGAATTTTAAACCCTCATAACTCCAGTTTACTTTGACGTCTTTGTTTGATTTGCAACGGCATTGTGTGTGTTTGGCTATTTAGCCTCTTAGAAATCTGCCAAGCAGTTTAACAGCACATCATCTTCAAAAGCTATATCTCAGCAAATTTGAATACTAATAAGTAAACTTGAAGAGGGTCTTGTTAAATTGCTAATTATTCCATCAATAGTATAATTTAAATGTCAGTTGCCTTTTTAATTCGCTATGAAATGCAATTGTTGGATTACATTTAGTCCATCCCTTACACAATATGCATTTAGAAATTTTGGAAGTTGTCTGTTGATGTAAATCAATCGTCAAAGTTATTAACTCTTTTGGGTGGTTAGAACCAATTCTATTTTTATTTTCTTCCATTGATTGTTAACATGCAATACGCCCCTTTTCTCTCAGCAGCAGGTTGCAGTTGGAGACCATAAAGTTGGCAAAGTGAAATTGAACAGGCAGCCTTTGAAGTTGAGAAAGCAGGAGGACAAACCTCCCAGTTCAATCAATGAAAAACAGAGACAGTTAGATATGCAGCTAAAGAAGGTGTCTCTCAACAAAAACGACAATACTGAAGGTAAGCAATGCTGTTCTGATCAGAGGAACATTAAAGGTATTTAAGATTTTTGGAAATTTCCAGCTGCAGCAAATTGTGATTTGAGTTTGGGCATCAAACTGAACAGGATAAATCTTAGAATATCATGGTGAAAATGTACTATTTTAATTAACTAACCTTAATAGAGATTGTATTTTGTTTGGGGTCATATCTACAGCATGACTTGTTAAGCATGTTTACTTTCTCATGATCAGTGAGAAACAAATTGAGAAAAATGTGGTTACGAACCACATGAGGATTGTGCTAATAATCCTGAAACATCTTCCGAATTTGATCCAGAATTTGTGTAACAAAATTTTGTATGTACCAGCATCCCTGCAATGGGCCAAATATTTTCTATTAAAGTAAGGCTTGCTTACTAACTCTGAAAAACACTTGAATGGTATAGGAGTGCTGCGCAACTGTTTCGATCATATCACCAAACAAAATACGACTATTGTGTTCAACGACTAATACACCTGCATTCACACCCCTTCCTATTAATATAGTAAATGGAAATCTTTCTGTGCTCCTCACTCAACTTTCTGATGAAACTTCATTCCTCATTAACTTAAACTTTTAGAAGCACCGGAAAACTTTAATAAATGCTAAGCCAGGGTGTCTACAAGTCCAGAAATAGTACGGATTTTTTAAGGGCGATGCGGAAGTACTGAAAAAGTGTGGAAATTCTGCAAGAAGGTCCGGAATTTTTTGTCATTTTTGTCGCAATTTAAGCGAAAAATTCAAATTTTTGAAGTTTTTTGAATTTCGTCAATTGGAGGTACTGAAAAAGTACTGAAATTTTCTGTGGAGGAGATACTGAATTTCTTGGGAATGTACTGAAAAAGTACGGTTAAAGTACTGATTTTTAGCCAGCATGTTTTAGTAGACACCCTGGCTAAGCAAACCCTCAAGTATAAGCTCAATAGATTCTGGAGCTATGGTAGTCTTACAAAAAAATAGCCTCTATTGCCTAGGTCCCAGGAGACCTGAGTTATTAACGTCATGACAACATCACATAATTTATTGATTTTCATTATTTTAAACCGCTCAGCTTGTGTTTCTCTTAACTCTTCCTTTTTCCAAGATGAGTTGAATAATTTTTACTAGCACCTAATTCCTAATTTTTCTTCAAGTAAAAATCTTCTTAACCCATTGTCGCTTTTCTTAATTGTCTCTTGTTATTTCATGTCATCTTTTTTTCAAAATTATTTTACGCTCAACTATTCGAGTGATCCTGGTACCTTTATTTGTCCCTATTTTATTTAAGATTTCTTTTAACTTATTTATATTCTCAACAAAGTATAATTTTAACTAGACTAGGTCACCACAGGGAACAGCCTTGGTCAACTTGGCTGAAATACATTAAGTCATTCTCCACAAAATGCTCCCTGGTTTAATGAGATTCACAGCGAGGCATGACCTGAACATCTTCAGTAAAATTCTTGAAGTTATCAAAATAAGAATTAGTTTGAAATACATGTTTTGGCAACGAAAAAATTTTTGATACATAAACAGATACACATAATCATGCACTAACTCAAATTTTCACACCTTCAATGTTAATTTTCTTTTCTCTTTTTTCACCCATTTTCATTTTGTACCAAAGATTGATCAATGGATATTTCCTCAATTTCCATGTGAATTTATATCCTCGTGTTGTTTTCTTTACCTGAACAATTTTCAACTTGTAGAGGAATACATATGGGTAAGGGTTGAAATTGGTCATCTTGCAGAAATAGCCAAACTTTAAGGGAGGCCTGATTTTGGCAGCTACAAATATCCCTTCGTTTTTTCTCGTTTTCTTTTCTTCTTTTTTTTCTCTTATTCACTTCATCTCATGTCTATTCTAAATTTACGTTTTCAACCCTTACATATTGTCACTGAAGAATCAATACAGCTTAATGCATTTCTGAAAATGTTACAGAGGAGTAGAAAAATGTCGATATGTATTAATACCATCTTTGAAAAGTAGATCAAAGGTAAATCTTTAAATTGCTAATTGAATCCCAATTGAGAATATTTACTTTGGGATACTATATCACTACGTCGTTTCTTTGTATATTTCACTGTGTGTAGGAGACTGTGTTTGAATTCCCAGAATGCATTTCTTTTGTGGAATTGCAATATCCTGATGTTTAGGTCAGACAGGATTGTTTCTTAAGTGACAATATTCAAAAGTGGTATCAATTTTGTAATGTACTTTCTTTTTGGCATGAACTGTAAATTACAAAGGTGAGGTCTTGAATAACAAACTGGTCTCTTTGCTCCTTCCTTTGTTTCTGTTTTATATTTTTGTGTAATCCTCTCTAAACCTCTAACACTCTTCTGTGTCTCACATCTGTTTCCTAGCAAAATCATATAATTGTTTCATGTAATATTCCTGGTATGATAAAAATATATATGTCTTTCAAGGTTGAGTTATGAGCTTTAAGTTAGTTGTAATCTTAACAAAATACCAATGCTTTTGATTTTTGAGGTGTCGCCTTCGTTTCGTCTTCTGGAGGGCCAGTTGAAGTTAAAACTTCTAATGTCGAAACTAAACCGGCAACCTCCGGAAAGAAGCAAGCGCCTAAAACAGTTTCTGCTCCTCTTGTCGTCGGGCCGGAACTTTTCTCTGCTCCCGATATTATAAGGAGAATTAGCACCGAACAAAATCTAACAAAACCTGATGATAAAAATCTAGGTTTGTTAAACCAATGTTTTTCTCCACTTCTACCACTCGTTTATATAGCCTTATGTACCAGTCCATGTCTAGGTTTGACAAACATATTTTTGTCCGCAGCTTCTTGCAACTGTAGAATCTATTTCTTCTTTTACTTTCCTTTTTATATTTTCTCATGCAACCAGGTAGTTAGAGAAAGTTGACAGCAACATTTATCTACCCGAAGATGTGAAAAACTTCTCAGTAAATCAAAATCAATGGCTGCTGGTACTCTCTCATAAACATGCGCCAAGTTTATTGATGAGAGGTGCAGAAAGAGCTTGATCTCATCCTTGGAATTTGCGGATCACACTAATCATGAGAAGTAGGAGGGATTTGAGGAAATATTCAGAAAAGGGTGGTGCTTCTCTTTTATTTTATTTTTTTTTCTTTAGTAACTCACAAATTATCCGGGAAGCTTGGCATTTTCCAGTCAATTATTATGGAAATTGGGTATTTTAATCTAAAGAAAAAAATCTAGAAAAAAGCAGCTGGCATCTCAAAACTTTCTGGTCCCCTTATTATATCTTTTTAATTTTATTTGAATCAAAACTCTGAAGGCCAAGTCAGTCCAGGAACTAAACGTTCACTTCAGCCAATTAAGGAAAAACATCCATAAAAAGCAAATTGCTATGGTGAGTCCTGTGACCCTCTAGACCAGATTTTTGAACATTTAAGGTTTTTTGTGACAGTTGCATTTCCCGCAGGGCACTTTCTCTACCCAAAAAACGCAAACCGGCCAGGATATCGATCGGGAGTTTTTCAGGGCTTGGGGCGTCACCAAGACTCAGCTTGCTAGTATTCAGCTTGTTATTAATTTTTCCCCTTAAATTTTATACCATTCGTTGATTAAGTATGTATATATTATGCTGATTGAGCTATCCTAAAACTAATTGTTTATGGTTTTTTCTTTGGTGTGCGTTTTTTTTTCATGTAGTTTTGCTTCTGTTTTCTGTTCTGTGCATTTTCAAATTGATCAAATCTGCATTGGTGAATTCTTTGTTCACTGCTGATTTATTGTCTGTATAGTAAATTATAATTTGTGTTTTAGAAGATATTGAAAGAATCAAAAAGATTGCTAACTATCAAAATAAACAGAAAAATCAAGTAACTGTAGGTGAAATAGAAACTCAGATACCTGAGTGATATCAAACAAACGGATGCTCATAATTTCCATATTTTGTGGTCGAGTCTCTGTTGTTTTGAAATTTGAAAAAAATTATTCTTTTTTTTTTGTGTTTGTTTGTTTGTTTACTTTGTCTTTAAGAAAAGAAAGGAAAACTCAAGGCAAATATTAGACCTTACTTCATTCAGAGATACATCTAAAAATATCTAGAGCCCAGGAAAAAAACCTTTGCAAGTGCGTGAATAACTTATTTTTAATTTTGTTCGTGCCTTTTGCTCTGTAAATAAAGAAAATAAAATAAAAATGGAAAATAGAAAAGAAACAATGATTTGCACTGTATTTAGTGCCTAGCATTGATCTACATTACATTTGACCGCAGGAGGTGAATGTATTTTTCGAAAAGCAGTAACGCCTTACTCCAAATGAGAGTGAATGAAATTTTTTTTACCCAAGTTTCACTGTTTCACAAACAATTTGCGGGAGGTTTTTCAATTTTAAGTGCACTGCATGACAGACAAACTATCAAAATACCATTTTTCTCTGCTTCATTAGTCCACTCTAAACTCTCAAGATGTTAATCCGCAACATATTTTGCCTTCAAGAATAAAATTTGTCTCACCATCATTTTTCAAGCTTTCTCTCCTCTAACCATTTTCGTTACGAGTGGTTACCATTCTTTTTATGTTTGATCCTGCGTAACTCAAGCTGCATGTTAGCTCTGTATAATCACTGATGCTTTTGTTGTCTGGCAGTGTATTGAGAGAAAAATCGGTTTGCTTTCTCTTCATGATGCTACGAATGGGCTTTTGATTTCAACAATTTTAATTGGTTAATAGATGTGTTCTCTTGGTGATGGTCCTTTGTTCAACTGGGTTTCTACTGAAATCTGTGCATAAACATTATAGTCCTAAAAAATAACCACAGGTTTTACTCTGGCATACGCCCTTTTTCCCCCTTGTCCTCTTACATCATCTTTTGCTTCATATTAGAGGTTTTTAATTTTAAGCTCCTGTACAATTTTCTACAATGTAACGACTCAATGTTAGATGTCCACTACAGTGCAGTAATGGTGGATAGTAGATTAAATCAGAACAAAATTGAATCTACTAAAGTTATGAAATCATAGTTTTTTAAAAGTTTATCATACTCTCAAATTGCTGGATTTAACTTAAAATAGGTCTAGAACATCATTTTCAGAATGTTTTGCTTAAATAGGAGTCAGTACAAGGTTGCTGTTGTTGCCAAGTAGAGTTTAGCAGAAATTTATTTTCCATATCACCGGATTCCGATCCAGATCTGAGTACAGATTTTTTTAAATCCATTAGGAACTGGATACCAGAAAATTTGTGGAAGTATCAATTGGTTAATTAGAAATGAGGAATTCTTATTGCCCGTTACATTATGCACTAAAGTCGCAGCATGACCATCATTTGTCTACTGATGAACCATTTTGTCTGCTGTGGTGTGTTCAAGTTTTGTAGAAAAAATAAATATTGTAGTACTGCTTTTCATATATTTTCTACTGGGCCATTGCCCAGGTAATTAGTTTGATTGCCTCTAAATCCTTTTCCTTAGATAATTTGGGTTTTTTCCCGTATGTAAATTTAACTGTGATTAATCTGCTGTGTGTCAAAGATAAACTAGTTTGTCAATTAAGTTTTCTTTTGATCCTTTTTTTCTCAGATTTTGTTGTTTTATTTTACAGATAACAGTGAGGCTATGGTTGCCAAGTTACACGAGCTGAACTACAACCCTGATATGATCGCTGTCTCAAGCGATGGATCTCTAATACATCATTCTCAAAATTTGCAGGAAGAATTGGTAAAATTAATCATACAATTTTTCAATAGTCCCCTATTTTTATTTGTCTTTAGTGGATTGAAAAAACCGCATTACGGTACAATATTCAGACAAATTTCCATCTCTCTTCCAATATTTTGTCTCTCGTCAAGTTAAAACTGTGGAAGGATAATCTTTAACGCTGTAACTGAGAAGAACCCTTTTTGCACCTAAGTCCTCGATTGTAAAGGACTTGGTACGTCCTGTCTGTTAAATCACTAAAAATGGTTTTTTGGAATTTTAACCCAAAAAATAATAATATGTTCCTACTAATTAATAAAAAAAATGTGTAATTGAAGAGAAAATAGCTTGCTGCATACATTTCTAATGTTGAAGGTAGGTCTTATTGGCTGTTATAAAAATGTATGGAAGATTTGAATTTCTGCTTAAATTTTTTGAAATATTCTTCACCGGTCAATACAAGGAAATACAACTGAGGAACTCGATGAAAATATATTTTTCAGTTTTCCTAAGCACCTCTTAGAGACTGTATTACACCAAAAATAGTTGTTTACTCTAGACCCTGACATGTTACCTTGGAGACAGTGAACTTCAAGTTCATGTTTGTTTATATTTTGAGGTTAATGTGTGTTTGCTCTTTTTGTTTCTTTGAATTTCATTTCAAATGTAAAGTGTTGCCAGCCATTTGAGCACCATCTATCTACATTTGTTAGTAGTTTTCTCTATGACTCATAACTGTGTCAAGAAAAGGCTTAGACTTACAAATCACTGGTGATCTTTTCCGTTCTAAATTGAAGATCTTGTGATCATTCTTATTCTCAAGTGTCCAGTGTAAAATCTGGTTTGGTTATTGTTGTAAAAATTTATTATCAAGCATCGAGACAAAGGAAAAATGGAATAGTATACATAGGTTTATCAAGCGAGTCCTTGACTTGAAAAAAAAACGATCTAAATCCCAGACAACCTGCCAAAGTAGTGCTTCTGAGCGTTTCCAACATTCAAATTAAGAGGTGGATTAGTTTTAGCCGGTCGGCTCCTTTTTCTTACCCATCGTGATGTATTTTGAATAAATAGAGCCCAACCGGCACTACCTCGTACTTTTTTTTTTCGTGGCAGATCAGTACAACAACATAGGAAATTCGTCATTCATTAATTTTTTTAGTTTCACTAAGTTCTTCAAAATTTTTCTTGTGCAGTTTTATAGTTAGGGAAAATGTTTCTATGGATCTGAGTGTTTCCTTGGAAATTCTAAAACCATCTCGTGCAGCAGACACACACACAAAAAAGAAAATAATTATCAAGCTTGTTTATCAGTGTTAAAGTTCTCTTCCTATACTTCTTTCTCATTCTTTTTGTTTTCTCATCCTTCTTTATTCGTCTTCTACAGTAAGTAACAAGGTTAAAATTTAAAGTCCAACAACAGTCTTTCAAAATCTCCACAGTCTAAATATCCTCCACACACTTTCATATTTATAGCAAAGACAGCAATGCCACAAACATAAATAAATCCCTGAAAAACCATGACTTTGCCACTTCAAAACAACGAACCTAGACCGTTTTTATGGAAAATTCCTTGATACATAATTTTGCTTTTCTACCTCTCATTGTATTATTTTCCAAACCTGATAATTTGTTGTATTTTCATTTTACAGCCTGTTGCGGATAGTAGCACAGGACTTGATCTCAATAATCTTCCTGTAGTTTTTGCATCAAATCAAGATGACATGATCTCAAAATCACCTCAAATCTCCAAAAGGCCAGGGGCAAAATCCCTTTCCTTCAAGCAAATGACACTCAGCAACAATTTGAAAGTCATCTCGCCGAAAACTGGCGATAAAGTCCTCACCACAAAAATTAACCAGCCCTCTGAAGCCCCCATGAACCAGCAAAGAGATCTGGACATGAATAATTTGCTGTCCCCAAGTTTTTTATCAGATGCTCCTTTGTCGCGTAAGAAATCTCTACTCCAGGAGTCCCCCGCTGCGCGGGGCACTGGAAGAGAAAGGAAAGTTAATCCTAAGTATGACACAGCTTACACTGATGGTGCTGAGTTAGATTTGGATTCTAAGCCAGCAGTTGGTACTCCAAAGAAGCCAGCCAGTGCTAAAAAACAAGACAGAAGGAGGTCAAATGAAAAGAAAAACCCTGGGAACAGGTAAAGTACTTAAACATAAACTTTAACCTGTAAGATTTTTGTTTCTACCAAAACCAATTTCCAAATTAGCTTATGCAAATTTTTGCGAGTAGATACGGTCTGCCTATTTGACCAGATTGGCAGGGTTACAACCCAAAAGAGAAAAATACTCAGCGGAAGTCAAGAACTAAACTCAGTTGCTTATTGAATTGGAAGTATTTCTGCCAAACAGAACTGTGTGCATTATGACGTGAGCCCTGTTATGCATATATTCTTATGGGTCTCAGGGCTCATGTCTTAATGCACATAGTTCTGTTTGGCAGAAATATGTCCAATTATGACTAGTGTTCGCAACCAGCCATTTTTTGATCCACCTCGGGAGGTGGGCCGAGAATTTGGATGTGGTCGTCATTGCTACCAGCATGAAAACCAAATGTTGTAGACGCTCTGTCGCCCGGAGGGAATTTTGTGTTGTTGTAATGGAGGTCGGCAATAAGTCCAAAACTGAACTAAATTCACTTTCAGAAATTAGACTTATGTCTCTTTCATTTTCAGTGTTTTCATCATTTTATATTTTAATTTGCTAGGGTCTGTGAAGTAATTTTTTCCTCGAAATTTTGGGGGGAAAAGAAATTCGGGGGATTAAATGAATATTAAGTAAGTAGAGGGTAATGAAAAAGCAAAGGTTTTCAGAAACCCCCCAAAAAAGAATCTTCTGGAATAAAAGGAAAAAGCTACAAAGATGAAATGAAGTAGCAAGGAATTTAGTGGTAACAAGTAAACATCAAGAAAATTTTTCCTGTTTTCTCTTAAAACTGTATTTCCATTGAACTTTTCCAAACAGTGCAGCTAACTTTTTTTGGTGTGTGTAACTTTGTATTCTCCAAAAATATTTAATAATGAGGTAAAGTATTTTATTTTTTCATTTGCTGTGTATAAATTTTTTCGAATTTCCTTTTATATTTGAATAATTTTCAGAGTTGGGAATGAAAATTTGGATGGAGATGAAATAGCTGCAGCTTTAGACGACAACCTTCCAAGCGAGGATGATCAGAGCTGGAACTCTGAGGATGACCCAGATAGACTATGGTGTATTTGTAAAAAACCCCACAACAATAGGTAAGTTACATAACTTATTTTTCCTTACTGTAATAAGCAGCTTTTCTCCCTTTGTCTTTAACAGGAGTTCAACTCTACATCAAAGACTGCGTAAATGGATATGCATTAATGGAGCAAAGATGATAACTTTCCTCCTCAACGATTTTGCCTTTCTTTTTTTGAGCTTTTTATTATATCTTATAGTGACATTCTCATTACTTGAAGCTAGATAGATCCTGGTTTTTCAAAATAATCATACTTATTTAATAGTCGCTTTTATGGCGCTCTGTGACATCTGATCACTACAGCACTGGGTCCTCCCAGAACCAGTCGGGGAGTTGGCACTCCTTCATTTCATTTAAAATACCCTGTCACCACCCTTTTCTGGATGTCCCCTTTATCTCCTCCAAGGAGGAACCCAATCAAGCATCTGCTTTGGCAGCCTCTCTTCCATCATCCTGTTACCTTGACCATGCTGACCAGCTTGACGAGCTGTTTGGTCGTGACGTCGAGTACAATGGGCCTGTTGCAAACTTTTGCTAGAGCAAAACTATGAGTTGTTTCATATAGATAATGCCTCAAAAATCTCGATGAGCGCATTGGCAAAGTCTGAAATGCACTCATAACTTCACAATCTGCGCAAGAAAGTTGCGGTTTTTTGAGCTCCCCGCTTCAAAAACGATACTACGGCACAGGTGAACATTTTGTTAGAGGAGTCGTTCCATCGTCGGCAATATTCATCATGGCAGACGCTTCCGCAGCTCTGCGCGGAGAGTTCAAGGTCAGTCAAAGCGGGCTAGGAAAATATGAACGTAAAAACGCCGATTGTTATCTGGTCTTATCCTGGTCAGGTGTTATTTCGTCCCATCACACGTGTTTTGGCGGATCGCCGTCAGTCATGATGAATATTGCCGATGATGGAACGACTCCTCTGACAAAATGTTCACGTGTCCCATCGTATCGTTTTTGAAGCGGGAAGCTCAAAAAACCGCAAATTTCTTGCGCAGATTGTGAAGTTATGAGCGCATTTCAGGCTGTGCCAATGCGCTCATCGTGATTTTCAAGGCATCATTTATATGAAACAACTCTTAGTTTTGCTCTAGCGAAAGTTTGCTACAGGCCCATTGTCATTTTCAACTTCCTTGATCTGACGCACTCTATCAATATGAAACAATCAACCTGTGTCAAACATTTTAATTGTGTTTGTCAAATATATCAGAAACTAGTTTGCCTCAAAAGCCCAGTTGTCAAAACCATCATAGACAGTGAAATCAGTCGAAAGAAGGGGGAATGATTTGGAGGCAGAAACTTGTAGATGAGATCGGGTTGATAATTTGATAGTCAGATAATGGTATCGAGAATGACATTGTGTTTGACATCGTGACGGAACAGCAAGTCTGGTATGGTCATTTTATGGGATGGTGAAAAAAAGACTGCTAAAGGAGATGCTTGATCGGGTTCCTCCCAAGAGGGCTTGAAGAGAGAGTGCCCAATGAAAGAATGGTAACAGGGAGTTTTACATGAAAAACTGTAGTGTTAATTCTCTGGTGGTGGTCATTCGTTTCGGAGAGGCAAAGAATGCGGTAAAAACAAATCTAATGTACGTATGGATGGGAATAAGAAAAACACTTACAGAGTCGAACTTACTCTTGAGAATGTTTTTCTCAATTCATTATGTTCGTTTTAATGTATTATCCATTCTCTAAACCTTTAGGAGTCTCTAATCGACTGTTTGAATGTATATTTCATTTTTTTTTTCAGATTCATGATCTGTTGTGATACTTGTGAAGAATGGTTCCATGGATCTTGTGTGGGCATCACAAAAGCAATGGGTAAGTTATTTTAATGAGGAAAACCAAAAGGTGCTCCTATTACTCTTTTAAGGGACCCTTATTTTGGGTTTTTTTGGTTGATAATAATAAATCTATGAAGGAAAAGGCTCAACATTTCAATAGCCAAAGTGCAAAACTGCATATCTCCATCCCTGTGTTTCAAATTTTCCACTCCTATTTTATTTTTTCGAGGGAGAAAAAGCCAATTTATAGCTTGAAATTCTTACCGAGTATTACCAAGCAGGAAAGAAAAATCAAGACAGTTTTAAAGGAATTATGTTGACTACCATTTCAAAAAAAAAAATAAAGTATGGCAGGAAGTCTGCAACATTGCAAACGGAGAAACGTGGTTTTGCACTTTGGCCATTGCTACCTGAGTTTTAAAAGTTCTAGTGAAAGTACTTCCTATCTACTTCACTCAGATATTAAATTTTAAAAATCAAAATTGAAAGCGAAATAAATAACTAAAACCTGTAATGATCCTCGTAATAAACCTATAATTAAAGCTGTAATTTACCTCACTCATCTGATGAAGAAGGCTGTCAGCATAGCTACTGGCAGGGCCAAAAACGGTGTTTTTAACTGCACCTACGAACTCCTAGCCGACAAAATTTCAGCCATTTGCCCAGTCTAGATTGTATTATACAGGATGTACCAAAAAAAAGTATCCACCTTGAATATCTTTTGGATGAATTCGAGTATCAAGAAGCGCCGAATGCCAATATGGGGACCCCAAAGTGCAAATGTACGAAAGAGAAGTCCCCTTTCAAAATATTGAACCTTTGTTTTGGCGTGTTTTGACACTCAAATTTGTTCAAGAGATATTCAAGGTGGCTACTTTTTTTTTGCACACCCTGTGTATCAATGGAGGGCTCATCAATTGGTGTGTCAGGTGACGTGACAAGCTGCTTGCCCACAAATTTTAAATTCCTGTTGAATCGCCCATAATGTGCGTCAATACGCAATCAAAGGGCACCCTAAAATCTTGAGGTTAAATAAAATTTAGAATTTTAAAATTTCAGAATTTGTATTTGCATATTTGGACATTTGTAAAATTCACATCTTGAGCCCTAAATTCTAGAGTTGGCTAAAATTTGCAATTTGATTTTGAGCAAGGAGGTTTGCATTTGTATCTGATTGTGAGTTCTACCTCACTATGATAACATCCGAAATTTGCAAAATTCATGAGCTCAAAGCATGATTAGCATTCGCAAACATCCAGGCCTCTAGCAATCAGCTGGTCATTGATCTTTCTGCTAAAACATTGAATCACGTAGACCGTGCATCCTGTGTTACGGAAGGCGAGACAACTTTTAAAAATTCGCGTGCCGATGAGTGGTGGCACCGACCCGCATTGATGAGTTTGTGTGTCCCAGTTGCGCACATCTGCGCATGCGCAGTATTGGCTCCAGTGAATTTTTGTCGGATTGTGAGGCTTTTTTCCTCGGTTAATAATTAGTTCGGAAAAATAAAACAGTGCTATTCTGGTGTAAAATTATGTGTTCTAAAACTTTTCTTCTTAGGAATTTTGTCTGAAAATAGACTTTAAACGAGATATTCGTGAAAAACCGAGCGCAGGCATGAATTCTCAGTCTCTGCAGTCTCTTCGAGTGCTTGGGACACACGCTCTCTCCCCTTCCCTTCCCGCCCATCATGGGGCTCCGAGAGACTTGCTTCGCTCCGCCTGTACCACACGGTCTACGTGATTCAATGTCTTTGTCTCTCTGGAATTGATTAATAAACTAGGAATCATAGTTTGCAACAAAAAATCTTCTTCTTGCAGGTGAGGATATGGAGAAGAAAGGAATCGAATGGGTGTGTCCTCAATGTAAGGAAAAGAAACCGCAGGATGGCAAAGGACTTGCAGCGTCCAAAGAGGTGAAGAAAACTCCAGACCAAGCTGAATCCAAGAAAGTCATTCAAAAAAGAAAAGGATCAGAAGTCCACTCTACAAATATTGAAGACCCTTCATCTAGACTTAATAGGTCGATTTCTACTGAGTAAGTATACTGCGAATTACTTGTTCATGTTGCCATTTTGAGGTGAATTGAAACTAACTTGTAATTGGATTGCATTTTGCAAAAAGGAACCACTAGCATTGCAATGTTGCTAAGATTGTGCAACTTCTTTTGTCTTGGAGGAAAACCTGATTATCCATTCATAGTTTCTATTTTACTCGCTAAAAACTGTAAATTTAAGACAAAAATTACCGTCTAAATTTCGTAGTTTTTCACGATTTCCGCAATTTTATTGCAAAAGATGAAGTTGCACAATCTTAGCATCATTGCAATGCTAGTGGTTCCTTTTTGCAAAATGCAATCCAATTGTAACTTTGAGTAAGCCCTAAGTTACAACCTCCACATACATTCAGTATGGTTTGCAGGAAAACTTGATCTAAGTAAATCACAAAAACCTCGTTTTACCACTCATGTGAGTTGGCCACTAGAAACGTCATCAAAGTTGCACAGAATTCACCAAAAGTCAGGTTTGAACAACTGTGCACCACCAGCTCTGGCTGTATTATTTACCCTTCCGTCCACCTCAACATTTTCTACTCCAGTGGAGCAGTTGTCTTGTGTCTTTTGTTTTTTTTTTCAAGTCTTGGGTTAAGTACCCTCTTGCAGGGGCGCCATTGCAAGTCATTGCAGGGCCAGGCATAAAAGTGACGAGGTTTTTTTTTTTTTTGTTCAGCTTCTCACCTTTGAAACTTCAGACGAGCAGTTTTCCTCGACCTAACTCAAAGCTTCAGATCCATGACCTTTTTACAAATATCGTTCATCCTGCAAATTATCTGCATAATCTTTTATCTAAGAACGTCTTCAACTCTCAGTGGAATTCATAATCTTTGTGTTATATCTTATCTACAATTTCAAATCAAAAATGCTTGTTTTTACTTATTTTTTAGGTCTCGCATCAGTGCCAAGCGGTGTCACGTTTGTCAGGAAAATGCACCCGTGGATGGTATCTTTTGTTCGGAAAAATGCATCGATGCTCATGTTGACACCTTCCTAGAATTGGAGGAGAAAAATGAAAAAGGATCCTCGAAGAAGCTTGATAGGCATGTCATGATGTTGGAAAAGCACACAGGGCGTGTATTTTCTAGTAAGTAATTTAAATTCAAGTATTCCTCCAGGTGCATAAAATCATCTGTGAATGAAAAGTTATGAATTCTAAGTGAAGGGTAATAACTTTCATGCAGCTTTATGATTACTCAAGATTCTTTCATAGAAGTTGCACTTTGGAAGAGGAACCATTGCAATCTTAGATGAATCCATCAATCATTTTAACAGAATATAAAGATTCTCCAATGTAACTTTTGTCAACTGTTTTACTGAGCTCATGATCAGAAGAAAAGTCAAGTTATATAGGCTTGGATGAAAGTTTGTTTAAGGTGAAAGTACGATTGGCCCTCTTTTGCCTGCTTAGTTGGAAATGGAACTAGGCTAGCTCAATTGATAGTGCTGTTCTATGCTCTCTTCTGCTGCTTGTGAATCTCAGGTGACCAGCATCATAATATATATTTTCTCTTCACTTTTTACAGATAATATGGCACCAACTATTGGAAGTCTGAAACAATGGTTGTACCTTCACCCAACCTGTCACATAGTAATGCGAAAAGATCATCCTTCTACAGATTTCTACAGTAAGCAACGTAAATTGGCACCCATTCCCAAGAAGACCCCACAGCCAGTCAAAGATGGAAATCGAATTGTCACTGTTACTGTTGCAACTACCTCTGGAACTATTCTCAGTGGAGCAGCTACATTGGCTCCAGCCTCAACATCAACAGTAACGACGCCTAAGTCAGGTTTACCGACAACTCCGACATCAAGCACTGCACCATCACAAGCTACAATACAGGCTAAGCAACAAACAATCCAACAATCAGCGAAAGCGGCTGGTGTAACCCCACAGAATTCATCTAAGACTCAGGTGAGATTTAATTTTGGTTTTTGAAGTACTAAGTGCCGACATTGCATTTCTAGGTTCTTGCAAGTTGGTAACATTGGGATTGGTCCATTTAAATGCGTGTAAAACAATTGATATTCATTGAGGCAGTAGGTCCAATGTATAATCAATAGTTTATAACGGATCTAAATGGAGGCAAAAGTAGTGTCACCAATTTGCAAGAATAGCCACTAACTAGGCATGACACTTTCACGGTTACCTTTTCAAATGATAAAAATGAAATCAATTTTTCAGCAAAGGTTGTAATTAAAGTAACCTAAAGTTAACTTTTACACAACTTTGAACATTAACATGTTTTCCTATAATTTCTTGTATCAGTAAAAAAGTAAAAAAAAAAATACTGCAAACTCAGCTCATTAAACACTCTCAGATGAAACAATAAAAATATTTCATGCCAATTCTCTATTAAGGTCTGTGGCTTCCTCAATGACGTTTTGCTTAATTTTAACGGAGGCTGAAGTGTTGCCTGCAAGTGAAAATGAGATCGGTATATACATTTTATTTGAAAGTTTTCTAAACAGAAAAGTTACGCAAAGTCAGCATAGTTTCTAAACAACCATGTAAGTCGATTTTGAATTCCATAAAAACAACAAAAATTACAAAAAGAACCAAAAGTCTATAAAATCATAAAGGATCGAATGACTTTTCGACTTCATTTAATATTTTCAGCCTCACAGGATTAGATCATTTTTCAGACTGAGATTTTTCAAAGGCATGCCCTCAACCTTCTAAATTTTTTTTTTTTTTTTTTTTTTTTTTTTTTTTTCATATCTGCTTTTGCAGTTCATTTTAATGATTTTTGTGATTTCTTATGTTAATTTTTTTTTATTTTATCATAGATTGCACCGACTCAAAAAGTTTTGAAACAGCAAACTCTTACCATGACTGGAACTTTAAAAACGATCACTCCTAATCAAGCTGGGAAAACTCCAATTGCAATCCTTTCAAGGGGCTTAAACAAAACTCCACCCTCGGCTGCTCAGACTCCTGTTTCCAAACAGATCACAGTAAAACGACCGAGTGTGAAAGAAGTAAAGCAAGAACAAAAGGAAAAACCGAAACCAGCACAGAAAATTGACAAGAGGAAGAGTGACCTCAGCGCATCAAAACGGGTGTCAGAAGATACTCCAACAACTCCAAAAACACCAGACAACGAGCCAATCAGAGCAAAGTGCCGTCAAATGCTGCAGGAAGCTCTCATGCTGAGAATTAAAGGCTGCTCAGATATCCAAATTACTGAGGAGGAGGTAATTTTTAAACTTAACCATTCTTGATAATAAAGCAAACATGGCTATTAGCAGGGTGTCTAGCATCAGTATTTTCCGGATTCTATCAGGATTTGAGGCCAATCAGGATTTAATCCCGATTTCATCAGGATTTGAGGAAAAATCGGTCGTAAAATCAGGATCATCTGATTGGATTTTTTTATCGAGTTATTTTTGTGAAATTTTAATTTTTCTCTGCAAAAAATCAGGGTATTATCAGGATTTGGAAAAATCATGAAATCAGGATTTAGCAGTCAAAAATCAAGAAAAATCAGGATTTCGTCAAGATTTCCCAAAACGGAAAAAAACTAGACACTCTGAAAAGGGAAAATTCTCCCATCTCCATTTAGTTTTATCTTAGTCGCAGTTTCCAGTTGTACTGAGAAACAGGTTTTTATTTAAGAAAATGTTTCAAACATCTGCATTTATAAAACCTGCAGCCTGTTAGTCTGCTGTGGTTTTCTGTCTCTTCTGGATAGAATTTCCTGAGCGTAGTCTCATGGCTTTCTCAACAAAAATTATCGAAAGCTGACATGAAACAATCTACCGATATGGCATTTTCCTTGCAACGCGGAAGAAAAATTACGGAATAGGCTTTTTGTTGCCATTGCTAATCAAGGTTAATTTATATCATATCTTACTCATGTTACTCATGAGTTACTCATGTTTTCAGCTTTATTTCCATGTTAAATGTAAATGTGTACAGTCGATGAGTTCAGCATACAGTTGACACAAGTAGATATAACCTTGACTAAGAATATAACTTCACAAAAGCAAGCAAAGCGAGCTGGACTTCCTGCTTCTAGAACTAAACAGAAATAATATATGTTATTAAAAAGAAATGAAAACAATACAATGAGACACCTCAGTAAAGGCTTAGATTCATTACTAGGTCCTTTCATTGCAACCATTATTTTAAGGAAGTCTAAATTAATCGCTGATGGGCAATTATGGCAGTTAATTGCCTGTTACTTCCTGAGGAGACTGGTCTAAACTGTTGATTTGATATTCAAGTGCGTATTTCATCTTAATTTCCCTCTCCTGTTTCAGGTTTCCAAATTAGTTCAAGATATTGAAGAGGAACATTTTGTTGTTTACAAAGATGCAGCCAAGTACAGAACTAAAATCCGAAGTTTGGTTCTGAATATTAAAGCCCCAAAGAATGATACTCTGTTCAGAAAAATTGCAATGAAGACGTACAATCCGCAACAGGTTGCCCGGTTGTCGCAAGATGAAATGGCCTCTGAAGAGCTGGCAACATGGAGACAAAATGAAAATAAACACTCACTCGATATGATCAAGAAAAATGAACTTGACTTGCTTGCAATGAGCAAAACTTGTGTTTTGAAAACACACAAGGGTGAGCAAGAGATAGAAAATGTTGAAAATCGCAAAGAAGTATCTGCTGCTGAGTTTGTGCCTGATTTGAATGAGAGCGATAGCATCGTAGAACCAAAATCTAGTCCCAAATTTCCAGCAGTGAAAATTGATGAGACTAAAAAAAGTGAAAAAGAAAAGGAGTCAAAAGACAAGCACCGAAGTAGTAGCAGGAGACATGAAAGTAGCAAACATAGCAGCAGTAGTAGCAGTAGTTCTAGTCGGCATCGAAGGAGTAAAAGGCACAAATCCGATCGTGAAAAAGACAAGGATAAGGATAAAGATAAAGATAAAGATAAAAAATCCTCTGACAGAAAAAAAGATGAAAAAAGTGGCTCGAGCCGTGAAAGTCGCTCAAAGAGCCGCTCAACCAGATCCTCTGACTCGAAATCAAGTGATACGACGAAAATTAAATCTGACGATGAGCCTGCTGCTAAAAGTAGAAAATCTCCTGAAAAGGACGAAATTTTCAAGTTGCAGGGCGATTCAATTTCCAAATTACTGGATACTTACGATCCAGCCATACCATCGAATGATCTCGACCTTGATCCATCAGACAGAGAGCCCAGCTCCACAGTCATGATAAATACACCACCGTACGAAGAAGAGCAGCCCCCATTGTGGAAAGGGCTCTTGTCTATGACTGATGTTGCTAAGTTCTACGCCACTTTTCAAGCTGTTTCAGGAAATTGTGCCAATTTAGGTGAAGATGTACCAAGTTCGATAGACTGTGTAGGTAGAATTAATCCAGCAACTGTCTGGGATTACATCGGCAAGGTGAAAAAGTCTGGATCAAAAGATATTATCGTCATCAGATTTACACCAGAAAACGATGAGGAACAAGTTGCTTATCTCAGTTTATACGCTTATCTCAGCAATAAGAACAGAATGGCTGTTGTCGGTCATTTACCTGCCATCATCAAAGACTTTTATGTCCTTCCGTTGGCTGATCATAGTCCTATACCGCAAGTACTTTTGCCTTTAGATGGCCCAGGTTTTGAAGATGTGAGGCCCCATTTGTTACTGGGAATCATAGTCAAGCATAAACTGGAGACTCTCATGCCATCAGATGTGACTAATTATGGACGCAAGGAACCCAGAAGCTACACTCCACCGCCAACAACACAGTTGAACAATGCAAGTTTGACACCACCGTATCCTCCTCCATCGGAGATTCCTGTTGTACCTGCCAAGAAAGCAAAGTATGATGACAGCAATATCATTAGTCCTGGTAAGTTTCAACCCTTTTTTTTCAAGAATGTAGTATTTCATCCTTTGCTTTATCTTTTTTTTTCCCTTTTTTTTTCATTTCTGCACCATACATAGATTGTATTTTGCATTCCAAGAGCATTTCAATGTTGCTAGAATTGTGAAACTTACATTCTTTGCAATAAAATCACTGAAGTCTTGCAAAAAATTAAATTTACAAAGGTAATCTTTGGCTCGAATTCATTGTTTATTGGGAGTAAAGACAAAACTTCTTTAGGCGATCAGTTTATATTTGCGAGGTGAAAAAATTTGTAAAATCTTAACGTCATTATAATGCTTGTGATTCCTTTTTTGAAAATGCAATCCACATATTCCTGCATCTATTCGGTCTTGTTCATACGTAAAAGTCGCTTAATAGCACTCTCTGGCGCTCTACAACACCTAACCCTCACTGCCCCTTGTAGAACTACAACTCCTTGGGCATCGAGCACCTTAACATTTCTGATGCAATTTGTTTTCTTTTCTTGACCCTTTAATAACTTTTTCTCTTTATCTTTTCTTAGTTTTGAACGAATTCCACGAAAACAACTCCCCATACAGTCCTGGGGAGGACGAGCCTTACTCACCAGGCGATGATGATGATGATGATGATGACCCAACCACTGTACAACGGAGGATTGATGATCTAACCAAAGGTATTGAAGACAAGAAGAGACTACTGGAGTCGTTGCCTCAGCAAGCATTAAGTGAAGAAGCCTACAGCCCTTCAACGCTAGTATCTCCCGAAAAACCCACCTTATCATTTTACAACTCAACAAAGATCTCCCTTCCCCCGAATCTGCAAGAAATTCTAAGCAGGGTCAGCTCCTATAAACAAAGTAAACAGTCTAGTTCACCTGCAGGACCCCTATCCTTAGGGTCAGATCCTATCGTAAAGCAATATTCCACAGGCACTGCTGCCACCGAAGAAAAGAGTGATGAAAAGGAGGGAATAGAAGAAATCGCAGTGCAACAATCCTCAGATGAGGAATATGAATCAATGGAAGAAGATAATCAAGAATCCATTGTTGCTCCAGAAACTCCAAAATTAAATCGAGATCCCCGACAGCGGCGCGATATGCCCCCTCAGCCGACGGATGAGGAGGCAATCAAAGATATTCTAGGTGTAAGCTATCCAACAGAAGTAATGCCAGACATGATGGGAGTCAGAGTAGAAGACCCCGCTCAAAATGTACCCCAAATGATGGACATGTCTGTCCCTCCGCCCATGATTCCTTTCTCAGCACCATATGCACCTCCGCCTTTCACCCCTTTCCCTGGGCCAGCGTACGCTCCCCAACCTCCGTTCATGGCCCCTGTTCAAATACCAATGGGGCCTCCTATGGTAGCTCCGACACCCATGATGCCCGCTCCCTTGCCTTTTCCCCCTCCAACACCTCCAGCCTCAGCCATCACTCCTGCACCCCCTCCTCCACCAACTCCCCCCGCTCCTATCCTCTCAACCCCAAGTGACTCCCCCTCAAGTTCTACATCTGAACCCAGGACCCTTAGGAATAAGTTGCATAGAGTGGCGGACAGTAGGCAAGAGAAAGAGTTTAGGACTCGAAGTAAAGATAAAAGTAATAATGAAACTGGTAGTACGAGCAGCAGTTATGGAAATTACAGGAATGATGAACATAGGCCGAGAGATCGTTACCGAAGAGACAATAGGGACAGGTTTCGACCACACGGCCAGTTTTGGCGGGGCCGTGGCTCCAAATCTCAGTTCAACCGAGGAAATCGACCCCGGGATGAGTTTGATGCTGACATTGAACATTTCGAAAAGGAGCAATTGAGGAGGCAGGAAGAAAGGCGAAAGAAAGCACTCTAAATAATGAGCCTTTCTCCTTTGACAACTTTCTCCTCCTAAAATTGTGATGGCCAAACCAAATGAAATCCACAACTTAGAAATCAAAAATTGGTCTCTATCAAGGAACTTTGATTGTAAGAAATGTTAGAAGAGTCTCAGTACCATTGATTCTCCTGGAATCTATTCTATCTCAAGTTTTTTGAGTTTTCATCTTGGATTGAAGCATTTTTTCTGACTAAATCTGCATAATCTTGTGTCAGTTGTTTTTGTTATTTTGATACAAGAAACCTCTCTGGTCCAACAAGTTGTTTTTAAAATCAAACTGTTCGGTCTTAGAAATGCTGTATGTATGATTATACGAGCTTTCATGATAGTCACAAATCTTATCTAAAAGTTGAATAACTTTATTAAATCCCTATCATAATTTTGTATAGTTGCCCCCCCCCCTTGCAGGAATTCTACTTTTAATTCATTGATTGCTTCAAGAGTCTCATCTATAATGATTTTTTGATTTTTTTGGAGTCTTGATAAACTCCATTCTAGTGGTGACTCTCTTTTACTTGGAAGCATGAACTCGAGATGATTTCCAGCTTCGTGCAGTACCTAAGTTATAACTTTTCAATGCCTGACCATCCTCTTTCATCAAAGAAAGCGCCTTTTCCCCTCCGAGTATTTCAATTCTTACCTTACAGAAAAGTTTGCCCTTTCTTGTAGAACTGCCCTATTTTTAATGCTGAAGGATATGCAAAACCTCTTTAAAAAATCAGCAGCATGATTGTTTGCTCTGTCTATATTACTACGAATTATTTGAGTTATAATAAAAAAGTTAAAAAGACATCAGCATTTTAATCAGAAGCTTGATTGAGTTAGTTGTTCTCAAACGAAAGTTTTTATTATTTGAGCTTTTTTACTGAAGAGATATATTTATACATATTTTATTTTCCAAGTATGATCTTTTTTTGTTCCCATGGTGCAGTCCTAATTTAATTTCTCTTGATAATTTCATATTACGGATCATAAGCTAGATATTATCTTATATTGGTATTTTTTGTAAAGACATTGTCCTCATCGTGGACGGAAAACGTTTTTTAGCAATGGTTTTTCCTCTTGAAGGAGCCTAGGGTTAGATATGTTTTTCCTCTATCTATCAATGAAGTGGTGAATGAAACTGTTACAGTTTTGATATCAAAGGCACTGCATAACTACTGAAATCGCCGATTTCTATTCAACGATGCATTAGTGCAACATTCTAAGTAATGGGGTGCGTTTATATTTTCAAGTTTTGGCTTTGCAGGTTCTAAAAAGTCCATTTTTTCTGTTTTCCTTTCAATAGGCAATTTTTAAAGGTTTGTTTATGAGGAGGAAGAAATTGAATTGGGGGGGGGGGGTTTATTCCATAACACTCCACTGAATCAAACAATAATCATTTATCAATTCCAGCTCTCTCATCACCAGTTTGATTTTCATAAAACATGAAATAAACAAGGTTTAAAATGTTGACTAGGTTATTACAAATCTTGTCTATTATACTGTTTTTTATTTTGTGACAAATATTTTTAAAGATAGCTTTTCTTGTATTCTACGGTTGAAGTATACAGTGATCTCAGCGACAAAAGTAACCAAGGCAAAAGTACCTGATACAATCAAGTCAAGTATGCAAAAGATAAATTCCAATATTTACTTTTGCACAAAAGAGCAAAAATATCATGGCAGACCTCTACATGCCTGCGAGTGTCAGCTTTAACAAACGCACAGCTGAAACTGCATTAGTAATACTGCACCCATACAAACAATGTATTTATAATTTGATTTGTCTCCCAAGAATTTCATTTTCTCTTCCTTTTTAGCCCTTAAACAACCCCTGTTCATCACATTTTTTCAAATTGTTATTCTTTATCCACTGAGATTTTCAGAGACAACCTAACTGCTATACCAAATGAAGTCTTCTAATAAGTTGAATTGTTTTTGTATAGATACTTAACGTGAATTTAATACCTCTTAAAGCGATTCAATTTTAGAAATTATTCTTTTGAACTAAATGAGCTGAGCCTTAGACGTACCGTCATATCATCTTCTTAATTTGTGCTCCAAAGCTTTTTCAAGAAAGCGTTTTCCAGAAGAAAAATGAGTTTTCAACCTCTCACTAAACAGCAGCTATAGTAGCAGATAGGCAGTGAAAGCCAGATCAAATTTTCCAAGCAGCTTTAACAGGGGATGTCTTGAAAAGTTGAAATAGATCGTACCAAAAACTCCCTTACTAATTATTTCAATTCAGCCAATTCCAGCTCTTCACCACATTCCTTCTATGAATTCATTAAAAGGAGAAAGGAAAAAAAAAACCAGCCAGATTCTTGAAAACCAAGTCCTTGTTAGTTGTGTAGTTGCAAGTACATATGTATTTATATTGTGTTACCTGTAAATATTTGGAGGTGTGTCCCTCCCCTCCATCTTTTTGTAAAGTCAGATTTTGTAAATAATATTGTTTAGTTTGGGTTTAAAAGCTTTTGTTTCCCCCCTTTTTTCCTTTTTTTCTCTTTTTTTTTGTACATAAATTGTTTGAGTTAATCTGACGTAAATCAGAGCTTTTATGAATACTTTGAAGTGTACCTAGTATTTTAGTTATATGTATTCAAAACAAGGTATAAATATTTTTCTTACCAAAATTTTCCACCAATCATTATTTCCCTTTTTAATTGAGGCAAACAACACTTCAATTAAGATTACCAATAAAATGAACCGATCAACCTACTTTGGTTTAAGAAATAGGTTCACTTAAAATAATCCTGATGATGACGCAGAACCACAACATTGACAGATGATTCTGAGTCAATAGAAACTGATTCACTTAGTCAAACTCTCTTTTTTAATGACATCAGCCGTGTTGATAAAGCTTTCATGTATGAGTTCACCGTCATTATTTTGGAAATTGTAATAGTATTTTGTTATTTCATGTAATCATGAAAAATGTAAAGCTGTTCCTTTGGAATATCTGCTCTTGTAACAATGTAATTTTTATTTTATTTATTTTTGGGACTGTCTTCTTTATCTCTACTAGTTTTTCAGTGAATTGTTTTATCAATGACTTATCGGTAAAAGAAAGTAAGTAATTAATGTAAAGGATAAGTGAAAAATGTAAATGCCCACTATGTAGCACTCTCTTTTTTCTCATTATCTCTCTGTTAAAGTAGTTTTCACGAAGCAAAAAGTATAGTAAAGAAAGCTGAAAGGAGCAATCAAGAACCACGTACCTGTAAAAAACTTGCTTTTACTTACTTTATAATTGTTTTGTCCAGTTTTGCAATAAAAGAGGCTCTATTGTAAATAAATAAATGTTTTCCCCAATTTTATATCTTCATTTTTCAAGTTTTAAATAAGGATACAACATCACTGACTTACCTCTGGAACTACCCTAAATTTTTATGGAGATGAAAGTAAACTGATATCTTGCCATTATTTGTGCCAGGAACACAAGAAAATTTACCCGCGAGAATGACTTTACTTTTACCAGAGAGTTTATGATATGAATTCTTCTTGACAAGTGATGAGCTATATTTGCCGTTTAAGTATGTGTTCAATTAATCAAAGAATTTAATGTCAACCATGAGGATTCAATGGCAGCAGAAGCAAATCCTCCCCTCCCACACTCACACACCGATTTGCTTGGTTACTGAAGCTGCCAGTATTTGAAAAATCCCGGTTTCACGTGGGTTCTCTCCAAACTTGTCTGCATATTTTTCCCCTGCATAGCAAAACCAAAGACATTTTTTTTTTCAAAATATCCCGATTTACATTCTATTTGCTACCATATTGATTGAGTCCCATTGCATATTATATCTGCGACTGAAGCTGAAAAATTGGTCCCTAAGATTGTGGTATGTCAAGTCTCCGTTCTTGTGTTTTAGTTTGTCGAAGAAAAATCTAACCAGCAGTTTAATTTGAAATTTTCTGCGAATTTTCTTTCATTCTTCAAAAAAATCAAAAAATTGCAAGGCAGCATTCAGGTTAGTTTATCTCTTACACTCAATAAAGCCAATGCCAAGAAAGTGTGAGTAATTTTTGGAGGTAGGAGCTACAGCTAGGTTAGGCAATTTACTTATGAGAAGCTGAAGAGGTACCGTAAAAGTAGGTACTTACTTAATATTTGCCAGCCAGTTTTAGTAGACACTCTTATGCCTATTTATGCGACACAAGAATCCCCTATATAGGAAGTTGGCAGTTTCGAAAACGCCTTCAATTGTGGCGTGATACGTCATGCATTCCGAAAAGCGCGAATAGTTGTATCGTTACGCCTGCGATGCGATGGAAGACTAATATTGAGGTATCCTCCACGCTTGCCTTGCCAGCTTTACTTTGCCGCTATTGCAGTTTCGACCGCATAGTTTGAGTATGCTCAAGCCAGGAATTCAGCAAATGGATAATTTTTACAGAGGCATCAAGAATAAACAAGCGATAAGAGGTATATCTATATAATAGGAACTCAAATCAAAAATTAACTTATGGATGTCAAAAAAGTACTGCCTTCTTCTGCTTATGGGGTACGGAATTTCTGAAAAGGCACTGAAAAAGCACTATACAAGCATTTAATTTTTGCTAGCCGGTTTAAGTAGACACCCTGAATGTAGAGATCAGGGCCAGAACGCATCGCTCTAAAACGCGCACTATATCGTAGCACTGAATTGTGAGATGCGTCATTCGTCAGTTCAGTAAGCGACCGTCGCTGCCAATTTTTTGAAAATTTCTTTACGGAACTTACTGTGGGGGCCCATGAACTAGCGGAAATGGCGGGGTGAGGACTCTCCTTTCGATTGGACTTCCGTCCAATAGTAAGGTATAAAAACCCTTCTCTAGGTTGCATCCCCATCAAAATCTAGGTGGAGGGCTTCGAGATCTCTCCTTGTTAGGCTTAACCTTTATTTTGGTCCGTGTTTTGGCTGTAAGATAGGTTCAAATCGGCCAGCCAACGGCATCTCGATGGTAGGACTGCCAGACCACGTATCTCGGTTTGAGACGTTGCAGACTTCCTATCATACTTTATTTTTTAAATGGAAAACTACTAAACGTCAATTCTTGAGACTCTCTGAGATTTTTCTTCATTGCGCGAAGAAAACACCGTCAAAACTTCAAGGAATGATGTTGATTCGTTCTGAAAAGAACGCGCGTTGATGACGGCGCAGAGATACAACTATTTGTGCTTGATGAATGTCCGTGTTGCATCTGCAAAATTGAAGGCGCGATAATGCGAGGCGTGAACTCGCAATGCTCCGCTTTATGCTGCCCATGAGACGTCACTCAGATTTGGCGAAAAGTTAAAAAACGAGGCCCGAATACCTACGTCTCTTCTATCCTCGGCTGTGTTGACACTCGATTTTTCTCTTTCCTTTCAAATTGACGTCTGATTCCTATTTTAGAATGTAAGTATTTGTAATTCTGCATGATTATTCACAGTTCATCGTCGAAGGCTCATTTTATTCGTGCGCAACTTATTGAATTCACAACCTCTTTTGAGTCAGTTGCGATCTTGTAAACGATATAACTTTCTTAGTTTTTCATGAAAATACAATGACCAAAGCAAGAAGACTTAAAAACCACAATCTGAACCGAGCGTTTGGACTCTCTGTTTTTAAATCAAACTTACAGAAAAAAAAAATCTAGGAACGTGCAATAACGGTTTTCGGGCATTGTTCAGAATTACGGCTCGGTTGAAGACTCCAAATTTATGAACATTTCTAGTCAACATCGTTTCACAGGGCCACTGAGATACGATACAAAAGAGCGCCTTCAACCCACTATGTAATCTTAATGCGAAATTCTGATACCACTATTCGTGCGTCCTGAAAGTCATTTTGCATAGCCGGCTAATTGAAGGCAAATCATTGACCCAGGTGACAGGGTTCGAATTTCAGCAATATGATACGTGTTTTTTAGGGAACCAAACTTCCCCACCTGACATCCAAGAAAAGGATCAACTAAGCATGCCTCCTCGTGCTCCTCTGACATGATCGGGGGTTCTTTGGACTTTGACTGGGTTCGGTCGTCCGTTGTTCTATACAGATGAATCAAAAAGACTCTATTAATCAGAATTAACCTTGTCTTTATTATCTCCTCAATGTATCAGAGGTAGTATTATGCATTGTTTAAAATAAAAATTATATATAGAGTTAAGTATAAATCTTAACGGATCCCCGGTAAAAATTGGCAGTAGAATCTGTGTTCCAATATACCATAGACCTACAGCCGGCTGTAAGATTTCCAATAGCTTCTATAACCGGCTACACAATTTCTTATAGCCTTTTATAGCCGATGGCGATTCAGCAACAGCCAGGCAATAAAGTGTATGCTAAACGTCACTAATTACAGATGCTAGGACTTAGTGAGTTTATGGACCACTGCTCTCTTTTTGGGCCGTAGTATCTTGATTTATTTTGCGAGGAAAGCTCCGTACTTTTGATGGATGCTTGCCATTCCTTATATATTAGAGCGCCTTCAGTTTCGTATGATACTGTGCAATACCTCTGGTGTGAAATAGTTGCTTCAAGCGCCGTGGCACGCTGCGGTGCGGCAGGCGGGCAGCCAGCGCGAAACGCGCATTGGCGCCTACAAACCTAACAGGGATACTTCACGCATTGCGCAATGCGTGAAGTATCCCTGTTAGGTTTGTAGGCGCCAGTGCGTCGCCGCTCCGCTTTGTGTTAGGCTCTAATATTTAATCTCGCGGAGTCAGCGATATTCAACCCATGATTTTGAAATGTTTGCACATCCTGTATGGATTATTCACATTTTAATTGATGAAAAAAAACTATTTATTAAAGGAAAATATAATGTGTGTTTTGTAAATATTAAGGTGGTTCCGTATCAAACTTAATGATTTCCAAAGCACACGAATTTCTACACAATTTCTTATAGCCTTTTATAATCGATGGCGAAAAAGCAACAGCCAGGCGATAAAATGTAAGGCCCGGCGATAGGAACTATAGCCCTGCTGTATAATTTGTTATCGCTTCGTATAGCCCGGCCGTATGACTTTCTTCGCATTCTACAGCCAGCTGTATGATTTTCTGTAGCCTTCTTCAGCCGGCTATAAGAATTCCTATGGTATTTTGAAACGCAACTCTTATCGCCAATTTTCACCAGGGATAGATTAAGCTTTTAAAAGACAAGAATATTGTCTAAAAGTGTTCAATTGTGCATTGTTATTATCTTGTTCAACAAAAAAAATCCATGCAACCGATTGTGGCCAATACAAATAGACATTACGTCTAAAAGTCGCCTATAGTTTGATTTATGCTGGCAAAAACAGGGTTCTCCTAATATCTAATCTCTGCTAAGACTAATGTTTTCTTTTTTTTAAATGAAATTTACGTAGGTACGCATGATTTTCATGTAACATCTCTTTTTTAGGGTTTTTACCAAAGTTGCATAGAATTACAGATATTTAACTTCTCTTTTTATTTTTTTTATCAAAGTTGCATGGACCTACATATATGTAACTACCACTTTGGGGGACCATTTAAGGGGAAAGGAGCCCCCTCCTGCCCCCAAAAATTTTAGGGACTCTATTTTTTTCAAAGATCTTTCAGAAAGAAAATTTTATTTCAAAATCCGTGATCCAAAATTAATTAATGCAATAGAGGGATAACCAGCGGAGCAAGTGTTTTCGGCAAGCCTCGGATCAATTTTACCCGGCCTGGGCATCGAAGGGCTAAAAACTCAAGCAACAGTGCAGCAGCACGCATATTAGTGAGTAATGCGGTTGCTGCAGATCTATGACTGTTTGATAATGAGTGTCGCCGCATGAGAAACGCCTTCATTGTAAAAAGATACTTCCTAGCGTGGCCGCGGAGGATGAATAGTTGCATCATTTGAAAACCCAACCAACCATGTAACAGCGTAGATTAGTGAATAATGCGGTTGCTTCAAATTATTCCTTGTTTAAGCGCGTCGATGCATAAGTATTGACGCAGTAACGCCTTCTTTGTGACAAGACATTTCGTATGGCGTGGCCGCGGAGGCCGAATAGTAGTATCATTTGGACGTATTTCTGCCAAACGGAACTATGTGAATTATGACGTGAGCCCTGTTATGCATATATTCTTATGGGTCTGAGGGCTCATGTCTTAATGCACATAGTTCCGCTTGGCAGAAATACGTCCATTTAAAAACCCAATCAACTGTGTTCTCACAGTACGAGCTTCCTATACTATGCGAACTATTCTGCCGTGCTATAAGGATGAACGCCGAGCGAACATTCGAGAGTTGCCAAATTTCCTTCGATAAAATGTTTATATTTTAGAGAAGTTATGAATGTTTGTCCTTGTAATTTTCAGGAACTTCAGATGAAATTGCGAAC